GCGCTCACCATCAGGAATGTAAACACACAGTCTGTAAACAAGGCTCTCAAGGCTGACCCCCAACCCCCCTCCAACAACGCTGACCACCACAGACCAGGCTAATGACGTCCCTCGCTGACCCCCCCCACCAACGCCCCAAACCCCTCAAAGGAGGGACGCAGACCCATTATTCAGCCGAGAGGTCGCAGAGGGGAACGAGGAAGAGGGCGACGGAGGAGGAAGGGATGGGTGCAGCCCCAGCCGAGGGGCCGGGCAGCGTAAACAGGCCGATATGACCGTCCCACCGACACTTTCTCCTGAGTTACAGTATCTCCAATCAGTGGTGTAAGGCAAGTCGGGGGGTGTGGGGGGGGAATAGGAGCGAGGGGGGGGGGTAGAGAATTAAAGATGAAGATGAGCCGCCGCAGCTGGCCGAGGGAGCTCGCTGAGGCTCCTCAGGCCGTCACCGAGCTCCGGACTCCGGAGGCGGGTCTAAGGCCGCGGGGTCAGAGTGCCGTCATCACTGACTGCGTCCCCCTCCCCACACCCCCCCCAAAACTGGCGGGGTGGTTGTCAACGCGGTGGCGCATCTGCACAGAGAACAAAGGCCACTGACAAGGGCGAGAGGGGAAGAGAGTTAGCGATGGGAGCGGGAGAGACTTTTAACCACAACGCCGCAGTTGTGAAGCATCACAGGACTCGTTTGGGACATATTGTTCAGATTAAAGCCTTGACGAATAAAAAAAAGCTCTCTCGAACGGACCTCCGCCGGGGAAGGTTCCAGTGATTTAACAGCTTTTTTCTAACCGTTTAAATGAGGCGACAGGTAAACAGGGGTCTGATTATTTGCTGGAGGACGGGAGGAAAGGTACCGTGACAGATCAGAACAGCTGGTGGGTCACGACGGGCCGGCGAGGTTCTGTGTGGATGTGACACCATGATCATTCGTACAGCATGCAAAGTTTGTCAATTCCGTATGTGCGTGCAGATGATGACTACAGGCAGTTGCTGAATATAATTTAATGTAAACTGAAGGAAAAGCAGAAATGATGATTATACTACAAGGACACACACACACAACACTATTATATATAATAATATATATGAATAAAACGATAACTATTTACATCTACAGGACGCTGAGAATGACTTTTTTCAAAGGGGGGGTGCAGGCTAGTCGTTTAACCCTCTTTCCAGTATTTGTGCTAAGCTAAGCTAACCAGCTGCTAGCTAGACAGCCAAACCGTTTTCTGTTAGTATGAGCAACCGCAAAAACTCCTTCTCTAATATTTCAGATAAATAATTCTTCACAGCCATCTATTATTTTTTTTCGGCAATAACAACACCCACTGATTTGTGGACATCCGTTACGCCGTCGCCATCTTGTATTGCGGCCGCCGCCATGTTCTTTTACCAACGAACAGAAGTTGCCATATTTGAAATGCTGAGGAGTCATTTGTTCTGCTCCGGTAGCAGAAGCAACGTGTCGACCCCAGTGTGCCGGCCGTAAAGGACACTCCGCTTCACGGTCTATCCAACATCATTTACTAAACAAACATCATCATGCTGTACGGAAGAAGAAGAAGTTTAAGTTAATTCAATATGGACAACGTGAGTAACGAAAGCGCACGATCGATATGGGCCTCAATCTTCTCACCTAACAAAATAGAAAGTTATTTTTCTCTGCAATAGAGTGGAATAAAAAACGAATGTCTCCTTTAAACAAAGAGAGTGTGGCAAAGATGCAGCTTTATTACAAAATAACTTTCCAGGAGATGCGGATGGATTGAATGCTAGTGTGTCCTTGGTGATCTTCTACTTTGGAGACCTTGACTGGGGGAAAGACACATTTCTTACGGCCAGAATCTTTAACGGTCTGTTGTTGAGAGGAAAACGTCTTGGTTTCACATTCCAGTGGCGAGGATGAAAGCGAGCGACCGTCCCAGGACGGAGGCCCGCTGACCGGCCCGCGGGTCACAGCTCGCTCCAGACGGGCCCCCGACGGGCCCCCGACTTTACACGCGCCTGTAAACACACGGCCCTCCGTTTGCATGTAGCCGCGGCCGGCTTGACCTAAAACTAGAACTGAAACTTAATATCAATCTGCAGCTCGTCCACTCTGAAGCCTGCTAAAGTCCAATCATTACGGTCCCGTCCAAAAATCACTCGTCGCAGTCACTCATCCTCTCGTACGCACCAACGGATCAAAGTCGCTTTCACCAGTCACGCCGCATCGCTCTCGGACAGAATTGTCATCGAGTGTTTCACCACTCGAGCCTCGCCGAGATTACGATCTCTGTAACAACACGCAGGGAGGTGAAGCCGCATTGATCCCCTCCACCCAGCCATCAGCCAGTGACCGAGGGCCCCGACCCCCCCCCCCCCGAGGCCCCGCCTGCCACTCGGATCACAACGAGAACACGCGACCGTCTGACAACCCGCCGCAGAGACACAGTGAGACGGAGACAGAAACGTGTGGTAGAAATTAAAGAGTCACTTAAGTTCAATCGAAGCCCTTGAAGTGGGAGACATATTGTCATCCGACCAGGTTCATACTTGTATTGTGAGTCTCCACTGGAGACATTTACACGCTTTGATGTTTTTACCAACAGCGTTTAATTATTATTAGCACTTAGACCTGAAGAAGAAAGAAGAAATGACTTCGCCAAAAGATTGAACGGAGACTTTCCCGTCTGCGGGTCTTAAAAAGGGCAAGTCCAGTCTGTGAGGGGACGAGAGTAACAAGCTCGACAAATACCACAGCGGGCAGCTCGTAGGACAGCAAACCTTCAGACAAGTTCAAGGCCGTGGGTAGAAATAACCCCCCCCGCCCCCATAAAAAAGGTTATTTTATGCAGCCACACATTCAGTTTCAAAGAACGGTCCACATGACCACACACACACACACACACACACGGGCCTGCAACATGTATACAGCTTTCTGTCAAGTCACACCAAGCGGGCCTGACGGGACCGGGGAGAGCGAACCAAGGGGACAGAAGGAGAGCTGTGCACCGGGACTGGTTTCTTTTTCTTTAAAGTATAAATAGCAATGCGGGGCTGAGGGAAAAAAAAAAAAAAAAAGCACAGCTACTTCATTAAGCGCAAGACGGGAAAGAAAGCGGAGGACAAAGCAAACAAAGCAAGAATTGGGTGAAGAAGGAAAGGGGTGAGTGAGGGTTGGGGGTGGGTGATGGGTGATGGGGGGAGGTGGGGGGGTGGAGGGGGGGCTTCTTCTTCCCTCCCATCTCGCTCATATAGCCGACACTGTGGCTGCATCTCTATAGGTGAAGCCTCCCCGTCACTTGGGCCTCGCATTGCCAAGGGCCGCTCGGTTCCCACAGTGCGCCCCGGCCCCCGGGCGTCCGGCCTTCCTACAGCACCCCCCCCCCCTCCACCCACCACCACCCACCCCCCGGGCCCCGGAGCAGAGGTTACACCAACACAGTCAGCCACGGCAGCATGTCAGGCCCACACCAACCGTTGCCTTGGTGCCGCTGCATTAACGAAGCGCTGCCGGCTCGCCGTGACGTGCACGGCTCCGCTTCCAGTTGCTGCTCGCTCGCTCACTGAGAAAACCTCTCTCTCTCTCTCTCTCTCTCTCTCTCTCTCTCTCATTTTTCCCTTCTTTGTCATTCTCTCCACCACATCCTCAGATCTGCCCTCCCTCATTCCTCCGCTTCCCTTTGACTGAGGGCCTGAAACACCGGGCCGTGATTAGCCGGACTGATGAGACACGAAGAGTCTAGTCTGCGACATCTGCATTGAATAAATATTGTGATGACAATTCTCCTTTTTCCTGGTCATTGCTCATCTCTTCAGTTTTGTTTTGTTTTTTCCAAAATTGTTCCCAGCTTGAAGACGAGTCGGTGCCCCCGACATCAAAAGTTAGACACAATAAACATGCTGACAAATAACTGGGGGGGGGGGGGGGGGGGGGGACGCCTCGGCGGAGATAAACGGGAACCGGAGGAGAAGCCCGGACGAGGCGCCATCCACGCCGCTCCGCTTGGCCCCCGACAAACAGGTGCATGCCGCCAGCGGCCCCCGGCCCTCACGCCGCAAGCAAGTGTGTAATCGATGTGGAAAATAAAGTGAGAGGAAAAAAAAAACTACTTCTAATTGCAAAATGTAAATATTGAGTTTTCCCACAAAGGGGGGGGCAGACCACCCAGAATGCAAAACAGCCCCCCCCCCCCCTCTCCGCCCCCCTTTTCCCCTTTTTGCCTCGTCGACCGCCTGAGAGACGTCTTTTTGTGTGTGTGCCACCATGTGCCTTTTATCGCATATACTTCTGGCAGCTCCGGCTTTTGCGTTGTGCGAGAATAAAGTGTTGGAATAAAAGCAGTCCGGGGGGGGGGGGGCTGCCTCTTGTCTGGTGGGAATCATTTTCTCGCACCAGAGCAAGAGGGCAGCCAGCTGAGCGGGTCGGCCCCGGACTGACTGACTGACTGACTGACTGACAGACAGACCGCTCCGCGTGCGCGTGCGTGTGCGTGCGTGTTACAGGCCGGTGTCAAATACTTGTCTGGACCGTGACAAATACCTCCTGGTCGCTCTCACTACAATCACCTGCAGGATTGGCTATGAAACAGACCGCTTCACACTGCTGATGCTGTTTGAAGATCAAAGGGAAATTATATATATATATATATATATATATATATATATATATATATATATATATATTATTATTATTTTCTGACAACAGGTAACTCAGTCACACTTCATTCAAACAGTCGTATTTCAGGGAACTAAGAAAGAAGCCATTAAGTGATTGCAAGACGCTTCGATCCAAAAACTTTAACTCTCTCAGCTGCCAAATACTCTTCTTATTACTTGTTTTAATACGCTTAGAATAAAGTCCCATTTGTTTGGACAGCTGATCAAGTGTCATCACTGCCGCGTCTCCAAAAAGCACCCGGAAAGAAAAAAACAACCTCTCCATTCGGTTCCCAACCCGAGCATTTCTCAGCCATCACGAGGAAACGCGTCGGCGTTATTTGGAGGTGAAAACTTACCTTGAGCGCTTTTACTTCCTGACGCCGACTGTTGGACAAAGGCGACCAGGCAGAAACCCACGAATCCAAAGCTCGCGCGTATCGCCGCGTGCATATACATGTTAACTTGAGCACTTTGTAAGACCTACGAGCACATACAAAGAGGGTGTGTGTGTGTGTGTAGAGCCCTCTTGTTATTCCTCCTGAGCACCCGCTGGCAGGACACTGCGCGGTCCCGATTCCTCCACGCGCTTATACGAGGTTCGAGTGATCGGGGTCGAGGACAGACCGGCAGCGCGCAGCGGAGGACGGCTTCTCTGTTGTCATGTTCCGAGCCAGACGGATGTCAATTTAAGAAAGGGGGGAGAGAGAGAGGGAGGGAGAGGGAGAGAGAGAGAGAGAGAGAGAGAGAGAGAGAGAGAGATGGAGTGGAGCAGCGGGGACTGAAGTGGGAGGAGAGAAGATGAAGATGAAGAAGGAGAAGGAGAAGAAGACGGCGATGACGAAGAAGACGCGTCCGCGTTGCGCTCTGGACTCCTCCGCTGATCCTCCTCTCACTCGCCCTCACCGTCCCCCTTTGTTGGGACGCGCGCACACACGTGAGGGGGGGGGGGGGGGGGGGTCCCTCGTGCTCGCGCGGTCACCTGCCCAGTGTCACCTGCGCGCGCGCAAAAAAAGCCCCCCCCTTACTTCGGCAGAAGGGGGTTTGTGGGGGACGGAATGATGGAAAAAGTAATGGGCTGGAGATTGCGTTTTGTGGAGCTGCAGCTCATCCAGTCGCACCACACAACCCATTAGAGCCCATTTACGACGGGGAGTTTGTTTCTGTTTTATTGTAGGTTTTTTTGTTTTGGTGGGGGGGGGGGGGGGGGGGGTTGTAGCGTTACGGAAAGGTGTCTGCTGATGTTAGATTAATGTGTTCATTAAAACAGTTGGTCAAAAACAAATGTTAACATTTAGAAAACAAAAAAAAGTTTAATCCAGACCAAAATATTAGAGGACATTTAATGGCATTCTTAACAAAATGGTTTAATTTATGGAGGGGGGGGGGGAACTTAATATGAAATATTATAACAGGAAATATGTTTTTCTCAATAAAAGTGAATGAATATGAAATAAACTGCACCAGCTGCTCACAATACACTCAAATAAACCAGTTGCTCGGGCAGATAATTAAAAATCGGTGGTAGGTGTAATAATCACCTTGCACAGGTACCCAAAACAAAGAAAGCTATTCATTTTTTTTTATTTTGGTGATCTAGCTTGGAATTAAAGATGTGCCTGATCAAAAAAAATCATTAATATGAAGACTCTTAAATAAATTCCCAGACCATTTCTTCCTGAGACCAAACGCTACGAGTGTTGAAGCCGAACGGCTAAAAAGTCAGTTTGCATTGGACCATCAGCCACGGTGCAAAACCGTTGTCATGATGGAATGTTTGCACACCATTACCCCCCCACAACACCTGAAGAGCAACGAGCCTCGAGCTCCATGAATCAAGACAGACCTCTCACATCAGCAGGGGCCCACTGAGCTACTGTGCCACATAGGAGACGTTGGTTCTCTGGAAGGTCCCCGTCGGGGGCCAAGCGTCGGTATCCTCGCACATGCAAATCAATCAGCCTTGTTGATGCGTTTGTGTTTGCATTTCAACGCACCGGCAGATTCAACACTATAATTATTGTAATTCTTTCCCCTCAATCCACTGCAGCGCCGGCCTCACAATGAGGCTGATTGGAAATAACAAGTCCGTCCTCCGAGGATAAAGACAGTCATGAAACAGTGTTGTGGAGGACGCCAATCTCATTCGATTGTGTCATTACCTCAACTCGACTGTTACTGTGTCAGACCACCTCAGGTTCAAAGAGCCATCTCACGCACAAGGACCTTTAGAGACTGGGGGGGGGGCTCAATAAATAAGAGATTCAGCACGAGAGAACAAGCTCCTTGGAATACCGATTCAAAGTGCATGCAACGCCACGGCAGCAGGCCGAGCCGCTCGCTGTAATCACAGTAGCATCCGTCGGGGATGTGGAAATAACCCGCGTCCCCGCGTTTAAGTCTCTGGGTAGTTGTAAAACCAAATGAGCTCAGAGTCACTCGGGGAGTTTGAGAAAGTCAGCGGGCGGATGCCACGGAGCCCGAGCAGCAAGTCGCACCGGAGGATCAGTGCACGTGGTTAAAAAGACAGGAGGCTGCGCGCGGGAAACCCGCTGTGCACCAAACAGGGCTATTTTTACCCCAACAGACACACACGGGGGTGGCGGGGGGGGGAAGCGAGGCAATGTTTCATTTATGGCGCTCGTAGTGAAAAGGACTTGGGCAGGCGAGGATCTTTCACCGACCAGAAGTCTGGTTAGCCGGTGTTACAAAGCCAGCGAGGTGGCGTTGACCACAAATGACCTTTTGCCACGAGCGCGCAGCAACGTTCCTTTTTCTCTTGGGCCTTCTGTGAATTTGGAGAGACAAGAAAAAAGACACTTTTAAAAAAAACTTTTGCTCAAAGTGCTGCAGAAATGGCACAATTTGGATTCTCAAAAAGAAAACGGTTGAGCGCAGGAGACGGATCCCCATTTCAAGAGCGGCGCAATGTTTGGACGCCTCCTTTATAACCTCTCGTAGGTTATAACCTCATGTTTGAGTCCCACGATGCTGCAACAGCTGCCGCGGTAAGATACATGCAAGATGGATGCGCGTTGGGAGGCGTCTGTCAGAGCCGTTGCTGCATGCTAATGGGCCGAGGAGGGAGAAGTCCTGCAGAGAGCCTAATGTCCTCCTCCAGATGGTCTACACAGGGGCACATCACCTCAGCTCCTCATTTACTTTCTCCCACTTTGACGTTCATGCCCCCCCCGCGATTGTCTGAAAGATTTATGTGTGAAAACGCCGAGGCTCGCGGCTCAGGAGTTTTCCCCTTTCCCGCCCCCCTCCTTCCTTCTATGCGGGGGGCTCCGTATGCGAGGTGACCAACGCCACCGCAGGCCCAGCAGGACCTCTCGGTACTCACCATGCCGGCACCACAGGGGAGCGCAGCGGCTTGCTGAGTTCCACACTTTAGTGCAGGCATCCCAGCGAACGCTGTGGGCTTGCCCCAGGAATGCCTCCCGACCGCATGCCTCAGTCACTGGCACTAACAGGGAGCGGGAGAGAGGGGAAGGAGAGGAGAGGGGAGGGGAGGGGGGGGGGGGATACACTTATCAAGTCGGCAGAAATGGCGGGTGAACCAAAAAGACGCGTTGTTCCCGCCCGTCAAATCGTGACCGCGGCCCATACATGCCGAGCGGCACGAGAGGCCTTTTAGGGTCGGCTTGTGTTTGTAGCATCACGCCGCTGGAAGTGTCGGATGAGTTCTAATGAGCGCCATCGCTGCTGCAGGAAGCAGGGAGGCAGACGAGTCACAGACAGGCCTCGCTGCTGGAGGGGAAACAGGCCCGTGCGGGAACAATGTCTGCTGTGTGCGCGCAGACAAGTGATATTATAGATATCAGACGAGACCCGACAGGGACACGTTGTCCCGCTGGGATCCCTGGTTTAATCCGCACCCATTGATCCCGAATCACGCAGAGTATCAATCACGGCCCCCACAGCAGAGTTGTATGACTGCGCTTACTGCCTCGCCCACACAGGCTCATTTAAGCAAACCCCTCCGATGACATGATGGCGTGCTGAACACCCCCCCCCCCCCCCCCCTGCCTTGGTTTGGAAGACCTCCATGGTCTCATTGTGGCCTGATAGTGGAGCAGCTACCCCCACTGGACCTGCTCCCACTGGAGGGAGGGCCTCCCAAGGGCTTTGTGGAGGTTCCGGTGACGTGTGTTTTAAAAAAGCACCCAAGAATACCAAGATTCTAGGGCATGGAAACTTTAAATCTCCCGCAAAGTATCCCGGGGCCCCAGAGCTTTACACGACTGATTTTCAGGGGCATTGTGACTCCTAAGGCGACTAACGACTATCGGAAAAACGGCATATTTTGCCAATAACTGGCTGAACTGGATTTCCTCCTGGGAAAAAACAAGTCAAGACTTTGAATCTTTCTTTGGAAAGATAAAAAAAAGAAAACTTCAGCTCAGGACTGATGTAACCTCATGAGCATTGCAGGAAATAAGTGTAAAAAAGATTATTTCCCACTGGACTAAATGAATAAAAGTCTGTGAAGAAAATTACACAAAAGCCTGTTTTATGAGACGTTTCATAAATCAATAGCTGAACCAAACACATTGTAATCAGTCAATTTCATCTGTGAAAAGGCTAAATACCTCATTCTTCCTACATTTTGATTAACTGAGCTTCAAAAAGATTTGGACACTTGAGGTAAATAAGAGGAAAATTGAGTTAACTCAGGTTCTTTCTGCAAAATGTTGCAAAGGTATTTCCCTCTGGGCCAATTTAAAATGGAAAACTGACCTGACTTTCCAAACTTCATTTTTCACGCAAGGCTGATGATACAATTATTATATCAACGTGTAATTTGATTTAGTGAATGCAAAGCAAATCTACAACAAATGAGCTGACATCATGATATAGAAATAAACATGTGATAAAAGTCAGAGTTTAACAGTAAATCCTTTTTTTTCAAGATTTTAACCCATGAAGATGCACATAAAGAGTATGCAAACAAAAGACAGTTAGTCATGACAATGTGTACTATGTTTCATTCACTACTCGCTGCTATTTCTGGACCAATGTAATGTGTGATATGCAGAAGTGGAAATGTTGAAATTCATCATCATTCTTTTATTTTCTGTTGGGTGAGGGTGGAGTCCGCTCGCAACGAACTCACGGTCATGTGATGCGAAAGTACGTGAGTGTGAGTGTCTGCATGTGCATCACTTTAGGCTGCTCATCGAACCTTCCCTCGAGGTTCCTCCGTCAGACACGCGTGAATGTAGACTGCCCTCTAGTGGTCTCTGTAGACCAGGGGATCCGCCTCTGATACAGGAGAGTGTGAGCCTGTGTAACGCCTGCTGTTATTCTTGAGAAGAATTGGGATGCTGGATTGGATCCCACAATGTGGAGGCTACAGAAAGAAGTTGCCATGGAGTCAGTTGATCGGCTATTTGTCGGTTACAACCTGAGCCCTATTTTATTTAAGCCAACATCTGCTCACACTTAAAACACGTGATGATTCTCGTTTTAGGGGGAGCGTCTTTTTTTTAATGGGACATTTATTAACTATTGGAATGTGTAAATCACACTAAAACCAAACCATGTCTATCCTGTACGAGTTTCAAGCCTTATTTGAGTTGTGACGACCAAAAGTTACCTGAATGGATCCACAGCACCTCAGCTCGTGTTGACTAGTCGGCTGCACCTCCTCGGGTTAGTGCACGGGTCGGGTTTTAGTCTAGAAGCAGCAGGAATAACTGGATGGGGTTAAAAACTCAGATCAGAGGCAAATATCGACAGCAGCAGCCACCTGTCGTCTTTACCCCCGGAGGCTCACTGATGTTTTACAGCCTCCTGCTGAAGGATTAGCAGGTGTTTACACTTGTGGTTTAGAAACCTGCTCTCAAATCTCTTCAGGCAAATGAAAGGAAAACAGCTTGTTCCTCCCTCACTGAGAGCAAAACACTCGACTAGAACCCGACTCTGCTGTCCCGACTCCTAAATGTTGGAACGAGCTCTCCGATGACATCAGGACCGCAGATCTTCCGCTGCAAACTTCCCCCTTGACTATAAATACTGACAAATTGTAGCACTTAAATTGTACTTATAATGGCTCTTATCTATAAGTTGTAAACCGGCTTATTTGATGAAATTGCCCTTTCTTGTTTCTCGCTCTTCTGAGTTTGTATCCTTATGGTTGAAATGCACTCATTGTAAGTCGCTTTGGATAAAAGCGTCCGCTAAATGACACGTAATGTAATATTATTATCACACAGTCCTGCTCTTCCTCATAAACCAATTGGTCTTGCAGCATCTTCACCGCTATATTGAAGTGCAGCGAGGGATTAATAAAAGGCTAAAAGTCTATTCCTTTCCAGATCCCATCTTGTGTCTTTGGAACTTCTTGTTCCAAAGACTTGTCTGACTGATATGTTGTCAGTCTCGGTATCAGTCGATCGTAGCAGGTGATCTATGGGGGCCTTGGAGGGCAGCAGCAGTGAACGAGGCCGGTACAGTCACTCAGTCCTCCTCAGTCGATTGTGCAGACAACGGAACAGAAAGATGGCTCACATACCAACACGCCATCGAGCAGCACAAACCGCCCCAGTCATGTTGACAGCTGGTTGCTGCTTCTTCTTTAAACATACTAAGAACAATGTTCGAATCCTGTCTTTCACTCGCGTGCATTTTCACTCACAGGTCAGGTAGAAGACAGATGTACAGTAGTCGAGGAAAATAAGCCAGGGTGTGATCGAGACAATAAAAGCTGTCTTACAGACACGACGCACCCATGTGTAGAACAGATAAAGTCATCTTTATCAGTTTGCGCACATTCCACTGCTCCCTCAGAGAAAATACTGATGATGTTTGAATGTGGCCTCCACCATGACCTAGAAAGTATGTGTTCTATTCCAAAAATGGAGAAAAAAAAATATTTTCAAATACAAGTCCTGAGGGGTGAATCTAAATGTTAACATTTTTTTTACGGACAGATCTATTTGTTCTTAAAAGCCTGCAGCAGTGGAAAACAGTTTCTCGGTGCTTGTAAATGTTTACGAGCCGCGAAAGGTGTTGCCTAAAACCTGCGGCGAGAAAAATATGGCCTGGTCCAAGCACGTATTTGATATTTGTGACTTGAGGTCAAGGAAGTCAGCCGTTTATGATAATAAATAGTTAAAGTGCCACTATGCAAACTGCATGTTTCAGATTCCTGGTGGCCACCGACTTGTGCTTTGAGTTACAGTAAGGAACGTTCTACATATGCAGGACATGCTAGACAGGTTCAAAATGTCGAGTATAAAAAAATCAACAGAGCTGAAAAGGGAAGGTGACCTTTGAAAGTATCTAAAAAGGAGAAACGACCTCAAAGTGGTGTCACTGTTTTAAAAAAAAACACTTGTAAAAGCAGACACTGACATTCAGTAAGGTGAATGGATCACAAGGAACATTAAAATGACAAAATAACTCATTGCCTCTGAAAGTAACAGTATTTTTAATTTAAAACCACAGCCAGTGACAAAGCGTCAGGGAAAATTTGAGAAGTTGTTTGATTGACAGGAAGCAAAACATCTTACATCTGGCTGCATATGAGGAACAAGTAGATGCGAGTGATGACCGTCAATGTTACCCAGACACATGAGGAGGTTTCACGAAAAACAAAAACGCTGAAATAAGCTGCTTCCCTAAAGTGTTGTGTTGCTTTCATCAATCCCGTGTCGCTTCCCGCTGTGTTAAATAAAGCATCTAAAGTAGCACTGAAATGAGGTGTAAGATGGCCGCCTCAGTCCCTGAGCAGCCCCAGCTTCTTCAGGGCCTGCCGGCGGTCTCCCTCGTTCTCCGCGCGAGGGCAGATCAGCACACTGATTCCTTGCGACCGAGGCAGCTTCTTGGAAGCTTCCCCGAAGGCCTGAGGGCCGTGGTGGGCGGGCAGGGACCTCCGGAACTCGGGCTCTCTGCCGTCGGTCCGGCCCACCGCTGGAGCCTCTCTCCCTGCACCCGTGAACTCTTTCAGACCCCCCAGAGAAGCCTGCCGCACCCTGTTTCTGTGTGGCTGGCCGGCCTTGGTGGAGTCCGGACCATCCGCATAGCTGCTTTGACCCAGACCAGGGCGCTCCAGGGTGGCCGATTTGGCCCGCACGACCTTGGACGGGGTCGGGTGCTTGACCGGGGCAGGGGAGGTATGAGGGGGCGCGGACATTCTTGCATTGACTCTGGCCTCAGAAGCTCCTCCGGCAGCACGCGGTTCATTACCTGACAGCGGAGGTCCGACGGAGTCGCTGAAAGCAGGTGGTGCCGGCATCACCGCGGCGGGCTGTCCCGCGGGGGCAGTGGAGGTAGCTGATGGTGGCGCGGCAGCGGGAGACTGGGAAGGGACGCGGGCCGGAGATGAACTGTTGACACAGGTGTACGGTGGCGTGAGCGGAGGTTTCAGGCCGATTGGAGAAAGAGGAGTGGCCCATGAACTTCTGGATCTGGGAGAAGCTGGGCCTGGATCTGCCTCTGCAGGTAGCAGGCCAAGCTTTCTGAGGGCCTCAATGCGGACCCTCTGGGGGTCCGGCATGAGCCGGTCACTGCTATTGTGCACCAAATGTTCAGAGTGGTCTTTAGAGACGTCCACTCCTGCCTTGTGTGACTTCAGAATAATGTTGGTAGGGAGCTTCTTGGGCTTAGGGGCCACAGCAGGTGGACTTCTGGGCTCTGGACTTCTGGGCGGACTCATTAGGAGGCAGGAGCTGGGGGCTGGTAGACTCAGTTTTGGAGGCTCGTTTGGAGGCCCCTGGGTGCTCTTGGGAGGCTCTTGCTCCACGGGTGCTCCTGGCTTCTCATTGGATATCCTCGTGGAGGGAAGAAGTTCTTCTACTTTCTGTGGCCGTGGAGGAGTGACCGGCTGATCCATGAAGTCTGAGGGAGGGGGGATCACACCCACATCGATCTGAGAGGCCTCATCGGACACACCGGGGCGAGGACCAGCCCTTGGGACAATCGCAAGATGTTCATCTCCATCCATGGCTACACACACCTGAGAAGCTGATGGGAGGACTTTGCAATCAGCCGTTGATTCGGTGACCGGAGGTTTGGGTGGATTCACCGGGTGCATCGGTGTTTCCAGATCGTTCATGTTGGCCGCAGCAGTCGGAAAGGACTGTGGTTCTGAGGTGTGATTTGGAGCGTGATGCTCAGCTTGGTCTTTGATGGAGAACACATTGGTTCCCGGCCTTGCTGTCTGGTCCTCTTTGGACGCGTTGGACGTCAAACTGTAAACACCTGAGAAAGAAAAGCAGAACCAGTGTGATTAGTATTGCCGTCAATGAAAAAATGTGCCAATATAAATATGGAATTAGACGTAAGGTAGAACGCAAAATTCATACCATTTACTTCTGGGCCTGCAGGGAAAACAGAATCTGGTTCATCATTGGATAATCCGCTGTCCTCCTGCACCTCCAGAGCTTCAATCGTCTCCTCAAAAAACATGAGGCACGCCCTCTCTTCTGGAGACAAGTGCTCCATGCTGTCCTGACTCTGCACACAAAAATAAGAGACTTTTAGAACCTGCACAGTTTCCCAACTCATCAACGATCCCGCTCCGCCATTGAACCCTCAACGCGGCCCTCAGACTCAAGACAGGAAGGACGGGTCAATGTGTCCCGCTGAATGTCCACTGAAACCCGCTGAGTGTGTGTTCCCCGCTAACAGACTCACTTCCTCCCATCCGCTCTCACGTTCACCCAGACGCCCTCGCAGCCTAAAGCGCCACTCTCTGTTCTCTATTTCGACTCTACGAGGAGCACTGACGGACGAGGTGGGATCTGCAGCAGCACTCACGTAGCCGGAGTTAACGCTGATTACGCTGTCGCAGCTCCCGGCACTGTCCAAATTGCTCAAGGGTTCCATGGCCACGCCGCCGGGCCACGTGTCACTCTTCGGCATTGCACAGGGAAGAGGGTGAAGGAGGGACCCCCGGGCGTCGCGGTCCTCTGCTGGTTGGGGTTACGCTCGCCAAGAATAAAGTCTGAGGGGGAGAATTTGGAGAATGTGAGATGCCGGAGTCCGATGAGGTTTGCGTGGCGCCTCATCGTCCTTCAAACAAAACGTAAACGGACTTCAACGGATTATTATCACAGAACGGGCACGCGAGAGACAACACACACCGAGCACCATACGAGACAGGACACGGCCACGACGCATCCTTGCGGCCCATAGTTTAACTTTCTTGCCGTGCGTGAATGCCAACAGCTAAAAGGAAGTAAACGTGGAACTAAGCTGTTGCTCAGCGACGCAGTTCCCCATCGAAACGTCCTAAAACGGGACGTTTCACACTGGTATGAATACAGGAATGTTCAGTATGAGAAACCTGAGCACGAAGCACACGTACGAACCTGGAAATAAACAAAACAAGTCTAAAAGTGACCAAGTGGAAGTGATAATGACATGGCTTAGCGGCTTGTTATTTAAAACTATCACAGCGGATGGAATACAGGACTTTTGGTGGCAGTGGGACATTGAGTCCACAGCCTGATGGCAGAGGACGGAGGGCGTCCGTGCAGATCTGGATCGCCTCTTGGTGGGTTGGGAGAATGCATCCTGGTTATTGATCGTGCTGAGTTGTGTCAGTGGGTTCATTTGTTTTACTCAGGAGATTCCCTGTTATACAAGACAACATGCTCACACATCAGCCCTAACTGTTTAAAAATGAGTTTGTAAACAGCACAGCAACAACTATAAATGTCAAATCTTTCCATTATGTCATAAATAAACCATGAAATACAGCCGCTAAAGGATCCCAATGATGTAATAGCTGTCAAAACGTCAAATGTACTCTCACTGACACATTGAAAAGAACAATTATGTAAATAGCCTTAAGGAAATTTAAACTGGTTTTACTGGCTGTAGTCAGTCATGTTCATACGGGCCAGTAAAAGATTGTTTCCTGGTGTGCAGTGGACACAGCAGCACGTTGAAAAGGCTTCAACTGTCTGCATCAGACGAACAGAGTAGATCTTTTTTTAGGATGGAATTCCCTCTTCGGGCTTTGTTTCCCTGTCGAGCTGAAGTAAACACCAACAAAATAGGTGAACATTTTAACTTTGGACCCACTCAATCAGCCGAGAACGTGGAAGCATTATTCATTCAAATCAACTTAAATAAAGTGTTTCACAATATAGTTATTAACTGTTAACAAAAAATAAAACATCCCTGAGCAATATGGTCTAGTGCGTCTAGAAGCTTGTTTGCTGCTTCTCTTTATCAGTATACTGAACATGTGGGGGGGTCACTTTCGGTTTGACAAAGCAACACGTCATAATGTCATTTAGGGCTGTGACACATTTTTGAAACATAGATGAATGTAAAAGAATAAACCTCAAAGTAATTATAACAGTTGCAAAACAAATATTAACACAATTCCATTATTATTTGATGTAAGTTTAATTACTTATTGCATTAACAGCTGCAGCAAAATCTGCTCCCTTAATAACATACAGCTGATTAGGCAAAACTGGGGGTGGTAATTAATTCATCAGCACACAAAGAAAAGCCCTCTCAAAGCAAAGGTCTGACCCCCACCCTGCTTTCCCCTTTAGAGTGCATCGGCGGGGGCAAAAGCAAATACCACCGACAATGAACAGCCATCGAGTCACAGAGGAATAATATTTGATCACCACGGCTGCTTCGCGGATGGATTTTAACTAAACAGGTCACGCAGACGCAATATGCTGCATCCCGAGACAAAAGCTTTACAACCTGTTATATGGCTTTTTTTTTTATCACACAGAAGGACAATCAGCTTGAGGTGTGTTCCTGGAAGCCGCCTCATTGTTCTCCTATCTCAGAGAACATTTGATTAAACGTATAAAAAAGCATTAAGGTTTCCCGTTATGACGAGTCACTGTGTGTCCAGCATGTACGTACAGGACGTATTCGTATGGAATCCCTTGTGGTGTACTGCACTTTATGGCTGCAGCTCACGGGGTCAATGATTAGTCTGTGAATACAGACGCTTTGTCCTCCGCTACGTTGGGGGCTTTTGTTAGTTTTGCATTGTAATAAACGCAAAGTGGAGATTCTAGAGTCGCAGTCGAGTATTTATATATTCAATATATTTATGTACAGACTCAGTTTTAGTTAGAAAACACTATTGGGGTCCTTATAATTAAAACAATGAGAACTTTCGAGTAATGGATAGTTTCCCTTCTTGGATGTTTTCATTTGAAGGATTTTCAGAGGCCTGAAGCAGTAATAAAATACAATATTTGCAAAGAAAAGGATTCATTTCCCATTGAAAACAACTTGGATTCCTAAGCGATCTGCACGTGAAGGTGCCTTACGTCTCGACACAGACTAACTTGTTTCCCAACTTCTCCTTTTTAAAGGAGTGGCTGCGTTTCGAAAAAGGCGCCACGCTGCACTCGAATGTCCTCAATCGCTCGAAGGAAACGAGTGAAACGGGACAAAAACTAACAGTGGGGGTACTTAGCGAGTGCTCGGGACTACGTGGCCCGGCTCGGTAGGGCTCCAATGACTGGGCGATGACATTTCCGTCTTGTTGACGTGACAAGGACAGTTGGTGAAAAACCTGATCAGCAACACCCACATTCCCTCATGTTGTCTGGGTACAAAAGACATCTGACGAAGCAGCCGCTGGCCACTGAACATTTTAATAGCTGCTCATTACTGTCCCTCCCATTCAGTTCAGTGCAGCGAGAGACAATTGTCCAAGCTTAAGTCACTAAACCAGGTAACACACCTGTAGGGCATCCACGGCTCAGACCAGATCTGGAAGATACAGGAATGTCACTTTGCTGGCTTCTGTGTCTTAAAAGCAACTATCAATTATGATGCGCTCTTTTATTATTGTAAAAATAAAAGGGTTAGGGTCGTAACATGTGCGGCAGGTATTCAAGGGCACCCGTATCCAGTTTACTGATTGACAGTAAACAAAAGCTGGGTGTTGCACAACAGAACTATTTCATTAATGTTTAGCTTGACACCATGCCCCACTAAAATAAGTATTGTGGACATTTCACGTGCAAATATTTGTGCTTTCCACGGGTCCACCTCTGAGGCACCAAATAGTGATTAGTTGATCAATGTCTCGTTCATACCCACCCAACTGCAGAAGATGATACTCAAATACAGCCAGCCACTCTACTAAAACCCTAACCGTAACCCAGCTACAGAATATTACAAAATAAAAGCCTCTGGAAAATATAATAAAAGGTGATTGCATTTTTAGAAAAGAAAAACAGACTGATCGACTTTCTCAGCAGAACTCCTCCGCAGCCACGAAAAAATCACAAACAGACGCTCACTTCAGACAGAAGGATTCCCGCGAGACTCACCGCAGGATTGAAGGCGCGTGTAAAAAATAAAGAATAAAAATAAAGAGCTCTATTTTCCGGAGTCAGTCCATAGCGGCGGATCACGTTCACTGCCTTCCTCCGACCGCAGCCCCGCTCCTGGAAGTGAAACCGCACGAAGAGAAGTCCCGGATCAGGTGGGAAACCGTTGCAGCCAGGTGAGTCAGACCGCTCGCGGACAAGTCAGTGGGCGTGGCCATTCAGCAAAAGGTCTGATCGTTACCATGGAGCGGCCAATGGGACAAGAGCAGCCGCGCGGATGGACAGACTGTCGAAATGCGACATGTTAAAACCTAAAAATGATGACTACAGAAGACAAGATGTGCAAGTTACAAGGCTGGAGTTTATACTCCAGGAGAAAATGGCTTGTTCCGATACAAATAGTATTAACAAACACAAATGAGCATCATAAACCTGTTTTAATAGGGCCTTATATGTAATGTTTGTAAAGTACTTATGAATACATTGAAATTGTGTCCTGTGTTTATCCTGTTTTTGTTGCTGTGAGGAGTTTGTGAACAAAGCAGGACGATCTGCAAACGTCAGCATCACAAGGAGCATTCGACAAGCGGGTCCGTCTGATGCACATCTATGAACTTACAAGTGCAAACAGAGCAGAAAGTTCTTCACACTGCGTCTTTAAACAAGATGAGCTAATGGACAAATAAAGAGTCAGAGTCAGCATTTCTAATTGCGCCATTTATTAGTTGTACAATTATGAAAAATAATCATAAAAAAGACTGGAAGCCCAAGATTATTTACAATCTTTTTTTTGTGAGGTCCCTCGTCTGAGTCATCGTTTTCTCAGCCTTTTTTTTTTTAATTTATTTTTTAATCACAGGGTATTTTATTCCTGATATGTTTAACTTTATAAGACATAGTCCTATTCTCTCTTTTGACTAACGTCAAAAATTACATACGTACATACATACATATACATATATATAGATATCTATAAAAGCAAAAAATCATTCAAGTATGAAAATACAGGCCGCTAGATTCATGTACAATACCATTCTCATCATTGTTTGCCATCAGATTAGTCCCCAAAACATCTCAACAATGTGCAAAAGCAGAACGGGACCAGCGAGCTGAAGACAGTGTACCATAGAGTTATCGCGTACTGGCCTGACAACGTACCACAAATACAACAGTTAAATCCAAACGACCAGAGTGTGCAGCCATAAGGACGTTAGTTGACACACCGGCAGAAACATGCTGTTCTGTTCTGCAGCTAAAACCGCAAGACGTACCGGCCTGCATGGCAGGTTTGGCGAATGACCTCGTCCACATGAACTGAACCAACAGGAGCGGGGGAAGGAGGGCGGGAGCTGCAGTGTACCACACCTGAACAGGTTCCAGCATTAGAACACATTAAAGCCCAATAAAACAATTAAAATGTACAGAGAAATAAACAACTTTTCAAATCAAATAAAAAGACACCCATGTTATATTATTTTAAAACAGTCATTGTGTCAGTTCCTCTGCCCTTTGAATTTGGTTAAAGAGCTCCTCCCGTGCGAGATCACATTGTTTTATCACAGTCATGTGTTGTGGATGAGCTGACGGTCATATGGAGACGCTACAGGACCGCGTGCCTACAGTGCGACGTCTCTGTCGGACAGTTTGTACCTTTGTGTTACCACAAAAAAAAAAAAAGAAATCCTCAATCCAGCCGCTTCCCCTTTGGCCACAGGTTCCTCAGCCTGAGAAACTAAACCCAGGAGTCTCTGTACAGAGCACAACAAACGCATCGGACTGTGGGACAAATATTCTGTGCGGATGGACGGGAAGATAAACGGGGTGGGTGTGTGTGTGTGTGTGTGTCCCCGATGGGCCGTGCGTCTTGGAGAGCTGTGCGTGGGTTCGTCTCCCGGGCGAGCTCGATCCAACTGGTGGTGCGACCCTGCTGCATGGGAAGCGGGTCACAGAACAACCTACCCACCATGCAACTGGGCTCATTCCTACTGGCAGGGAGGGGCCACAGTGTTCAGCTACAGGGACACAGACACACGCACAGAAAGCAGTGAGGTTAAAAAACAAAACAAACACAGAACCAATGGACACAAACAGTGTGACGGGGACGAATAATACCCCCCCCACCCCCGCCCACCCCCTGCATAATGATTAACTATTTTCACTTGCAGCCGTGAAAGATTAACCTGGCGGTGATTGGCAAAAAAAAAGGCAATGCTCACGGGACAAAGACGGAAGGCATTTGTTAATTTGGTAAAAGTGCTTAATTATCGTTCACGGCAGAAGAAGCACCAGGTCTGAATGCGGATGCCTGGACTGATAAAAGACAGAGGAGGCCGAGCCAGGCTGAAGACCGCCTACTAACACCAGGGTCCACATCAGGCTTCACGTCCTATCCTGGCCTTCCATGTCCCCCACAAATGCTAACGCTATTAGCTTAAAAAAAGAACCTTATCACAGTGCTAGGACCTCCTTTGGCTTTGAGCTGCCCCCCCCACCCCAGTAAACCCCGTGAGACCTCAACAACCCCACTGAACAGAAACAGTCGGCTTAAGTCCAACCGGAGAACAGAATCCCGGGACCACTCGGTCCGTTTCCTCCGGGGACACGTCCGTGCGGCGGGGTCAAGATTCCCTCAGCACTTCGGGGAGTTGAAAGATCAGAGTGAAAAGTCTCAGAGTGGCCGTCGCCTAACAGAGCAGGAAAAGCACCAAGAGAAGAAGAGCTTATCACCAGAAGTCAATAGCTGGACGTTGACAGGGGAGAAGAAAAAAAGGGAAGCATTGTAGAGAGAATTCAGGAAGTATGCAAGGTAAATAGAGAAGGGAAGGTGAGTGGCGAGCTGGAGGGGGTGGGGGGGGGAGGCGATAAAGCAGAAGGGTTGCACTAATAATCAGTCATTAGCGCTACGAGGGAGGAGCGAAGCACTCGCAGACTTGTGTCGATGTCGGGCGAGGAGTAGAGTGACGGGGCACAGGCCCCGCCCACAGAGGGAGAGGCGGGGCCCGGAGTGAAAGGCACACAGAGGGAGGGAGCGGGGTGAGAACAGGCCCAGAGGTCAGAGGTCACGGGGGCTCGGAAAGGAAGAGGGGGTCCACTCAGAATATGGTGGTCTCGTACTTGGTGCTGATCGTGCGCTTGGATTCCTTGGGGTCCGCGAGCCACGCGGCGCCGCCCCCGGACTGAGAATCCCCCTCCGGCTCCGCAATGTCGCTCTGCGAACACAAGTAGGGGGCGTCAAACTCGTCCACCCGAATAGCTTAACGAAATAATGATACATCTTAACGTACGGGATCGCCTGTATTTAACTATTAACCTGTATTTAGAATCCTGTTTGGTTCAATAACAGTTTCCATCGTCTCAGTTAGACGTTCTGTGATAATGCATTTTAAAAAGGGCTTTCTTTACACTTCTACTTTTACACAAGCACACATAAATGAATAAAACATCAGTACAGACTTTCAGTGCATCTATCTGAACGTAAGCTTGTATCGCTACCACAACGTCACCAGGGGGCGCCTACGTCAAAAGCAATATCCATCCGTCCACACGCGGCTAAGAGGAGGAAAAGTGCAGCTTGTGTACGAATAGTATTTGTAGGGAGGACAGAGCGAGAGGATGAAGAGGAGGATACAAAGGCAGCAGGTGAACGCCTGCCGAGAGGAGGACAGGGTTAGGGAAGGAAGGGAGGAGGAAGGAGGACAATAGCACATAAAAGGTGGGGGGGGGGGGTGTTGTGGGACGAACAAAATACCCCCAACACACATTTGAAGTATACTATAAAGTTGTTCTTTGTACTGGAGTTTTGACTTCTTCCTTATTTTTTTACATCACTGACTAATTATGTTCCTCTTTTAACCTTCATGCAGCGTTTTGTGCATCGATCTCCAACTCACCGCCGACTTGCGCACGCTGCCTCGGGGTTTGGGCACAGGTCGGCTGGCCTCTGACCCGGGTCCCAGCGGTAGGTTCTGGTGCTGTTTGGTCCTCTGGGCCTGCAGAGCCAGCTGATAGGCGACCTCAAACGCCTGGCCGAGCGTCAGTATGATCTCATAGGTCAGATTCTACGCAGACGGCGAGAGCAAGAGCAAGGGGATGAACAGGCAGTTATTTTTGGGGGGGGTATTCTGGGACATTTTGAGGTTACGAGGACAGGAGACGGTGTCGGAGGATAAGATACTGGTGCGGGTACGGCGAGAGCTTCCTCACCACGTCGACCGTGCTGAACACGTGGCAGTAGTGGTGGCTGGTCTGCAGGTCCTTGGTGATGTAGGCAAACGTGCACAAGTCCTCCGGGTCCTGGGCTGCGCACGAAATGTTGCGGATCTCGTGCTCCGCGATGATGTTCTACGTGGACGAGGGGGTTCAGCATTAGGGGAGATTAGGATGAGACACACATGCAAAGAGGAGACGTTGGCATGTTTTACTGGGCCGGTGCTGATCGGCTCACCTTATTGGCGGCGTCGATGAACTTCACACCCTTGTAGGTGATGGAGAGGACGATGGTCGGGACTTTCCTCATTTGTTCTGTCGACCTCTGGAGGGGGGAAAAAGGGGGACACAATGGCGGAGAGGACGTTAAGTAAGTACTGAGGAGCCTTCACTCATTTGAGGAGGGGAGGAAAGTGGCGGCCGTACCCGCATTTTGGCACAGGCGTCCTGCGTGGACTCGGTGCCCCGCAGCTCCTTGATGAGCATGGATCCGAGGTACTGCGAGCGGGCGAGAGAGAGAGTGAGAGAGAGAAAGTGTCAGTGAGCGCGTTGGATGCCGACATAGAGCAAGGGAGGGCGGAGGGGGGGGTGTTGTGTGTGCACGCACGCTGGCTTCGTATGCGCAGCACTCAAAGATGAGCTTCTCGGGCTGATGGTGCCAGTTCTGGACCGGGGCGTACGGCGCCGCCAGGCTGGGCGGCCGCAGGGTCAGACGGGGCTCCCTGTGCCGGTCCTCATGCCGCTCCTGGGGGAGAGGGGAGGGGGGGGGAATATTATTCTACCGCGTGAAGGCAGTGGAGGACGTGATGCAGCGCGCCGGGGATCCCAACGTACGTGTGATCTGTGCTGTTCGCCGCGATGTCTCTGAGCGACGTCGTAGTCGTTGTCCGGCACTTTTTTCCTCCCGGCCTCTCCCGCAGGCAGCAGGGGGTCCATCGAGCGCCCGGTGTAGGACTCCATGTGACTGAGGGGGGACGAGGTCTGCGATCCGGGCAGGTCTTGGCACTGGAGGGACAAAGGCGGTCAAACGTGGACGTCCAAAGGAAACGCGGGATTGCGCCGCTGGTGGAGGTCCTCACCCTGATCTGAGACAAACGGGGAGGCTTGACTGGAGGCTCCTCGTAGGGCCTCTCCGCCAAGGACGCAATGATGCGTTTCCGGTGTCCCAGCAGGGAGATCTTTAGCACCTGGAGGAAAGAGGAAACAATGCAGTGAACACGTGGAGCAGCACACAAGGAAGCAGAGGTGCTTGGAAGCTTCCCAGGAAACAGACACTTGTTACCTCACATGTTATAACAGCTCGCGCTTCAGACTGCGAGCCTTTAAATGAGACCCTGATCGTCTTACTTTAGAAAAACTCAAGCATCTGTGTTTTAGTTTTTGGGGAGGTGTCGCTCCAGAGGCGAGCTATTGACTTCTTCGGTTGCATTAGCAGCCGTGGAAACTACGTCCCTGATAGTCACCACCAAAGTTCTGTGTATTTCCCTGCAGAGGGGGAGTTTGTCAAACCAATTTCACCCTCCGGTACACCCCGCGCTCCCTGAACGTCCCGGGGACTCACGTTGACAATCTCCAGCTCCCACAGGTTTTTGACACAGTCCAGAGTGCGGTAGCCGCTGGTCAGGAAGTTGTGCAGGTACTCGTGCAGGCCCAGATTATCCAGCCACGAGGAGAGCGAGCTGCTGCCGTCACAGCCCAGTGCCTTCACCTGCAGGAAGGGACTCAGTCAGACTCATGCATGAAAATCTACTGCTGTGTAGATATAAAACATCGTATCTTATGCCTCCGTTTGTTCTCTACTATCGCTTTCTTTTCTTCTCTACCTTTCAGATGAAGTTTACAGGTGAAACGTTTTTTGTGAGATAGTAAACAATGTGTATTCACTCGGTCTCAACTAGTTTTCGGTTTTCTGTCTCCACGAGTTACCTTGGGTAACGAGCGCGATGCGTGCAGGATCTTCTTCCTGTGGCTTGGGTCTGTGATGCCAATCTCCCTCAAGTCCTGGTCCTCCATCACATTGTTCCCCTGAAGAACAAAAAGAAAGAAAGAGCACAAGAAAGTCCTATGAATAAATCTGTGTACATACGCACAATATATTCAGATCTGAAACACAGACAAACGCCAATGCTGCAGGGTGAGTATTGATCGCGAGCGATGCCACCATTTCAGGAAAAAAAAAAGCTTAATTACGTTCAAATATGTCGCTGGGACACAAACTACTGACTGTAGAACGGGGGGCCATGTCGATGGCCCTTTAGCTAGGTGTGAATGTGTGGGACGCATGGCCATAGGGCCCGCGCGCCAGGTAGCGTTTAGCGAAAAAAGGAGGGCAAAATGGGGAGCGTTCCCATTAGGGGGGGGTTGAGTGTCCGACCATTATAGGGTGCTTATAACTGAGGCTGGCAGAGGGAGACCCCCCCCCCCCCCCCCCCACCCTGACCAGTGGGAAGTCAATCAGAGCTCCAAGTCCATCCCGTTCACTGCCGAGGTAAAAGCTTCACGATGACGCTTTATTGGCTCAGGAACATCTCGGGATTGTGCACGTGTGTCATTTTGAAGCACACAGACAAACAGCAGTAATGGGATAGAAGCCGTCTGTAGGTCGAACCTGACAGCCTGTTCTTCATGCAGACCGTGTAGATGCAAACAAGGGGCGCAAAGGTGAGGAGGGGGGGGGGGGGGGGGGCGTGTCAGGGAGGGTAAAAACTGCAAAGTAATCAGTGTAATGCAGCATGTAAAATCTCAATGTTAATTGAGCCAGGCTATTGATCTACAGGGAAGGGGGGGGGGGGACTCTGGACTGTAAGCATGCAATATGTGCAGTGTGGTTCAGAAAGAAGGACCCGATAGTTCCAACAGTTAAGAGCAAAACGAGGCTCCTCAAGCTCTGCAAAGGCAGTTACATCGGTATCGAGCACGCGACATGGTGACGCGCCTCCTTTGCTTTCTTAACCGACAACCCGAAGCCCATCGTCCTCTCCAGCTGAGGGCTGCAGGATGGATCACAGCGCTTTCACATTGCGTGGATCGTCGCATTAGTTTCCCACTGGAGATGAACTGATAAATGACTCCGTGGAGGAAATGCAGCTCTGACACTAACTGAATCGAGAGGCTTTGCTTCCGTTCCCCGGGAGCTTTTTCTTGCACCTTTCGCTGTGAAGCAGAAGTCGTTTAATGCAGCGTTGATGCTTCTTGTGTCGCACTTTACGCTTTGTGGGCCACAAAGTGTTTTCTAAGTTGTAGTGTACCTTTTTTTTTTTTTAAGGTAAATGACGTTACCGGAACAAAGCGCAACGAAGGCCCTGTGGGCCTTAATGCTGCAAAACAATAAATCCATGAATGAATCAACTAGTCGAGCCACAAACAATCAATCGGCAACTACTTTAATAATTGATTTACGGACTATATGGCTTTTGTAAGGCAAAATGAAACATCCGAGCTAATGAGATTACTCAATGAATCCACCACTTGAGCTGCGGCCGCTAGTGTTTCTGTTTGCGTCTTTTCAAGCAGAAATGTGCAACGTTATCCAGGGTTAGCTTCTACAATGTGAACTGTTTTCCTTTGTCCTACATGGTATTAAAATGAATATCGTTTGGTTTTGCACTTCTGTCCGGACAAAACTAAAAGGGGCAAAATCCACATTTTGCCTCTTGTAATAAACCCGATTGATAAGGACAAAATTTGAACTTTCAAAAAAGGTGATGGATGCTTGAAAGGGAACCACCTCGCCTTTGCAAGGTCGCAGTCTACTTCATCTCGAGCAGCCGTCCGAGTAGACTCTGAGAACACAAGCGGCGTGACTTGAGCGGCGTGGCGCTCCGCGGGGGGAAACGCTCTGACTAATGTGCTTCCCAGCAGGTGTGAGCTGACATCAGCGCAACTCGGCGGGAAATAAAAGACGTAATGGAAGCAAGTTGGTTTTGTGACGATCCATCTCGCTGTCGTTGAAATGCTGCTTTCTGACTTCAGGCCCCCGGATCAATCATTCTGTCCGTCTGAAGGGTTTGTGGCCCCCCCCGACGGGCCGTCTTGAGAACGCACGGGACCAGTTTTAAAACCAACCGCCACGCCGCCCCTTTCCTTCTTCTTTAAACGAGCATCAATTCATCACCTCCCTTACGCCCCAACAGCAAAATCAATCCATCCATCGCCAGTCCTTGAGCCCCTAATGCATGCAGCCATTACGGAATTTCCAATTTGTCTGCAGGCTTCGGTGGCATCGACTCTCTGACAAACGCCAAAGAAAAGCGAAGAGGGCGGAAAGGAGGGAGGCGACGCGGCTGCATTGAGCCGACGAGGACGCTTCGTTATTGTGCCGTGAAGGAAGGAGGCAGGATCACGGCGGGCCGACAGGCAGATTAAACACTATTTAATCAGTGATGTCACCGCGCAGCTTCTCGGCGGCGTTCACACCCGTGAGAAGGTTAGAACAAGCCAACGGCGAGTCTGCCGCAGTCGACGTGTTTTCCATTTGATGATTGAAAAAGAGTTTTTTTCCCACCTGCACGTGAATTTGACTTGTCGACTGTGCGCTCGACCCCGGAGGCGATGCCGTGGCCGTATTATATTCCTAAACGCGGTTTGTTCAGCCGTGACTTGGTAGAAATGGTGCACAGGTGTTTCATGGAGTTTGTGTGTTATTACGCTAGATCCATTTGGTAATGACTAAAAAGAGTTTGTTTACTACACTGCAGATATACTGCATACACAATGGTGCCCTGAAGTCCTCAATAGTGATATACATTTAGCAATATATTGGGTTTACTGTTTGAAACGTATTAAAACTTGTTTTCATTGCTAGTAATGACAATGGGGTTGAATTTTCGCCGGTTCATTTGAATGAACAAAAAATAAATGAATCACCTAAATCCTTATTTGTTTATGTAATATTGGACCACATTTAACACAGGAAAGTTTAGCAGAGGCAAAGTGAGTCATTTCCAAATGAGATCGATTTGAGGTTCGTAAAAAGGTCAACATTTACTGGGAGAAGGACACGCCGCATAAAGCCCACCGCTTTTATTCTAAATCCTCTCGCCGGGTAGTCTGAAAGCTGTGTTTGGAGATAACAAAATTGCCGTCTTTCCTGTTTGAAAAAAGGAGCCGTAAGCGCCGAGGGCGGTGCGAGTGCGAGAGACTAAATAGACAGCAGGAAGATTAAAACCGGACCAGGAACTTCAGAGGCACAGAATTAAACACGGCTGTTGATATCAGAACGTGAGAAGGAGTAAAACAGATAAATGGGAAATACTCTACTCTCTGTTACGTAGAGTATTTGAAATATTATTCATGCAGGTATTAGTAAATAATACACGGCCGAGTCCCACAGCTTTAGGATCAAATCTACTCGACTTTCTTTTGGCCACCGTAGACTCCCTCCAGTCTTCCATTTGTTTCACTGAGGGTCGGGTTTACCTGCGACTGCTGTCAGCATCTTCTAATAATTCCGTAGTCTCAGGGATTTGAGCAGGTAAACCGAAAACATCGGTCAGGTCACATTAGGTTTGACGTGAAACGGCATCGCCAGCGACACAGGCGGCCGCTCGGCGGGTGTTCATTTGAAGCTATTAAAACACACATTTCCACAATTTGAGCGAGAGGAGGCGAGAGGTCTCGTCCCATTTCGCCACGTGCCCGGCGGCTCAGCCCACCAGCTGCGTCCCTCATCCTCTCCTCCATCGCTCCTCATTATTTGACGCGAGCAAACGGGCCGGACTCGAAGCGCCGTCCGTTAAACCGGTCGGCTTGGCAACCGCATCCCATCGCTCGGGCGGTGACGCTCCTCCCCCCGGACAGGAAGCAAGGCGCCACGGCGGCAGGCCTCTACTAAACCGCACAGTATCGGGTTCGATGGGCGAATAAATATAGCGAACGTCGATAAAAGCCCTGCGTGTTCTGTCATCAGGTTATTTCATGAATACCGTGATGTGATTGGCATGGTATTGAATTACGTGCTTGGGCCCCCCCCCCAGCTGGGTCAGGGTTCCAGGTAATTGAAGCTTAATGCATGGATTAATGCAGAAAGGCGGCGGGTTAAGTGAAAAAAGAGGCTCATGGATGCAGACAGCAAGCAGAGTGTCTGTGTGTGTGTGTGTGTGTGTGTGTGTGTTTGGGGGCGGCGGCTCACCATGTAGTGCAGGTCGTCGAACCCGTTGAGGAGGAGCTTGCTCTCGTACTGCGGCAGCCCCACGTGCTCCAGCCAGTCCCCCACGGGCTGCTCCAGCAGCCGGCCCGCCGCGCCTGCCGACAGGGGAAAGCGCCTCAGGAGGGAGGAACCTTTCATCCGGTAGCAGCCGCACTTCGAGGGCGAGACGTGACACTGCCACATGCTCCTCGGGCAGCAGGGCCGAGCGCACCAGCAGCAGGACGGCGGGGGAGACAGTGTCTCGTATACGGGGGGGGGGGGGGGGGGGGGGCAGCTCCCCACAGTCGCCCGAGATGGCTCAAAGTACAGCCGAGCTCGGGGGCGAAGGAGAGGAGGGGGTGGGGCTGTAGAGCTGGTGGAGTACCAGCTGATGATTACCAAAGAAAAAGTTCATATCCAACTGGGGAAAGAGTCACGCCGGAGTAAAATAAAAGCTCTGGCTTTGAAAGTGCAGAGAAACCACGGAGATCACCGAAGGGGGGTCTCCTCCGACTCGGAGACCCACCTGGCGTACAATCCGGCGCGCGGGAACTGACCTGAGGACGCGCAGGCGACGAGGAAAGCAGCAGCGCGTTCTCTCCGTCGGGAGCTCGAGATTGATTGAGAAAAAGAGCCACGCTGGCGGCGCCGTGCAGCTCGAGCAAAGGAAATACACATTTAAATTCCCTTAGATCTTCACTTTGTAAGCTAACATCATCCCCCCGGCTGGTAGAAGAGCGTCATACACCCCCAAGAGGAGTTCTACCTCCTGCAAAATGCACATTTCATAGCTTCTTTTCCCCTCGGGTATCGTATATTTAACAAATTCCCACGTCATGAATTCCAGTTTGGTCACAGCAGAAGTCTGGAAATATGTAAGAATAAAAACGAAACAATCAGGGATCCAATGAGCTGTACTCCAAAAGCGCAGCGGGCGACGGAGTCTGACGCCTTCAAGTCCTCCTCGGGAAAAAGAAACTAACGAAGCGGCTGAGCGGCAGAGAGGACCGCCTCATCCTACAGATGCCGCGTCCTCCTATTGGCGAGATGCTCTCGCTCGTTCCCTCTCCCTTTCTCTCTCTCTCTGATCCTCCCTCCCTCCCTCCCCCTGTGGGTGGCTGCTCTGTGTCCCTCGTTTTGCGCGCTGCCTCCTGCAATCAGTCCCTTAAAGTTTCCTCCTCCTCCTCTCTGATGTAGAAGTAAATCAGTAAAAGAGCAGAAGGAGTACAAAGCGAGTATCAGCTTTGTACTTGGATTGACTCTGAATGGGAAGGGGGGGTCGGGGGTCAAACAGCCCGAGCCCTGATGGCCTCCTGACAGCGGCTCCGGTGAGACGGCAGCGTGACACGTGGCGAATATTCAAACAGCGCGTAACAAACAGGACGGCAACTCCATCGCTGAGATATATTTAAAATGTGGCCGGGGGGCAAAGTTTGAACTGCAGGGGAAGCTGAGAGGAAGAAGTCGATGGTTTTCGGTTTACTGCTGCAGTTAACTGGGCGTCATCCATCAAACCTGATGAGTATTGAAAAGCCTAAAGAGCAACTGGTGCACAATCCTCGACACAAAGAACTAATAAAGTGGCTTTCTGGTCTTGAAAAGGATTCATTGATCGCGCGGCCCTGACGACAACAGATACTGATGCAATAAGGAGGATTTTCAAATAAAATCCAAGCAGCTGCAGAGATACAGGCCCACTTCCAAATGGGTCATTTTAGGTTCTAACAGTGAGACTAAAATTGACAAAAGGTCAATAATTCAACAACGGGATGTTTTTTAGTTCAACCCATGCAAGTAATAAACGGTTACTAAAGAAAAAGAAGCACCTCTTCTTTGGCGGCGTTGGGTGATCTGAGGGGACACGGGGGTCATACTCTACCTGGTGCCGCATACTGCTGATCTCTGGAGAAATCGATGCCGGCGCCAATCAGTGTCATGATCTTCTCGATCTGAGGACAAGGGAGCAGAGGAGGGAGAGGCGGTGAGGAGCCGGACGAGCCATCGTCGTTCAGCCTCCACCACCAAACACACACACACACACACACACACACACACAGAAACACGAGCCCCAAACACTGAACCATCCCCACAGGAACCCAAACGAAACCTCAGGCGAGAGAGAAGTCAGTCCCAGCGTTTTTTTTATGGAGTAAAGAGTTTGAATCTGAATCCGCGGTCGATTGGCTTAAAGTCTCATTCGTAGACCGCAGGGATCCGAGTCTCATCTGCAGCCTGCGGCCAGAACTGATTCTACAGAAACAATCAGCGTGGGAATGATCGAACCGTCAAATAAGTTTGGGGGCAATCGAGCCGCGACGGTCTTAATGTCTCGGTGTCTTAATGTCTCGCTCCAATCCAGCGAGGCGGAAGTAGTTAAAGACGAGGAACAAAGAGGGGAGGAGCCGTCACAGCTGTCACTCAGACTGAGACTGAATTTATGTCTATTCGGACTTTCGGGATGTATTTCATGAAGGGCAAATGTCCCGGGTGCTGATTTAAAAGGCCGGAGACGGATTTTAGAGTAATGACATAAAGCAATAACCTGCCGCTTTGTCCGGGCTCTCCACATCAATCTGCTCGTGGATATTTAGCAGTGAAATGACATCTAATTGAAAGAGAAACGTCAAGAGACAGAAATCTAACTGAAGAATGATGCTTCTGTACAAATGAGCTGCTGTCGGACTGGACGGTAAATTAGATCTTCTGGACTCAGAAGAAGAAATGAATAATCACCGCCGGGATTGTGTCATTTCAAAAGGGTTCACGAAGCCAGGAAAAAAAAAAAAAAAAAAAGAGATCCCATCTACTTCTACCAAGAAGAGAGACAAAGCCCAGAGAGGACCAGGAGATATCTACGTGAAGGATGGACGTCTTACGCTGTCAAAGGAATTAGATCTCCGCAGGTTTGTGGTGGAAGGAGTCGTCCGTTTCTGCTAAGAGAGAACTCAGGGTTTGGGTTCTGCCTTCATTCCGTTGACTACACCTTCAATGTGCCAGCTGAAGGGATTCAACCCCCCCTGCCCTCCCCCCTTCACGCAATAATCCCATTGAACGGAATGCAAAAGCAGCAGACTTTCACATTGAAAACGGCCCGCGTTCGAGTGCAAAAAGACCACACAGCGCAGCACGGCGCTCCGTCACACTGACGCCTCTCTTGTGTCCAACGTCAACCCTCGGCACAGCGCGGGGAGGACGTAATCTCCGTCCATCTCCAACCGCGCCGCTGAACAAACACTCCGATGAGTCAGCAGAAACTCATCAGTCCGCATGAATACGACCTTTTCCCATTACGGTCAGCCACATATAACGTAATTAAAAATGGGATGCTTTTGCTTTTGTAAGCCGAACGCCATCGGCCCTTTTGGACGGTGTCTCGGGTCACACCTGACGGACGGGGGTCCAATAAGACGTCTCTCTGGATCGAATACATTTTTAAAATGCACTCGCACTGCGGGTGAGGTCAGCCGAAGTTTGTTTTTTTCCTTCATTGAAACTCAATGCACGCGTGGAGGCAAGAACAAGAACACAGCCGGCTGCGTTCCTCGGTGTATCGGCACGTCCGGTGTGATGAAGAGGGGAACGCTCTCTGCTCCAATCTCCTCCTTATCGGGGGACACAGCCGAGGGATCTCGAGGTAAAACACATCCACAAGGAGAAAAAGCCACCGTGAGAATTGGTAAAGCAGAGAGAGAAGAACTGTTTTTGGGTTTTTTTTCCGCCTGGAGATCGAATCAATACAGAGGCCCCGGAATGGAGCGGGCGTCCTTTGTGCGACGGGGAATCGCTACGCGCGGGGAGATACAATGGGGAGGGTCAGAGGTCAGCAGCTGAAGAGCGAGCAGTGAGCCCGTTCTGCAGGCTTCCCACAGTCCGGGAGCGCTGGGCCGAATGTCATCCAAGGGTCTGCAGCAGGTGCCAACGCGCCGATGCCAAAGTGGGACGAGGCGCCGTCGGCCTCCTGAAACAGCCCCCCGTGTCAGGTGGTCCAAGGCGCCAACATCCGCCCCAACCAACCCATCCCCAGAGGATGTGGAGGTATGGGCACATACATCGTGCGATAAGGTCAAATCCCTCCAGTGGTCGACGCGCACTCTCTCACACACACACACACACACACACACACACACACGCATGCACGCACACGAGTGGGTCGGCAGCAGACGCAGCGCTTTTCTCCTCGCAGGAAATAAAAGCCCAAATCCCCACTGGGTTCATGAACAGGACAACTCGAGGAGGGACGGGGGCCAAAAAAAGAACAAAGAGATGAATTGCCCCGTAGAATTAAGAATGCCACAGAGGATTAACTTTTTAAACAACTAAATCCAAAGTAGAAGGACAACGTGAGGGAGGGGCTCTTGTGCAATCAGCACCTACCAACAGAAAGCATCACTTACTGCCCCCTTCGATGCGATTGTGGCGGGCAGGTCCACCATTAATGAGTCTCCAGTGGAGCCGGCGCCCGGAAAGGGAATCAATACTCACAAAAGCTGGTTTCATATTGGCAACTGGATCCGCCGAGTATGAACCGAACACTGCGGATGGCGTCCCTCTCCTTCTGTCTCCGTCTACTCGGCCTCCCTCCCTGTCTCTCCCTCCCTCCCTCTCTCTCTCTCTCCTCCCATCTGTGGAGCTCGCTCTGCTGGCCCACACAATCTGCCCCCTGGATTGTCTTCTCCAGTCTCATCCCGAGAACCGAGACCAACCCACATTAGCATGCGCTTTGCACACCAGCACACACACACACACACACACACACACACACACACACGTAAAGGGGGAGATGCACAGGGCAAGACCTCATGCAAGTCAAATCTGCTCGTCTTGAACCCAGAGGCAGCGTATCCGAGGGTGTGCTGCTCGTCAAGAAGAAAGAGGACACGGAACAGGCTTGTGAGAACGGGATTAAAAGAGGGAAAAGATAGATTTTTTTGAAGTGTGTGTGGGTCACTACTTTGTAATGTCCCGGGACCCCTCGGCCCGGTCACACAGCCCAGTGGAGGACCGCACAGAGCGAAACAGTGAAGGAAACACTGCAGATGGAGCAACAAGAGCCAAGGGGGGGAGAGAGGGAGGGAGGGAGGGAGGGAGAGAGAAGGGAGTTTTTCTAGCTTTCCAGAGGACACTCCCAACGTCATTAAAGAGAGTGCAGGGCAGGTTACGCCCGATCAAACTTTAACTACATTCCCCACACACTCTTCTCTCAGTGCACTTTGTATCGGCGGTGTGAATATTTCCATTTCAAGCAAGCGCCGACTGTTTCCCAGCAAGGAGAAGGGGGAGAGAAGGGGAGAAGGAGGAGAAGGGAGACAAGGGGGAGAAGGAGGAGAAGGAGGAGAAGGAGGAGAAGGAGGAGAAGGGAGACAAGGGGGAGAAGGAGGAGAAGGAGGAGAAGGAGGAGAAGAGGGAGAAGGAGGAGAAGAGGGAGAGGGGGAGAAGGAAGAGACGGGGGAGAAGGGGGAGAAGGAGGAGAAGGAGGAAAAGGAGGAAAAGGAGGAAAAGGGGGAAAAGGAGGAAAAGGGGAGAAAGGAGGAAAAGGAGGAAAGGAGGAAAAGAGGGAGAAGGGGGAGAAGGGGGAGAAGGAGGAGAAGAGGGAGAAGGAGGAGGAGAAGGAATTAACTCAAGCAAGCTTTTGCCCTTTCAAAAGCCCCGCTGACAGACGGCACACGGCTGAATCAGAAACCTCTTATGTCGGTGGAAGAACATGCAACCGTTAGCCGCTAGAAACCACGGAGCTGCGGCTACTCGCTTCTCTACGACATCCTTTCGGACGCGACGGGGCTTTTCCGTACAATACAAATTCATTCTTGCTTCTGTGCCACATGAGACCACACAAACAGAATAACCTTTTGTTTTCAAGGTCAACGGCGGCGTTAATATCATCCGAAACGTTCATTTCACTCCGCGGCGGATGAAACGCAGTCCGAGGTACCAATGAATAATTAATGGCGAATTGTGATGCTGGTTGCCAGCGGCCTACTTTGGGATTTGAAAGAAGCTTCCGGGCGTTCAGATGGACTTTAAAGGCGGCCAGTTCACCCAGTAACACGCACCAGTTACGGAGCATGGCAGATAATGAGGACACCGCCTGAGGTGTGTCTCCTCTTCAGTCAGAAGGCCGATGATACAACCTGTTCCTCCCGCCACATGGGACGCCTCGTGCCCCTTCTGTTAGCCCCGCCCCCCCCCGATCAATCCTCAGCCTCACTTTATCGAGGTCACCGGGAGAAGACGAGCACGAGGGCCGCCGCCGCCGAGGGGCATCGCGGGAAGAGCAGGAACTACTGCGATAAGCAAGTAATGTCACGCCTGCCTTAATCTCCCCCTCATGCTGCCTGAGACCACCGCACGCACGCAGGCGCCGAGCGAGGAGCTGGTCCTTCCACCCGTTAATTACACCGCGCCGCGTCCGCGACCAAGATTCAAGCTCAGAAAATGCTCCCTTTTATTGACCCCATTACTGGAGCGTTCTGCAGGGCGATGGCGAGGCCTCGGATGTCTCTCTGGTACTATTACGAGGGAACGTTGGACTTTTACACCTTTCATTACTCGTTGCTTATTCTAAGACCACACGCTGGTACTTTAAGGCCAACATTAGCTTATTGAGGATACATCACCAACAAGAGGAGGTTTATAGAGCCTGAGTCATCATTCCATAGTTTGTCCACCAGAGAGCACTAACAAGTTGGTTTAATTCATTTAAAACAACCCTCAAAAAAATGTATCTTGAGAAAATCCTCGATCAGCTTTATGCCGGTCTAATATCTTGTTGCAGGTGTATGACACAGCGTAGTTTTAACACTAAAACCTGAACCATACGGATTTTTAAAAAAGGCAGAGAAGATGAAATATCGACCCATTGTCATTTTTCTTTACTCCTACCAGAACAGGAATTTGGTTTTTGTACGAAGCAAGACATCTCAAGACTCTCTGTACTTTCTCCATGTGTTTTCTGTGACGCACACATGCCGAAACATCTGCAAAGCGCTAAACACGAGCTGATGCGTCAGTCAGCCTCGTTTAACGAATAAAGGGAGGACGCAGCGCAGCCCACTGGAGAGATCCATGTTGTCAGAATGCAAACAGCGTGAGGGAACATCGCCTGTACAGATAGTTCCCCCGACAGGCCTGGAGGACGCCATCGACAATGAGAGGCTTGTTGAGGGGAAACTGCTGAGAGTCTGGTCGTGTTTACTGTGCATACCTCTGCTCATTCAAATACAAAAAATTCTTGTGACAACGTTTTAAATAATCCCCTGGCGGTTCAGTGGCGTCCTGCAGAGCTCGGCGAGGGACGGAGACACGAGCGGAAGGGAATTCAGCAAATAAAAGAGACACAAACGTAAGGCCAAGATATGGAATAACGCTTCACATGAATCACGAGTATCTACAACAGGTGGCTTTGAGCAGACAGAAGCCGACGTGGAGGTTCACTTCAGTCCACAGAGCTGTTTACAGTCGGTACTGAGGTTTTTGTTCCCTCCGTTTTGTGGCTGTGGAGAAATGTGGTGCGGCTGCAGCACGAGCTTCCTTAATCCCAACAGGAGGGGCTTTTAAAAAGGGGGGAAAAGAGACCAAATGCACCTACAAATTGTGTGGATTTCGACTCGTGCTTTAGTTTCCTTAAATAAGAGATTAGACACAGATAATATGGAGGCTTCTTACAGTTCTTATTTGTCACTAAATTTACTTTCAGTACATCTCAGCATATGTTTTGCAATCCTACCTGAAGGCTTTTTAGAAATATATACCCAAGTAATTTGACTGAATAGGTAAATAATCCAATAATGGAAGAAACGTTTCCACTTTAACATATGTGAAACATCGATATCTACTCTTCTCCCGGGTGCAGCACTTACCTCGTCCCACTCGGAGGTGAAGGAGGGCGATTTCTCCAGCCTCTTCTTGCCGGCGCTACAGTTGGAAACGGACTCGCTGCGGTTCCCCAGGCCTCCGTCCTCCTCGCTGGGGGGCGACACCAGCAGGTCGGAGTCGGACTTGGAGAGGCTGCGGGCCAGCTTCAGGTCCCCGGGAGGACGCATCCTTATGGAGGACGCCGCCGCCGCCCCCGACTCCCTGGGCTCCTTATTCACAGTTGCATAAATAGCTTTGGGATCACAGTCTGTCAGGTTGGCGGCCATGCTGGGGCGGCTCGGTGGCGCCGCCGCTGCTGCTGCCTCCGCCTTTGCTTTGGCGGGTTTCCTTGGTTCCGGGGGGCCCTGGACGGACAGCGCGACCCCCGGAAGCCTGAAGGGCTCCTCGCGGCTGTCAAAGACCGGGGAGGATCCGTGCAGGAGGCCCGTGAACTGCTCGGGGACCCCGGCCTCCTGATCCTCGCTGAGCTGTGAGTTATCTAGGGAAAGAGCAAAAGGAACGGACCATGTGAGTGAAGAAAAGGGAGCGGTTCTGCGGGGGCCGCAGGGAGGGCAGATCTTTAGTGCGGGGCTATTAAGAAACCGCCCACACCGGCCCAGAAACAGATCTGTAATTGTTTCCTACCAGGAGTGACAGAGGAAGGGAGTGCGTGGCCCGGAACAGACCAGGAATCCTAACCCCGTGTTGACCCACAATTCTGCTGGTGCCTCACCGCCCTGGCGTTTTGTTCTCAGGCAACGTGAAGCCCCCCCCACCCCCCCCAAATGACAGAGCACAAGAATTCCCCCCCCCCCCCCGAGGCGGCTGACTAAACACACAAACACTCAACAGGACACAACAAATACCCCAGAATGAGAAGACTCCGAAATACCACCGAGGGGGGCGGGACTTACGTTGCCTTCGTTCTCCAGCGAAAAACAGCTCCCTAATGAGGCCGGCGGGCCGGCTGGAGCAATTAAAAGACTATTTGATTTTCCTCCTCCATCTCCCCGAGGAATCACTGCAACCTCGGCTCCTTTTTCACAATCAAACGAGCCACTGGGACGACGGCGGCGTCCGTCACCGTCGGAGGCTTTAGAAGAAACACCGGCCCCCTTTCTGTCGCACCGCGGCGAAGCGGGTCCTCGTGTCCGTGTGTGCCGGACTCTTAATTCCCGCCCTCAATGGTCGCTCAGGAATGGAAATTTGACCCCGGCCCATCCTCCGGATAATTAGCCCTGTGACACAGACTGAAGCACCCAGTTACCCTTTCAGGGCCCGTTGGCAGCGGCAGAGGAAGCAACGCCCTCTTCACGCGTTTAGAAACACTTTTCTCGAGTGTGTGTGTGTGTGTTATAAGGAGTAAGCGAGTGCACTGCGAGCACAGGTCAGGACCACAGCCAGACACCCGCCCTGTCCCTGGCAGCTGGGGAGTGTGAACGCCCTGTGAGCACATGGGTGTGTGGGGGGGGGGGGGGAACCAGAGCGGAGACCCCCGCACACTCGGCTGAATGTTAAGGACACAATCTGCTGCTGCTGCTGCTGCTGCTGCTGCTGCTTCAGTCGGCGGGTGAGGTCACCGCACGCGTTTTCCTTTGGCTGCGCGCTTTACTGATGACGTCGTGTTTGTTTTGCAGACACAGAATGTCAATCCCCCCCCCCTGGTGGTCCACAGCAAACGGTTGCTCCGCCTGCGAAAACATCTGCTTTGTTTTTTTTATATTGTAGACTTGGAGAACAGAAGGCCTCATCTTATTGATATCTGGAGTAAATGTTTCACATATCTGTGATGCAAGAATCTCCCTAAATAAATACGAAGAAAGGCCCTAAGCACAGAAAATAACAGGCAAACAGACATTTCAACCGAGATAAAAGTATATTTTGTTTTAATTAGTGCAAGAGATATCAGCCTTTTCTCTAAAATGAAGAGGCTACATGCACTCGGCTTGCTAAGACGTAAAGGTCCATTTGATCCTTCGTCCATACTTCCTCAATGAAACAGGCTTTGTGGATTATCTTTAGTTGCCGGGTAGTGATTTCTGGAAAGACGCATTGCTGTTCAGCTTAATGTATTTTTGGAAGCAGCTATAGATTTGTAATATTTCAAAGTCCACATCAAGAAAGAAGCGTACATTTGTGAAGAAGACATTCAGAGCTTTTGATGAACCATGAAGTGCTTCCCTGGCACCACAAGGACCAAACTAACGCAGGTCCTCATTGAACGGTGCATGGGAGCATTACAGTTACACATTTATCCTCTGGAGACGTGCGTTTTTATATTAGAGGGAAGTGAAACTGTAAAAAGCTGCACATCCACTGTGAAGAATAGACTGCATGACGGAAGTGAACGAGCAGCGTAAGCACACATTTGACTCTTGCTGTTGGTCCCCACGTTTAATGACCGTGAATCACCTCTACCACCACGAAAATCACGACCACAGGAGCAGAACTGCCTCGGCCAGCTGTCAGCGCTTTAAGTGGAACACGGAAGTCATGCAAGTCATATGTATTCACATATAAACCAAACCTGTGGTTTTTGTGGCTTTAACAAAAGGGGAAAGGAGAGTATAACTTCAGTTACTAGAAGGACACGAAGGGCTGAAAGCGGTTCTTCACACTTTTAACACCAGCCTTCATGAGGTCATTATTCAATACATCTGCACATGTTTCTGCAAGAAAAAACCCACTCCACACTGGAGTGTGGTGGCGTGTCCAGATAGGACGCTCAAAATCTGATCAAGAATTCCATTTCATATTGGCAAGGAGTCTTTTTTCCACTTGCCAGGGAATGTCCATCAACCTGCTCCTGACAAGGCAAATCCGCTCCGCTGCTCCAGAATGCCAATCACGCGTTCCCTGGCAGCATTGAGCCAAGCCTAACCCTGCAAAGTCAAATGCATTGCTCCCGTTTCATCGACACGCTTGGCTTTTTATCCCCCTCCGAGTCGCATGTGTCCCGTGCATAACTTCCCCACCCTCACAGCCAGCAGCTGCTGTTGTTGTTGTTCCTTATTAGGTCACTAAAATCTCCGTCTTCAAACTCACCTCCCTTTGCTCGCTGCGGGCTCCCCCACCCAGGAAGGAGCAGCGTGTCCCTCGTCTTGCTCGGGGGTCGGAGGTTGTTTGGGGCAGTGGGTTTACGCTAAAGTGGGACGGAGAAGAAAAAAACAAAAACAGCTTCGCTTACATCCGCAAATCGAGTCAGTCTGATTGAGGCCTGCAGGGCGGCACTCGGGGCAGCTGGGCCCACGTCGGCTCACCGGGCCGCGGGTCAGAGCGGAGAGGACACCGCGCTGCTCGTATGTAATGATTAGGCCTCCGAGGAGCGCGGCTAATCCAATAGGAGCTTGAAATAAAAGATGGGAGCAGATATTGCAGGCAGCGGGGTGGAGCGGGTTGGGGGTCAGGGGGGCGTGGGGGCGCAGGCAGCAATCGAAATAATAAAAACAGCTCACTAGATGATAAATTGCAAAAGGCGATCAAATAAGATGTGATGGGACAATGAACCGGGCGGGCGGAACCCCGGTGATGGGGGCCAGTTTAAGGCGACTGGTGCCTTCTGCTGACATATGACTCAATCTGTGACCGCCAAGAGAACTTCATCTTCGTTATGTAACCTGCTGTGGTCACGCTCCACATATGGAGGCGCGCTGCTCCCTGAGCGTCTGACTTGAACTCATGCAGGTTTTAAGGAAGGACTCAGTAGCTGGTAGGCAATGAAGAAAGGGGGGAAACGAGCTGGGGGTAAACCCATGAAACATGTGATGAAGGATGGAAGGAACAACGTGGAACTTACCTGAGGTAGGACGTTGTTGGAAGACGGTTTAGTCGTGTTCTCGTCTGAGGAATTAAAAAAAAAGGAAAACAACTTGAAAGGTTATTCTGGCCATTCGATTGAGAACTGAATACATCTTTAAAGTCAGCGCCACTTGTGATTGTCAGGCCAGACATTATGCACAGAGGAAGTGAAAGTGATGTATAATAAAAACATGCATTATGCATCGCGACATATCGAGCTTCAGGCAGACTTTAGATTAATCCCCCCGTCGTGGAATCAAACGAGCTTTAAAACAGATGAGAAACGGATCATTTGACATTTCTGCCTAACTAACGGGCAGAGGACTCGGAACACCATCATTTATTCACATAGGCGGAGGGGGCGGGGGGGGGCACGGTGATGTCGGCGATTAAACGAAGGGATGGTTCTCAAACTTTAACAGCAAGGGATCAAAATGGCCTCCTAATTTAATCCCATTTAATCCAATTACATGCAGTATCAGCACAACTAAGGAGGCTCTGCTCAGGTTGCCCGTGTGTGTGTGTGTGTGTGTGTGTGTGTGTGTGCGCGCGTGCGCCCAGGCGCCCTTGCTGATTAAGTTGGGAATGCATTCATGCTCTGTGGAAAATGTATTTTGGATAAATGGCTCTACGCCAACTCTTCCATAACCCTGAAATGCAACACGATTACCTCTATTGGATTTGGACTCGTGGTTGGGCGGCGGGTGTTTGGTCTGTGCGGTCAGCAGCAATTCATACGTGTGATCCGCCTCCTGCGCCGGCTCTCCTCTCTCATCGATGCTGCTGTTAGTGTGCAGGGCCTGCAGGAAGGAGAGGCGGGGGGAGGGGGGGGGGGGGGGTCGGTGACACTTAAAGAAGCCGTCTTCGGCTTTAAGACACAAACATGTCCTCTGTGATCACAGCTCGTCACCTCTGCGCTCGCCTCGTCCTCGGGGCCAGCGCCGGGATGCGACGTATGGACCAGGCGATCTTTCTGAAAAAAAAAAAAAAAGGAATATAAGATGCGATGAATGTAAAGTTGGTGATTAGTTTACTGCCGTCAGCGAATACGGAAATGCATTTCATAAACCACTGTTCAATAAAGGGAACCGCTGCATGGTACCGAGGCCCAGTCCGGTGGATACAAGACCACTACTGCCCTCTAGTGGACGTTCTGTAAAAGCCTGTGACACAATTGACGTGTGTGTGTGTGTGTGTGTTTTTAGTTGAGCTACTGCAGACCTTGCCAGCTTCGCTGTCCGGCCGTCCCGAGTCGCGATCGGAGGACTTGCCGCTGGCGAGGCTGTCGAGGGAGTGGCAAGAGGTGGCTTCGAACAGGGCCTCGTACGGGCTCTCCTCCTCGGGCCCCGGGGCCAGCCCCGAGATCAGCTCGCTCACCTTCTCCATTTCGCCTACAACGCGGGGGGGAGATGCGGAAAGGACACGTTAACAACACGATCTCTTTTGCTGCAGCTCAAAACCCTGCCGAGTCTCACCTTTCCTCCGCGGGCAGGGACTCTCCTGAGGGGGAGGGATCGGCGGAGGCGGGAGGTCGATGTCGGGGGGTTTTCCGGCCATGTGACCTGCGACGGACGGACAGACAGGAGAGCGTATCACAGGCGGCGAGCGCGAAGCGAAGAGGGGGGGGGGGACCTGGCACGGCGTTCGCACGCGACCCTCACCGAGGATGAGGGCGGCTATCTCCCTGCTCTTCTGGGAAGGCATCCCCTGGACAGTGTCCAGCGCCGACAGGCCCCTCTGGTCCACTATGTTCACGCCCACACCTGACGAGGGGATTGGATGACACGCGTCACTGTGTGTGTGCTTGTGTGTGTGAGCCGTTTTTGCCCTTTAAATGGACGCGATAGAGGCGGGGGCGTGAGGTCTGACCTGCGGCGAGAAGTCTCTGAACCACCTCGGTCTTCCCGTACAGTGCCGCCTCGTGGAGGGCGCTGCCCTTCTCCGTCTGGGCAGAGAAAAGAAAGACGCAGACAGGGTGTTGGGGGGGGGAGGGTAAGAGGGGGGTGAGAGGGTGTGTGACACTGAGAGTGAGAGTGAAAATGTAATCTGGTGTTTATTTGCGTTAATATACAATAATCCCGCTTGCACAAGTCCTATTTCCAGTAAACAGCGTGCATCCACTACCAGTCCACCCCCCATGATTTTGCAGCTCGGGGGGGGGAGGCACGCTGATTGAATGCTGCAGCATGGAAGTCCCCGAAAAGGACGCTGGGTAGATTCCGCGTCCTCGATTTCAGGGGGAAGGAAGACCGAGCAAAAAGGGGGAGACAAATGGACGGGCACCGTGTGGGACAGCGTCAGGGGGGGGGGGGGTCCCCGGGGGCCCCGCAGGGGGAGCAAAGGCCCGCTCCGCTTTGATACCGCAGCTGTTCCTCTGCCGACGGAAAGCTTAAGCGTTTTGCGCTTAATCTCACAGATCTGGTAGGAAGTAGTGAGAGGAAGCGCTGCAAGCGCAGATTAAGTTAACCGACACCGAATTCGCCCGCAAGTGTGTCCCAACGCGCAAAGACTTTGGGACACACTTGCGCCACCAACCGCGGCTTTTAAAGAAAGGTTCACACGCACCTCGTAGTTGATGTCCATGCCGGCGTCCAGCAGCACCTCCACCACGGGCAGGTGTCCGTTGCGAGAGGCCAGGTGCAGCGGCGTGTGCTTCTTGGTGTTGCAGCCGAGCAGGTTGGGGTGGGCGCTGAGCAGCTGCTTGACCACCTCCAGGCGGCCGTACAGCGCCGCCAGGTCCAGGGGGGTCTCGAACTTGTTGTTCCTCATGGTGGGGTCCGTCAGCTCCTCCAGCAGCAGCCGCACCACCTGGGAGTGGCCGTACTGGGCGGCGCAGTGCAGCGGCGTCTCGTTGTCGTTGTTCTGTCGGCGGGGGGGGGCAGGGGCAGGGGGGGCGGGGGGATATGGATGAGAAGCAGCGGAGGCAACAAGTAGAATCAAAAGCGACAAATAGAAGTGAATAACAAGAGATGGTGCTTGTCAATAAAGGAACAAGTGACTCAGCGCGTAAGAGCCCCGCCACATTAGCAGCGTGAGAAGGAAAGGCCCGGGCGGAGGGGGCGGATGGGGGGGGCGCATGCATGGCTAGCAGAGGTGACAGACAGACAGAACCTGGGTCACCCTGCGTCGCATAGTAGCACCGAATGGAGAGTAGCCCGTCAGTGTGTGTCGATTGGTGACAATGAAAACTATGCATTGGTTAAATACTAAAATATGAACGTTTATGAGAATATGGCAAACAAAAAACACATAGGAGCATGTTTAAATAATACGGTGGGAGACGAGGGCTTGGAGTTCCACGTGTGACTGTTGTGGCCTTAAAGGAGTGCAAACTTCACACGCTGAAAGGACAAAACCGCAATTTAAATAGTGAACGTCAACTCAGCGAGTGGTGGCGATATGATCCAATGACCCGCACGCAGCCGCCAGATCAATGTCTCACAGACGTGCGAACACACCGCCCCGCTGGGGGGGGGGGGGGGCTCCTCCGCCGTGAGCAGCCAGCAGGGGGCGAACCCTTGCTATCTGGGAGCTGAGACTCGGATGGTTCACCCATTAGGAAGACCGTCCCGCCTGCAGAAGGAGACGACGTGCGAGTGCCAAATGTTTGATTTCCGGCACAAAAGAAAATAAAAACAACCCTGCGCAGCCCCCCCCCCCACAGCTCTTTGGCCCTCTGGCTCTGGTCCCACGTTGTGCACCCACGGGTGTGGCAGACGGTTCCAGCTATTGTGGAAGCACGCGCTCAGGGAGTCGCACACTGCAGACACACAAAGGGCAGTTGGCTTTAAAACAACAACAACAAAAAAAAAGGGGGCCCGCATATGGACACGCAAGATGCCAGTTCGGGCGGAACATGCCAGCTGTGCCGCTGAAGACAGGACCTCATGTGGAGGAGAGGAGGGGCAGTTTTAGACAGGTGTCAGTAGGCCCTTAAAGACCAGGCAGCAGATGGGATCAGCAGGTACCTTCTCTTTGTGTGTTTGAGGTGGAAGAGGGAGGGGGGGGGGGGTCATGTACTGCACTGGGAAAGCAGGTCACAGCTTGAAGGGGTGGAGCTTAGAGGAAGACAAAACGGCACCTGCCTACAAAAGAGGCTGCGAAACAGCATCAAACAACACTTCTCTACGGCGAACTTACGACATGAAAAGCCTCGGCTTTCACCACCTTGGGGGGGGGGGGGGGTGGGGGGGTGGTTTCCTCAGTAGCATTTGTTTCACACACACACACACACACACACACTCACTTACAGACCAAATGAAAAGAGCGCTCCATCGCTCATCTGTCACGCACGGCGATGCCTTCTTGCTGCGATTACGTCAGCGTGATTCACATCCTGCAGGTCCGGCGCATCAGCGGTAAGCGAGCAGATCTCGCAGTCAACGATTAACACGAAGGTTCCAACACAAATGACTCCAACGACAGCCAATATTTGTCAGCGTGCGTTTTAATGGAACCTAAAAAAGGTACACGCTCTTCTTCTGGATTGGGGTGTTTTCATTGGGCCATGTGTCACACATCAAACCGGATGGGGATTTCTGGTAAGAGATGCTGCTGCCGGGTTTTTCCTGTATTTTGAGCACCACGTAGTCCCATTAGATTGGAGACAAGGCCGACATTTCTCCAAAGGCCAAAACTACCTAAAATGATAAAACCGTGCTACAGGCAAGACGAGTGATCTGTGTTTTTATTGTCGGGGCTTAACTGTCCCTGTGAGCCTTTTTCGCTCAATGTAAAACAGGAGGGCAGCGGCCGACACCCAGTGGACTGATACCCTGAACTCAGTGTGCATTAGCACGCCAAGTGTCTCCCCTGCCAGTGAGGGGGGGGGGTGTCGGTGCTCCGCAGCGACGCGTCAGCCGGCATCTGATCGCATTAAACGTGGCTGACCGGCCACTTGACTCACTGACAGGAAACGAGCAGCAGTGAGACACCGAGCCTCCACACGCGCCTCCTCCGACGCAAGCTGTGCTGCACATGTTGTTCACACAGGGGGGGGGGGGGGGGGGGGGGTCCCTGCAGAGGAAGCCCCCCCCCCATCACTTTTTTGAGTACATGCTTCTTCATCTGCTCATCTTCTTGCATTGGATTTATGAGCTGCTAGATACAGAAGAGTCATTAGAAAGTGTGCATTATAGGGGAGTGTGGGGGGGCTGTCAGTGTCAATAACTCAGAAACACTTTCTGGGCACTTTAACAAACATTTGTGTGGATTTATTTGTTGGAGAACCACTGAAGAATATCATGCTTTCTGATACAGAAGCTTAAAAATCCACTGGAGGAATTGCCTTGTTTTATATCTAGAAACCGCGGTGCCACTAAGCTGATTAAAAGAAGTCAACATGACATAAGGGGAACTAGGACTGTGGCGGCTGGTTTGAAATTAATTTGAGCAGACCGGATGCCCTGCAGCAAAAGAAGAAAAAAAAAGAAGAAACGTCATTTTTAAAACATTGCTACTAATTTAATTTGCAATTTTCAGGGCAACTCTTTTTCATATTCTTATGTAAGATGGACTTAGTGAGTTCCAGCATGAAGTCCCCCCCCCCCTCCCTCCCTCCCAGCCTCATCTCCACATGAGCAGTCAAACAATTGCGTACTAACAAGACGGCGCTCTGAAGGCGATTACACAAAATGGCACCAAAGACTTGCAGCCTCTCCGGGAAAGATCCCGTCCTCGCTGCTGCAGAGTCAGAGCGCCTCCTGATTGGGTCCTGGAAACAAGGACAGATCGGGATCTCCACTGGTGCTGCTGCTGATTGATAACCGCCTAACCAGCAGCATCTGGAGCGTACACTCCACGGCCGCTGTCACGCTGCCGACCCTCCCTAGGAGGAGGGTGGGGGTGGAGGGGGGAGGGGGGGAGCAGTCGACTCAGAGAACAGAGGATGTTGTGATTCTCACAACCAGGCGGCCCGGGAGACGGTAACGCGGTTGGACTACTGAACTCTGTCACGTGACGTGGCGGCGGCCAGCAGTTACGTCACCCCGGTCCCTGGTGGTGGCCGTAGTGGTGGTGCTGGTGGTGCTGGTGGGTGGAGGAGGGGAAGCAGCTTGTGTGCCGAAGGGCCTCCTGTGCAGATCGCTGGTAGCGCACATCCTCCTGCTAACGTATCTGCTCACAACGCCGGGTTCTGGCGAAGAAGTCGCAGCTGTGTTTTGCTCACGGTCGATTCGTGGACCTTAAACGTTATTTATCAGGGGGAAACATTTCCCTTTTTCTAGCTTCTCAACGTTGAGCTGCTTTTTGTCTTTTAACTTTATTTTAAATTGAATCCGGACTGTGGGACAAAACAAAACAAGCAATCATTTCCATTTTATTTATATTTGACAGAAAAATTGTTGATTAAATAATTCATCTTATAATTGTTAAAGCTCTATACTCTCCAGTCTGTGAGTAGGAACTGTGTTCCTTCAGTTCGATGCAAAGCAACAATAATATAATATATAATATTTGATAAGAAGGCCGACATCAGAAGAAGATTTGTATTTGGAAGCCGTCACACATTCCAGAGTTAACAGACCTCGAAGCCTCACTGGCTTCACAGGAAATATTACATTCCCACTTCATAACGGATGGCTCCCACTGCCACGGCCATTTAACCCTTATTGAACCTGTCCTGGGTAACTTTGGTGGAGTTCACCGCAGAGCGCCCTGACATGTGAGCCGGGGTCAGGGGTCAGTCATCTAAACACATATTGTAGTAGACATGTGGCCTATATAGGAAGCAAGGGCGCGAGTCCGGGCAGACCTTAATATGGAGTAATACACAGAATGTATAGTAATGAAATAACACGAGGTCAATGAAGGCATTCTGTAAAATGGCCTCTGCTGAATTTTATTTATAACATTCTCACATCCTTTTTATATGAAATGTACCACACGCTGATGTCTATTTGCAGAAGTGTTAGTTACAAGAATGTTGAAAGCAGATTATCACTTTGCTTTCATTCCTTGGTTTAGATTATTCTTCACAACAGTCACCCAGATTTGCAACTGATTTTTTTTTCATTATCAAATTAATTAAGTTATTATTTTATAGTTTTATTGTCTTTAAATGTTTCTGTTCAGCACCAAAATATATATAGAAATATATAAAATTATATAACGGCACATGATGCATTTGGCTAAACAGCTGTTTTGATAATTGCGGTTTCATGATTCTAAAATAAAAGGAAAATAATTTTCTGTTTTTTGACCAGTTTTTTGGTTAACAAGCGAATACTTTCAGCTCCAACGTCGACTCTTGATTCAAAATCTCCCCATTGAGATTTCGTGGTGGCGATGACGAGTTAAGCCTCAACACACACACACACACACACACACCACATCTCTCCACTAGGTCACTCACCACCACTGTACAGTGACACCGTTACTATGACAACGTCCCACCTCTCCTCGGCAACGCAAGCTCTCAAGCACAAACCGGGAGCAGAGGAGGGGGAGGAGGGGCAAACACACCCATCTACACACTCACAGGGACAAGCGTGGCATGGGAATCCGTCTTTGATGCTGATGCAAAGAGACTGGTACACTGAAAACCTCCCATCCTCCTCCTCCTCCTCCTCCCCCCCCCCCCCCCCCCGAGGTGGGTCTCTGGTCCTGGAGGGGGAAGAGAGGAGCGGCACGGGGGTCCCCTCGGACTCCGTCACATGATGCAATCCACCATGACCACCGCCAGAGCCGGGACTTCCCCCGCTGCATCCACCTTTCTCATTTATTTATAACAGGGGTTGAATTTATCCGGGCCGGGTGAACAGGGAGTGGATCCCCCAAACTGCCCCGGAAGTGGTTGCTTTTACACACCCTGGACAATCCCCGCGGATCAAGAGACCCAAGAGGACCGGCGAGGACGAAACCCTGCAGGGGACATTCTCACTGCACCGCGCAGCAGCTTTTAAGAAAGCCTTCCCATCCCAACGCTTAGAAGATTAGTCCAGAAGGAATGCCACAATTGTTCAAAAATAGTGTGCGGGCCTATCTGCCGGGGTGGGAGGGTTTCCAGCTCCCCCCACCTGGAAATGCCATCATGCAGCGGCCGACATTGTTTGCAGCGCTCGTCGCTCTACCCTAGAGGGGAAACCCCCCCCCAATACGGCTTACCTTTACAGCGGCGCTCCTCTCCCTGTGGAACGCCCGGGTTGCTGCGCTCCTGTGAAAACCCCGATGAATACTGGACGTACTCCGATATGAAGAAGAGGGAAGAAACCTTTTTCTCATCCCTCCGGCGCCAGAGGACGCGAGGAGCGCGCCTCTGATTTTCTATCCACCTTTGAAATAATCCTGTGGCGCTAAAATGAGTAGTTGGGGAATAAATATTTCAATCGGCAGAACAATTACTGGTTTCCATAGTAAAAATATCCTGAGGAAGCCCTGAACCTGAGGACCCAATTTCATGGGAATCGATCCCAAGGCGGAAGCGATATTTCATCCCTCCCGAAATTTCAGTAACCGATATTTATTGCTGATTTATTGTGTTTTCTCTCCATATACGCTGGTTGTGTGGTGCAAACAAGGCTGCAGCATTCTTCGTTAGTGTTTTGCAAATGTCGCAATGCAGAGCCAAGTTGTCTGAAACGCGGTGTCTCAATACAGTTTGCAGATCACGAGCAGGAAGCCAGAGGACAGAAATCTACCGACAGTCGGTGAAATTAGCGAAGCAGGAGAACACGGCAGCAAAGGCGAAGGAGAACTTGAAAAAGGAGCCGTCGTTTCGGCAGCGCTGTGTACACACCTTGGCATTAATATAGGGGTCAAAGGGCCCACAGCGTTTGAACTCTTTATGGTCTACAGAGCTCTGGGAGGGAGGAAGAGAAGATAGGCCAATGGGTTTGGTTCAGACAAGCGATGACAAAATGAACGGTGATCACAGAATGAGTCAAACTGAATGAAGAGAGGAAATAAAATGAAATTAAAACAGTTGAGTTAATGAACAATCAGATGTCATGATGCGGGCAGGGAGAAATGACACAAAATGAGGCAAATTCACATTTTCATCTCGTGGACTTTTGCTACATTTTGACAGCAATGGGCCGACGTTGGTGGAGCTCATAATGGGTCATTTCTCCTCATCCCAAACAGGAAAGGCCAGAGGCGGCCTGGAAGCTTGTCTGTGCAGCAAGCAACCAAACTGAATATGGAAACAGTTAAAAAGGGTTAGGGCTCGTCACATAACAGCACGGCATCACAGCGGAAGTCAGACTCCTGATGCAAGTTAATCCTCTAAAAACGTCAGGGATGTAGCAGAGAGCACGCCATGCTGAACTAGAAGCACTTCGGCATTCCGGTTCTGGGACTGACCTCCTTAGCGAGGCCAAAAAAGGAACGACTTCCTCTGTCAGGCTGACGAACACGTAACAGATCGAATGAACCGTCACAGACAGAATCCACTAAGCAACATCATATCGCCACGGGGGATGGGTCAGGAACGAAAAGGGCCAGGGGACCAAAACGACACGAGACACGTGGGAGGGAGGGATGGGGGGGGGGGGGGGGGCGAACGCGGCGGCGGCGGCGGACCTGCTCGTTGAGGCGGGGGTGCGACGGCCCCTGGTGGATGAGCAGCTTGACGATGTGCTCGTCGCCCTTCCACGCGGCCAGGTGCAGCGGGTAGCAGCCCTTGCTGTCAGCGATGTTGGTCAAGGCCTCGTTTCGTAGCAGCGCCTCCACCACCTCGCTGCGGACGAAGGAGAGGGGGGTGGGGGGGGGTGATGATTTCATGCACGGTTACGGGGGGGCAGTTCATCACTGATCTACCTGTGTCCGTTGAGGGCGGCGTGGTGGAGAGGGGAGTATCCAGTGCTGTCCACACAGTTCACATTGGGGCCTCTCCAGATGCTGTGGGGAAGAGAAAGGATTGTTAGGCTTCAATAACACAACACAACACACACATACACACACACACACACACACACACACACATGCACACGCACACTAGCCTATCCCTCTATAGAGCCTCTAGCTGTGGGTGCGACTGATTCTGTTGTGATTGTTATCTCGGCGGCCTTAGTCCACATCACAGCCCAGCCACCACCTACTCACAGGCAGGTGTGTGTGTGTGTGTGTGTGTGTGCGCGTGTGTGTGTGTGGGGGACGGGAATAAAACTAAAACCAGGAAGTGAGACGGAATAAATTTGTAGCTGCTGCTCAGTGCCGAGAGTTTCTGGCAAATTTACAGTAACTACGTGCAGCGTCAGCCGGTTCACGCTGGGCCAAAACCCAAGAAGAGGGGGGGGCTTTTGTTATGCAGTGCAGGCAAGCAAGAACAAAAAAAGACAGCAGGCCCTAAAAGCATTGAAGGAGTACGTGTAAGGTGGCCCAGCATCAGCGCAGCACTCTCATCCACTTGAACTCAGCTGTCAGATCGGATCGGTCCGTTTCTTTTAATTTCGCAAAGAGCGCTGTGGTGAGGAGGACAGAGAACGATGATGGGGGGGGGGCTGGGAAAGGATGTGTGGTGAGACAGGACCGGGAGGTCGTCTCTAGACGTCCTCAACACATCATAAATAAATCATACGCCGCCCGGCGCGAGGGAACCAAATACCCGAAAGAACGAGGGGGGGGGGGATCAGAACACGTTTTTACCGTTTCTGGTATGTTTTAGACAGCTGTCCCAACCCAAGCTGGGATGGACATTAGAATCGCTTCATGAATTACGACTTTTTGATGCGTGCAGCTCATTTCTATGAAAGAAGCCTTTGTGGGAGCAGGATGCTCACCGTCCTCGTGTGGCCACACACAAACACACAGCTATTTTTTGTCCAGTAATTCTTGTTTTGCTCCCATTTAAAATACGTCTCCCGTAATCGCTCCCATCGAGTCCTGCAATCACACGTCAGCTCATTAATTAAGCGTGGAAGAGGTTCCGCAGGCTGCAGAACAACGAGCCCGACAGAGCGCGGAGACGCGAGGACGAAATGGTGATGTCGAAAAGCAGCGCGAGGCGGGAGGAAATACACTGCACACAAAATGGTCAGAAAGTGAAATGACTAAAAGAAAAATAGGAAAAACTTAAATGTGCATGGATATGTGTGTTTATGTCTTTTAATAAGAAGCCTGTTTATTATATTATTTTTATTTAAGAATAGATGCTCACCTCACTTTTTTAAATATTTTTCATAATTTTTGGAAACAATAGTTTTGTTATTTCCACTGACCATTACAAGATAAAAAAAAGACAGAATACTATAATAAGAGTGGGGAAATGCGGCGGGAGGAAATGCAGAGGATTGATAAAGGAGAGAGGGCGACCGGGGAGGGGGGGGAGGGGGCACGGATATGTTAGCTCTTAAGGCAATGCATGCGCACACTTCCTCTCCATTTCTCCCGAACCAGTAACCAAATTTCTTGTCCAGAGTGCAGCGACGCTGCCTCGAGCACGGCCGGCGAACCCGTCAGACGAGAGCGCTGAGACAGGAGCAGACCTCTCGTTGCTGTCCCAGATAAAGAGTTACATAACGGCTTAAAAAGCCCGTAAACAAATCAACGAACATGAACCGACTACAACTGAGGAATTGAACAAATTGGGGAATGGGGGCGGGGGCCGGAGCGCGGGAACACCATCAACCCCGTCGCGGGATTCCTTCGCGAGGACATTCATGGACGTGAAACCCCGTCTCATGGAACGTATCGCACTTCCAAAGTCATCAATTTGATAGACAATCTGCTACAGAAGCCAAAGGGTGCGACACCTTTGCAGGTTGTGCCCCCCCCCCACCCCCCCTCGCTGCCCGGAGGCTCTGAAACACTAAGCAGTGATGGTGATAATATATCACGCAGAGTGCGTTTCGTCCTCGGCGCCTTTTGGCGGCACGGCACTCAAGGCCGCGAGTCAGAGTGGTGCTCGACAATCCACTTCATCCTCTTAATACGGGTTCCCACCAACCCAACTGGGGGGGGGGGGGGGCTTTATGGGCCCCGCAGCAAGTAAACGGGCGAAGATATCTTGGTTGATTGGGTTTGGGAGGGGGGGCACATTCACGCGAAACCGACTGAGGAATTCCTGTATGGAAGGCTGAGCTAATCCTTAATTTCCCAGAGGGAATATCAGCGGGATGGAGCAGGGGTTCTGGGCGGGGGGGGGGGCTCTAATTCTGTATGTACAAAGCCCCGGCAGTGCGAGAGGAGGAAGGATAATGACACCCCCCCTTTATGTGTTCTCTGCATTAGCCTGCTGGTGTTAGTCACACACGCTGACGGTCATTCTCACAGATATTTGCTCTCGCAACACAAATGGCGCAACAATTAAAACACACAAACAGGAGAGAGCAGCACTAACCAGAGCGACCACATTCACTGCATAGCTAGATAATTGTTCTACAGCCGGTAGTCCGAGTGAATGTCTCCAGCGCACGCCACGCGCCATGGTGGTGGAACGCTGTAGATTACATGTTTACGTGTGGAGCCTCTAGGGGAAAAACTCAATAACTCAAACTTGGGTTCAAGCTAATTCGAGCTCCAGGTGAACGTGAACTCGGGTGTCAAATAAACAGATTTGTCCTCCAGCCTATTAGCCGTGTGACAACACCGGGGATTAGTCTCGCCCGGGGGCACTGAGCCCCGGCAGTGACGGGTGCACGCCAGCCCCCACACCCCCCCCCCATCCCCTCTCAGGGAAACTGGGCTTAATCATTCTCCATAATGGTGGCGGGTGGTGTGAAACCAGACCAGCCGACCTGAGGATCTCCTCCTCAGCAGAAAGGGACTGAAGCACCTGCTGAGGGACACCCTTAATGAGCGAGTGTCAGGACGGCACGTCGAGTCAAGGGCCTCCGGTAATCCATCGCTACGTCTTGGTTCTTGAAGAGCATGAAGCTATCAGAAGTCGTCAAGAGATGGCAAACAAAACAATGAATTATTAACCTCATGGAGACTCAACATGAGTCATAAGGGGGATCAAGAAAGTCTGCATAAACACGACGCAACATGACACACCTTAACACACCACCAAAAATGGCCGACCCACATCTGTAGAGTGGCTGGAAAAATAAAACAAAATGCTTGAGATTGGCAGGACTAAATCATATGAAAGTGATGAAATTGATAGATTAACCAATTTAGAATTATCGTCATACATGTTTGACCAAAAAATATATAATTTCCTGTAACCAGTGACGGAAAACATGGTCGGAATCAGCCAGCTAACGTATGCTAACTCCAGCCGACCACACGCAGCGTGAGAGAGAGAGCGCGATCACCTGTTGACATCCGTGATTCACCAGATGTTTCAAAGTTTCCAGCACACATAAAAGACAACGGGTGAAAAGACCAAGAACAAACACGGTGTGTGGGGAGAGGTGAAAGGTGCGTCTCATTAGAGGGCGTTAGCGTTCTTTTGTCATGTCGTGGCTTTCTAGTCTGCGCGCTACAGTGACCCGCTTCAGTTATAATGGAGAGGAAAATAATGGTGTCAGTAACACGGTAGCTTATATGACAACTTGTGCACAGTTTGGGCTTAAAACATTTTTTTAAATGGTGGCAGAATGAATTCTTTAAACATCCTACAAGTGAGCTCAAACCCCCCAGAGATTCACCTCAGCAGCGTGATCTTCCCATTTGTCCATTTGTTATTGCAGAGCCTTCAAAGACGGGGGTTGAAACAGAGTTTGCGTAAACAAGCACAGTCGAGAGTTTCTTTCATACATGAGCAACTTTCTGCTTCTTATCATACAGGAAGCACAGACGAAATGGAAACTACAAATAAAAAAGAGAACTAGGAGACCTTATTCGTGGGACTCTTTCACCGTTATCTTTCTTTTGCGGGGAAAGGACCTCAGAGGAGTCCACTTTACGTCCAAGGCGTATCCTCAAACCACAGAATCGTTCATACCTGCGTTCTTATGACGATGACTCCCACTGTCCTCTTAAATTGAGAGCACATGTTGCTTGATCATGATTAGCGGAGGGAAATCCCCGGCCAATAACAGTTAACCATCAATAAAAGTTAGTGTGCAGGCGGAACAAAGTTGTTATCATCCCAGAGTGGCGTCTGGACAAAAAGTCCATGAAATCTATTCTTATCGAACCAGGCTGAAGATGACTTACTACTCCCCCCATTCATCAACCACACACACGCGTGTGACATATGTGGAATCCATCGCTGCTACATAAACACGGGCTGTAAACAGAACGCGCCGAGCATCCTAAACTCCTGGAACGCCTACGCGGTGGTGTTAGATTTCCCAGCGGCCGCCGCTCCCACCCGGGCTGAGCCAGCTACGGTTTCTCCCGGGTTCAGAGGTCAACGGCGGATGAAATGCGGCTGCCGTTCGCCCGATGCCCACGAATCTTACTAGTACTGCATAAGTGAGCAAAAAGAGCCTCGTTAGCGCCGTCTGCCCGCACGCGAGGCGGTCAGCGAGGCGGTTGGCACGAGCCTCGGTGAAACCGAGCACAAGGCCTCGGGGTGCCGGATTCCCGCTGTGAGCTGCAGACACACCACCCCGAGTGCAACAGTGCACTTTCACACCCAGTGAATTCTACACGCACAAAGATTGCCAGTGACGGAGAAGCTTCGGGGACGTTTTGTTTTTTTCCCCATTTGTCTCGCCCTGTTTGGGAAATGATGTATGTAATGGGACGGAATGACCAGGAGTTGTGGCCAAGCCTTTAAAAAAAAAAAAAAAGAGGCAAAAGCAAGTCATTACACTGATTGTTCTCGGGCATTAGGAGATGTCACATACATTTCAAGAGGACTTTGTGAATATCTAAAGCTGATTTGTAATCACCAAATGAAAACAAAATGAAAAAAAAAGCCCTACTCGTATTACCCGACAGCCTAAATGGGTGGTCCAATTCCAGCCGAATGACAGCTCAATTTTCAAAGTACAGAAAGGCCCCAGCATGGTCTTTGGGGACGGACATGAATATGAAAAGGAATCCTTCTCCGCCCTGTCAACGGGACAAAGGACTGTGATGCTGGGAGACGAGCCCTCATCTGGCTAAGCTCTCAGAGTGTCCAAACTCCATGCATTCCTCTTTTAATTCCCCCCCCCGCCCCCCAGTGGGCAGGCACTTTCTCTGCCAGGGACATGTCTTACCCCGCGTCTGACCGCAGCAGCTGCCTGTGTTTGGACAACCTCGTCCAGGAAGTGCTAGTGAAGAGCTCTTCCTGTAGACTCCTGGGATCAGGACGGGGGGGTTTGGACGCGATAGCGATCGCTGGGGTACGGAGGAAAGTCAAGCCTGTGCATGGCCGACAATGAGGCCTAAAATGGACCATTTCACAGTAATCATTGCAACGATGTCCTGCTTTATATCCCGTATGTGGACGGTATGAGCTGACAGGAAGTAACTATGGAATCAAGGTGATGCCTACGAATGAAATACCAGTGAAACGCTCTATTGATTCATAAACAAATGGCTTAAATTCCCAAAAAACACCGGCATGTTGGGCGATAATGGAGCGCCGTGGAGCAAATGTTTGGCGGCGGCATTAAAAACACGCCGGGGGTCAGTGTCCCATAGCAACCGCTGGGACGCAGCCTCCTGGGAAAGCAGACATTCCTCCGAGCAGAGCTGCACGACTGCGTGGTTACAACAACAACGCGAGTCTTGACATGCTCCCCATTCCAGAAATGTGGTAGAAACTCTGTCAAAGACAAGCAAGCTGATTGGACAAACAGGCAGCCATTACTGACTATATTATGAGCATTTGGCCTGATGTCAGTAATATCAGCAGCAAGGAAGACAAGAAACGCAACTATTTTGGCAACAGTGAAATCACGAACATATTCCACGACAGAATTGAAGGTTAAAGTGCTTCGGCTGGAGTGTAAATCACACACATGCCTTTGTTGACGTTACAACAAACCCAGGCTACAATTTTCTAAAGACTGATCCCCCCGATCAAATCTCCTCTGACAGGATTACAGGCCTACACTTTCCAACAATGAACGATGATGAATAAGTTACCAAGCAATTCCGGTACATGAAAAGAAACGGAAACACGCCCACCGAGCCAAAGCACGGAGCGCGTCCTCAAACGTATCGGCGTTCGCGCTCTGCACGATAGCGGCGATCCCCCCCCGGCTGCACCGTGGTTGCGGTCTCCCCGCCTTGCTGGTTATGTCCTAAAAGCTAGTTCCACGAGCTCGGGTGTGCACAGGCGCCACTCTCTCGTCACACCTGCAAGCCGGTAGTTGATTAATTAATGTCGCCCCGAGTCCGGGCCAATCATTTCCCGGAGCCATCGTGGTCACAAACATTGAGCGCTCGAGTGAGAGCGGATGACACAAAGGGCCCTCCGGTCCGCCCACGAGGCAGCGATGGAGTCCTCCTCCGCTGCTTGACATCTCGGGATTGGATTTCCGATTAGAGGGCCTTGATGTAATTACCTTGAGTACTTGTGCAGTCTGCGCCGGGTAACACGGCCGCGCGTCGCCTCGGGATTCGTCGTAACACTCGTCCCCTGCAGGGAGGCGCCTGGCACCGGCTCCCCGGAGGAGCGGCGTCCTATTTTGATTGACAGATGTTCTCCTGCATGCGTTGGGCATTAAAATGAAGGGGGCACCGCGCAGGCTTTTGATGCATGCTGCACTATTCGCTCCGGCCGTACGTCGGAACCCTAAACGTCACAACAACAGACGCGTGTGTGTAGTTTTCACTGAGTAAGCTCTTCTGTGACTCAGAAAACACCTGCAGCACAAAATGAAGACGAGAACTTATTAAATAGTGAAACGTTACCCATCTGATATGAGCCGTAGGCGCTCATCTGCACCACGTTAAAGCGATGGTACACTAAGAGAAGTCCCTCTTCTTAATATTGAGAGGAATTTGATGCAATCTTATATAATAAACAACAGGGACTCAGGCTTATTTCGGGGGGAAGGGGCCCCATTTTGACCACAACTCCAAAACCACCGAGGGATGGGAGTCTAACAAATCACATGACGTGCACAGGTGGTATTATTTATTGTCTCTAAATCAGAGCGTAGTACTATTAAAAGGCAGGAGCGAGGAGCAAAAGCCTCCAGCGAGCCGGCTGAACGTTTGCAACCCTTCATGGTTGACTTTCACAGATGTGAAACACCACATCAAACGTCTGCCTCGCCGAGGACTTCCTCCTGTGACCTCTGATAGGAAGACAAACCCGACATGGGGTTTGAATTGTCAGGGATCTTTACAACTGCTTGGAAACAGTAAAATAATGCGGCTTAAGACATTTAAAGAATTAAAAGCCCGGCTCTCACATCTGGATTCCTTTTTTTCCTCCTCCACCTTCAGCAGCGAGGGTTCAAGTCTAGACTGTAAGCAATCAATAATGCACCCATCCCTGTTAGTTTCTACACACAAGGCAGTGATTGTTTTTGTTGCATCCCAACCCGCCAGGCCGTGTTTTTTTTGTGTTGTCGTTGCACATTACGGTGCAGCTCGCACGGGGTTGGGGGGGCTAACAAAGAAGCATGCCGCCGCCGCCGCTGCGCTCTTGTGCAGCCGACGGTTATTTGTGTGACTTTGGTCTGCAGCGGTAAACGGTCTCCCGGAGCCTACCTGAGCAGACTGGAGAGCGGGTGCGAGGAGGCGCCGTGTCCGCCGCTTGCGCCGCTCCCCCCGGTCCCGGAGGAACCGCCGCCGGTGCCGGCGGACTGTCGCTTCCCGGAGAGCAGCTTCTCCACGGCGGCCAGGTTCCCCGTGCGCGCCGCCTCGAGAAGTTCTTGCTCCTTCCCCATCGCGTATCACACAATAAAACAAACAAACCGGGGGGGGGGGGGGGGGGGGATCCCCGGGGACCGGGGGAAAGGGGAAAATATTGGGGTAAAGGAGGGAGGTTTTTTTTGGGGGGGGGGGGCGCCTGGTTACGGGAGTGAAATTCCTCTGCGATCCCCGTGTTTTTTGTTTTTTATCAACAAATCCGTAAATTATTCTTCAGCACTGTTCGTGTGGCGAAATCCCAAAAAACGCTCCTTGCGCCGCTGGGTCCGTCCGTCCGTCCGTCCCGATCCACGGGGCCGCCGGCGTCACGGCAGCAAAAGTTTCGTTGAGCAGCACCGCACCACCATCGAGCAAACTTCCTCCGACCAGCCCCGCTCCCTCCCCTCCACGCCTCCGGGAGCTTCGTCCGTCACTTCCTACAAACTGCCCTCTCGGTCTCGGGTCTCCAATCCGAAGCGGCTCCGCCGCACACATCCAGCGCAATAGCGCCCCCCCCCCCGCCCTCCTCCTCCTCCTCCTCCCAGCTGCTCCATAGCAGGAGTGGATAGGGATAAGCAAGATGGCGCCCGAAGTGAATAATGCTCACGGGCAGAGCGGTATGATTATACCGATCTAGTGTTTTGAATGTCTGTGAGTCTTACACAAATTATGTGAACTAACATTTTGGTTATAATATTACTCGTTTCTAGTCACTCAAATGTATTGTCAATTGTCAATTTGAATGTGAAAGGTTTTACTCAAAATAAACAGTTACACCAAGTGTTTGGGGGAAACTATTAAGACTCATTTTAAAGTATTGTTGGTAATCGTGTCAGATTTGCTAAAATAAATAAATAAACTTTTCCCTTACAGTAAAATCCGGAATAAACAATAAAGACGGCGTGACGCTAGACCGACCGCTACTCTCGATGCATTGCCTTGTGTGATTGTCACCTTGCGTGTGTCTATAAAGTTTGTTCAAATCCGGAAACGGAAACCGCGATGAAGCGACCAACAAGCCAGGAGAAGCACCCAGGCGCTATCATTGCTTTAAGGAGTCTCTCAAACTTAATTAAATGTTAGTGTGCCCGGCGGTATCTCCGCGTTAGCATTATTGTTTAGTTATCTTGCTAACTGGCATTAAATACTAAAGCCACCGTTATTTGTTTCACTTCAACTCGCTTTTGCCGCTGTTTAGTTGACGCCTAGCTGCAGAGAGGGTGAGTGCATGTTGTATCCGTCCTATTTTTATGTCAACTTGATTATTAACACCAAACTATGTAACGTTACTCTTTGTTGATGCTTCTCAGCCAAAATACCGTTCGCTTCACATATCCGGTCTAGTTATGGACGACGCGTGTTACGTTATAGAAAGCTAACGCTAAGCTAGCCAAGCTAGCGTTAGCCAATCGAGTGCCGTATTGATGTTGCAGTATCTGACGCTGTTCGCAGGTGTTGGAGGGACCTGAGTGATCATGGCCGACCCTGCACGCATCAAACCCGAGGTGAAACCCGAGAGGACGAGCTCTGCTAACGAGGAGCATCCTAAGTCGGATGGCGCTGATGATGGACCTGCCACATCCAAACCCGCCGATGTAAACAAAGAATCATCCTCGCAAGATCCAGCCAAACAGGAGGAGAAATCCGTGAGTCCTGGAGCCCAGGGATAAAAAAAAGCCATACGTGTTGGATGGGACCTAAATACAAGCAACCACACAAATAAGTGTAAATTTATGTGGTCTTAATTATGGAAATGTACCTCACTGAACTTGTAGCATCTCATTGTTTTGTCTTCCACCATGAAGGACATGGCAGCCGGGGAAGATGAAGAAGAGGGAACCTCCGACCAAGCTTCCAAAAGACTGAAGCTGGAACCAGAGAAGAAAAAGGAGAGGCGCCAAAAGGTCGACGAGGATGAAATACAAAAGATGCAGTAAGGATCTTTTGGCTGAATATTCTGATGTCATTCGATGTCATACCACTGACCAGCTCTTCGCCCCACTTCTCTTGCTTTACAGAGTTTTGGTTTCCTCCTTTTCTGAAGAGCAGCTAAATCGCTATGAGATGTACAGACGCTCTGCCTTTCCAAAGGCGGCTATTAAGAGGGTAAGTATTTAAAAAACGTTTTCTTTCTTCTAATCTCTAAAACTACTTCATTGGCTGCATGTCTTTTCTTTTTTTCCAGCTCATCCAGTCCATAACAGGATCATCAGTATCACAGAATGTGGTGATCGCCATGTCTGGTATTTCCAAGGTTTTTGCCGGGGAAATTGTTGAGGAAGGTGAGTGGCTGAGTGAGCTCAGACGAAATGAAACCAATAAATAACTCCCTTGTAAATCTTGCTGCAGTTTAAACCTCCACATTGTGTAGTTAAACAGTTTGTCTTTTGTCCTCACAGCATTGGACGTTTGTGAGAAGTGGGGAGAAACCCCACCGCTTCAGCCCAAGCATATGAGGGAGGCAGTGAGGAGGCTGAAGAGCCGAGCTCAGATCCCCAACACCAAGTATAAGCAAATTCTCTTTCAGTGAGACGCTCTTGATGTCATGGGGAAGTGGTCCTGGGATTTGAACAATGGTGCTCTAGCTTGTGGAAAAACAAGTCAAAATCAGTGACTGGAGTATCGAAGAACGGCCATTTCAGACAATACCACGAGGCGCTTGGTACTTGAAGGCACCTGAAAATGAAGTCCTCTGACTCGCCATTCACCTCTAAATTTCAAGCTAAATGCAACATACAGTGCAAATTGTGTGAAATTATATTCATGTATTCTGGTTGTAAATAGTTTTCTTTTTACTGTCCTGGGTTTTTGCCTCAATTACTTTAAAGAACTGGCGATTTTTTTTTGTTTAATAAAATCTTTAGGTAGTAGTTGACTGCAATCATTCAGCCCATCGCAGAACTTATGTACTCAAATTAAAAGTTGAATTTGGAAATATGTGGACTACTGTTGGACAACTACAGCTCCCACTTCTAAAATAATGCAGGGGAGACTTGAACACATACTTTGGTGTATATTTCATGACAAAAAAAACATGGATGCCATTTTTGTTACACGCAAACATGCTTTTCTATTCAAACTTGGCACAACTGGAATGTCTTCATTTATTCTTTCAAAATATTCCCACATACTAGCTTTGGTTCACAGAACCAATTTTATATTAGTCTCAATGAAGTGATGAACTATACAAAATAACTACAGAACTGACAAAAATACTGATTTACATCGAAACAAGTGAATCACAAAGTGCAAGGCATAAACTATGCAACATTGCCTCAAAACATGCTTTCAGTGTCAACATTTTACCAGGTTGAAATTAGTCTCGCTTCATTCTCCGTCCAGCGCTTCCTGCTGTTCCTGGTTATGAGCAGATGGAACCCAGAGCACCGGGCAGAACAGGAATGCTACTAAACAAAGGAGTGGATTCACAGCTACATGTTGCATTGTACCGCTGTATCTTTGTCTACTAAGGCATGCAAAAAGAAAAAACAAAAGCTGAGATCACATCTATAAGTTATACTGAGGTTAAAGGTCAGTATCTCAGCAATATCACACTAATATTTAGGATGTGTCGAGTACACAATGGGTGTAGGGTAAAACCATGAAACCCTGTATACATATTAGTCATCTTAAACATCAAAGAGTTCCACATCAAATACGTGTAGTGTTGTCATTCTTTGTCATTTTTTTGGTTAAACCAGGGCGGTCTTTCTATTGCTTAAATATTTGACATTCTGTTTTACAAATAAAAATGTCGTTTATAGCTTGTAAGGCAGCCAAAGTTGAGAAAAAGATGGTTTAACATATCGGCTGCACTGAGATGTTCAGCCACCAGGGGGCTCCCGAGCACACCATGAGACAGGTGTGTACCAGCTGTGTAACCACCGACATAGAACACAGATCACCTGCACAGGCATAATAAACCACAGATTTAACAGGAGAACATTTGTACCTATAATGCAGCTGACTGGGCTGTTCCACAACATTATTCTCACAATTACATTGTCAGTACCAACACGTTTTAAAAATGTCCTTTTCTTTGATTGATATGGCTTCAATGCACCGTAAAGGAACGTTAGTCGAACAACAACCCCAAACAGGTATTAACACTAGCAGTCTGAGATGTTTTCTGGCAAACTGCAAACCAGAATTTTTAAGGAAATCAAGTAATATAACTCAGTTAGGTGGTATGATCCCAAACCGCCTTAAACCAGAGAAAAGGACTAAATCCATTTATATGATGAAACTACTGTGCCCACTTGCTCTCAGGGAGATTTTGATCACAGGGCACATTGATCTGATATAAAATAAAAAATAAAATAAAATAAAAAAAGTGCATGTTTTTTTCTACAGATTTTCCAACAAGTAACAGCGGATAATATTCTAACAGTATGTTTGAAAGAAAAGGAAAACACCTAATGGAAGCTACAAATGTACGACTATTTTTTCTTTCTATCTGTAAATGTGCTACATGTAAACTAGTGCTGTACACAAAGCATCCGCGGCATGGAGTCGTGTTGGGTAGACATGATGGACTAGCAGCTATCTGGCCGTGTGTCCGTGCGCGTGTGACGAGGGAGGTTGTGGGCATGTGCTCAATTCCGAAACACAAATGAGGAAATGGAGAGATTTGAAGCTCGTGATATTGAACCCTGCATGCTGCGTGGTTTCCTGTCCACACTGATTTTGGGATGAGGGATTAGTGGGCTCATTTGAGTCACACCAGTGAGCATCATCTAGACTGCCAGATAAAAAAGTAGTACCACAAACGTACCTAAGTCCATTCCCTCAGTTACCCTTTTTAGAATTGCTATAGGTGCTCATCTTGTAATATCTTGGAATGACCGGTGTGACGCACACAGCGTGGACTCATCTTCTGTCCACCGTCCAGACATGCTTTTATCGAGTCTCGCTGGTCCCTCACATCCGGCCCAATGCATCCTGCAGCCGTTCCGCCGGCAGCAGCAGCCGCGGTCTCAGAGAGTGAACCCGGGGTCATGCTTCCTGACCTCCAGGAGGAGGCGCTCTTGGTCGCAGAGCGCCCGGGTGAGAGCAGCCTCGGCGTCGGAGAGCCGAGTCTCCAGGGTTTGTCCCTGTAACGGATCAGTGGATTGGTTAGTCCCCTTTTACAGCTAACGCACGCAAGCGGGCCGATATCACATTCTGCCGGACAGCAACGGCTCTCATTACGATATCATCACGTGCCGACGCGTCACCGCGGCGTCCGGGAACAGGACGCCGGCATCGCGGCCTATGTAAGACCGACGCAGCAGGTAACGGCAGATTTAAACACGAGTAGAGCGTGTGAATCTGACTCGGCCTCAGTGGTGGTACACTGTGGACATTCATCTTGGTAGCCACTAACCCCGTTGACAAGCGTCTCCTTGATTTCCCACTCCTTATTGGTGTTCCACTCGGTGGTCACACACATCACCAGACAAAGGCGTCCTTTGGTGATGGCCATCTAAGCTGTGACTGTCAGTAACGACACACTTGTACTTTCTAATAGAGGCCCACAATACAGCAGATTACATCCTGTGAGGTATAGAACTACTATTACGTGTCTAATCCACGTGTTTTCAGAGGTTGATGCGTGTGTAATGAAATCAAATTAACACTGTACAAAAATAAATGTACAATTTTTTAACGATAACAATTTTTTTTTAAAAGATACTTGACCTTGTGGAAAATAATGTGCGATACATTTAAATGAATGAGCCCGGCAGACACGCTCAGCTGAAGCAGGTAGAGTATACGACGTTGTTCGGTCCCCCCTACCTCGGGCTGCTTATGACCACAGCAGGAATGGTTCGCGTTGTGCGGCCCGGCCACGGGACCACCTGCGGATGCCTCGGGGGGGTCCGAACGCTCAGCTGCAACCGAAGAGGAAACGCTATGATCACTTTCTGTTCACCTTTCTGTGAAGACATCGCAGCAGGTGTATCTGTGGTTTCACGGTTGGCCGTCACTGCTGACATCTCTGTGTATCTACGACACGGACGAGAAGAAGTCGCTCACCTCTGAGCCTCATGACGCCGTCGTCGCCGCGCTCGAGGAGCAGCCGATCCACCACAAACGAGGCTGGCACCGCTTGGGGGGCCGTGGGGTAGATTTTAGGGCTGTCATCCTAAAAGAGACGAAAGAGATCAAACACAAACAGGTCGGTTCAGAGCTTTGATTCAAACAGTTGGTCAGGTGTTTCACTGCAGTGGATTAACGCAGCTCATATCATCAAGAGCTAGAAAGCTTAAATCCAAACTGTGTGAATAGTGCTGACCCTTAAACCACGTATCTCATACGGTATATAATCATGTAGGCAGTATGAACAACCCACCTTCATCGTGACGGTGATGTTGCTCATGTGTAACTTCATCGGCTGACTGTCAACGCTGAACTCGTCCTCCAGAAACGGGCCGATGTTGGTCACGGTGGAGGTCAGCAGTTCTGCCCGGCAATCTCGCACTCTCACGTCCAAAAAGCCACAAGACTCGGCCGCGGCGGAGTGTCGCGCTGCAGACGGACCCATTTCGGCCCTCAGGCACACCGCGGGGGGGCCACTGGCACCTTGTCTGTCCCGATCGGGGACGGGTCCGCTCGGAGCTGCAGGAAGCAAAGGAGAACATTCGTGAGCCGCGTGGACACTTAAAGAAGGTAACCTCTGAATTAGAGGCATTATTCAAAAAGCAGATTTGTGATGATTATTTAGTTTGGGATTAGATATCAGCCGATGTGTTAGTGAACTAAACTTCAAGATGCCAAAAGTCACCACTGATTAGGACAGACTTATTTTTGCCACTCTTTCTTAAAACCATCAAACTATTTCATAACGTATTTTCTAGAATATGATTCGAAAGCGACTGATTAGTGTGTTGATAATATTAATCCAAGTTACCCTGTGTGAGGCCGGACAGCAGGTCCGACACCCTGATGTTGCCCATCTGCACGGGGCTCAGATTCTGAGCTTCTACAGCCACGACTTGATCTTCTCCCTTCACTTCCACGGTGCACGCGGTTCCACTCAGGATCAGCAGCAACACCGAGGCCTGGAGCGACAACAAACTCATGCGTTCATATCTCAACTTCACTGGCAGAGTGAATCCATCCATGACGTGTGCTAAAGGAGCCCAGCAACCCACCATGTCCTGAGACACGTCCTCAATGCTTTGGGACAGAGAGCTGCTGAGGTCCGCTGATGAACCTCCCTCGGTGCCGGGCGCCGGGCTGCCCGCAGGAGTGTTGTTGGCGCCCGACTCTGGAAACATGAGATTACAGCGGATGTCACGTGTGTAAACTCAGAGCAATTGCTTTGGAAATTTAGTCGTGTTTTAAGCACCGGAGTCCATTGTTAGAATAACAAAGTTGTCACTGAGATCGCTGTCCACGGAGAGATATTCATCAGGGAGGCTGCCATCCAAGACGGCACTGTCAAAGGAATGCTGGGAAGGCGACTGCTTCATGGATTGGTGACGCAGGCCGGCCGCCAGAGAGGGGGAGGCGTCTTCTGAACGCTGGAGCTGTTCCCTACAAGCGCACACACACACACACACACACACACACACACACACACACACACACACACACACACACACACACACACACACACACACACACACACACACACAATCAGAGTTAAGGGACAGCTGGTAAAAGCATGAGGTGCACAGCGGGGGCTCCAGACACACAAACACTATCATAATGCCAACAGCACAGCGGGGGAGCACCAGCACTCACTTTGCCTGCGTACCGAACAATTTACTCATGCCTGAGCCCCGACTCAGCATGCTGAAGGCGTCCTTTGTTATGGAAAAGGCCCCTTTGGTCAGGTCCAGCGAGGCACTGATGGCATCTTTGGTGGCGTCCTTGGTGACGCTGATGGCGCTGGACAGCTCTCCCTCCAGGCTGAAGTTGGAGGGTTCGCGGGGGAGCACGGGAGAGTGTCCAGGCGAGAGTGGAGGAGAGAGGACAAGGGTGTCCTCCTGCGCGGTCAAGCAATCTGCCCCCAACCCCTCCTCGACAGCCTCACACGCCTCCTCCACCGCGCCGTCCGGCTCATCCGCAGGGACGGCACTGAGGGAGCAGATGCCGTTCTCCAGCCCGCCGCCCCCCGGCGCTGCAGAGTGATGCGCGGGGGAGATGTCGGAGTCCGTCATGCTGTCTGTCTCTGGCGTGTGGGGGACCTCTTCCTCAGCCTCCGTGCACACAGGGGGCAACAGGAGGCCCAATTCCGCGGAGTCCACCACGAGGGCGAGACAAACCGTGGCGGCTTTTGTCTTCTGACCGCGAGACTGCTTCACATCTCGCAGGTCCCGACCCAACTCTGCCCCCAGCCGAGCCATGGCGTCCTTCATCCTCAGCAGGGCGACGTACTGGTAGTGGTTGAGCCACATCTTGACTGGGGTAGTGGTGTGGGCCAAGAAGTGGACAGAGGCCAGCGATGCGTCTTGCTGCTCTGCGGGGGGCTGGTGATCTCCGCTGGGACTGGAGGAGGAGGAGGAGGGTGGGGAGGGTGATGCGTTCTTGGAGGCAGAGGGCCGGCACATCCACACGGACATGGCGAAGGGCTCAACGAAAGGCTGCGTGCCGCCTTTGGGGAATCGCCGAGCTCCATCAAAACCCAGGCTCACGCGGGACAGGCTGAGGGACCAGACGTCCTGGGATCGCGGCCGCTTCGTGTCCAGGGGTTGGGTCTCGGCCTCTTGGGAGTGCTGGAGGAAGGTGGACGGGACGGGGTGGAAGGCACTCTGGTCTCTGGGGTGGGGGCAGGGAGGCGTGTGCTGAAAGAAGGGGCGGCTGGCGAAGTCGTTGTAGGTGGAGTTGAGGTCAGCTCTGGAGCTGTGAGGGCACAGGCGAGTGTTGCTGAGAACCATCTGAGGTACGGTGACAGAGAGGGACTGCGGCCGCTCCGGGTGGTCCAATATGGAAGAATCCAAGGGGATTATTAACTATAGAAAGGAATATAAAAAAAGAATTCAACCATGTATATAAAAAATAAACAAAAAAAAAAGAAAGCACCCGTGTTTAAAAACAGTTCACCTTGAGCAGAGTGGCGTCCATCCGGACGTCCAGATGCTCTTCAGCCCGGCTGCTGTCTTTCAGGTGGTAGAACGCTTTGACCTGGTCCAGCGTGTGCAGCAGCCCTCTGGAGAACAGGTTGATCCACAGCACGCTGGCCGGGTCCACACACAGCTGCAGGCTGTTCATCTGGGCGTACAGGTTGGACGTGGGCACTGGAGGGGAATGTAATGCTAATGTTAATGTAGCAAAGGCAGAAGCACAAAAAACAGGTCAGGATCACTGTAGTTAATATAGAAAGAAAATAACCAGTATGTGAGTAAAGCCGAGTAACACAGTCCCTCATAAACCTAAAGTGGAAAAAGAAATGAAACAAATTGTTAAATACGTTTGCATTTTACCTGAAAAACTTGGGTCGTCAGGGAAGTAGTATTCGGTGAACTGCAGATGAACTGCTGGTACGTTGTCCGGCAAACGCATGGCTTTTCGGTTGCAGGATAACAGAGAGCGGGTCTTCTTGTTTTGACGACCTCTTGTAGACACCTGAATGTTAAAGGGGCCAGATGTTAGAACAGTGGGGAAAATGTCACTAAACAGAAGATGTGATTTTTCCGTTGACCTGCTTCTTCTTCTAAAGACTTAATAAAAAGGAACTCAATTACTGTTATTATGTTCCACATGACAGAACTACACCACATGAGCTCTGATGTCAGAGACTTCCTGTCATAAACTGGAGGTGGAGACCCAGACACGGACAGAAGTTCCCCCTGGTGTCCCTTCTTCTACCAAATGGGGAACTGCAAGGGTTTCGTACTTAAAATAGCTTACACTGTACTTTCTTTCAAGATCCAGGTGGAAAGTGAAATTGTGACAGTGGTTTCTCAATCTCTGGTGAAAGGCACCAGCAGTATTTCACTGGAAACTAAGGGAGAAGTTGTTAGAGCTGCAGTGATAACCCAATTCTTTTCATCTTTTTACACATATTCCCCTCAGAGGGTTTTACAATCTGTGCACATGCAACACACTCTGTCCTGGAACCGTCACATCGGCACAGGAAAAACTCTCCAAAAAGAGATTAAAGACCTGAAAGAAAAAGGGAGAAACCTAAAGGAGAGCTGATCCGCTGATGTGACAGAATGATCAACGCAAAGACGTACGTCTCATGGTAACAACTGTATAAATGGTGGGAACTGTCCCTGCTGTATCCTCTGCGACAGATCCACAGTGATGTGGCTGAGGGTTAATTCCACTATAATGAACTCCCATTTTCCCACATCATTAGCGACTGCGACTGCTTGATCACTGCTTCAATCTTCTAAATGCAAAAGGACTTCTGGCCCTGTGAGAGTTGCTGCCCGACCGCCCCCCTCTGAAGATGATGAACAGATGTCCCCTGGTCCAATCATTGAAGTCAGGCTTCTGGCGGAGCAGGATAATCAAATCAGTGGGTGATTAAATCTCGCCTGATGAATGTCCACGTCGTCCATCCTGACCACCACGCAGCTGGATCGCAGCCTCTTCAGCGCCGGCCCCGGCGGAGCCGTGTCGGTGGGGCTCGGCTTGGGACTGCGCGGTCCATCTGAAGCAGAAACCGAACACTTTGTGACGAGCGGGAAGGACTCATACACCGGGCTGCTTTGTATTTGTGTGTTTTTTAGACAAATCTTTCACATTCATCGACCTGTCTTAGCAGAGGACTCCTTGGCTGACTGGGGCCCTTCGGTTTGTGGCCCCGGGAACCCAAAAGCCTCGGTTCTCCTCTGGTACTCCTGCAGCAGTTTGCCCGCCCACTGGGCCTGAGCCTCCATGGCTCCACTGTGGCGTTCCCAGTGTCTGCATCCGTCAGCTGCAATAAAGCAGCAGCAAAAAAAGGGGCAGTTACAACTCAGCACCCGTTCCAGGCTCTTCCTCTGAAGATATACGAGGATAGAACGTTAGAGGCTATTTGTGGAGTAGTGGCATTGAACTCGGCCTGTCTGCTAACCTGTCACTGGTCATGCACACAGCCTTCAGGGTGATAACCACACAGCAGCTGTCACAAAGTGGATCAGACTGAGCCAACAGGGCAACATCGCAGCTGCTTGCCTCCCTTTGTGTCGGCTGCAGCCCGGCGGAGGGTAAACAGCTGCTTCCCCGCAGTGAAAATGTTGCTTTTGAAAGGCCAAACAAACGCCACCAAAAGATGGATCCAAGCGGTGCTTTTTTGATAATTGTTGATAATAATAATAATAATAATAATAATAATGATTTATTTGACTGTTTGGTACAGCTCATACGGCCACACAACAATATCCCAGCAGAGGAAAGGTGTAGGAAGAGATTGACGATAAATCTGCAGGAGCTACTTGTTTGGGTGCTGCGTTCTGTGTGTGGAGTATTTCACACATATTGTTTATTTGTAATCAAACAAAAAAGCAAACTGCTAATTCAGCATGAACGTCTCCAGAGGCTACTCTGCTGCTCCACATCCCGCACTCCAAGGACTGCCATTAGTCCGCACGCATGAGCAACCAACCCTCCCACCGGCGGGTCCTGAGTGAATGCCAGGGTCAAAGTGGGAGGCGGGACACAGAGGATGAGGATGAGGATGAGGAGGAGGAGCAGCTACGCGAGAACTACGTGCAGAGGAAGCCTGAGATTTCAAACTCACCAGGTCTGTGGACGGGGTAGTAGTCAAAACCCAGCTTCCTGAATGTCAGCTGCATGGCGCCTTGCAAGCCCGGGGGAGGAGCCTCATCTGTGTCAATGGCACATGCCAGCTGATAAAAACCATCACCACGGTAACAACCTATACAACGCCATTCGCCATCGGATCTCACGGATCGCTCCGCGGCGCAATTGTTGCTTCCCGTTGAAGCGAAAACACAAATACACACGGTTGAGACAATAAAAGCTACACGTGGATCATTTTCGGGGCACGACGGCGTCTCGTTTCAAACTAACCGTCATCCGGCGAGGAGCTGTCGTTGCATATGTGTAAGTCCAATCGGGAGATGAAGGTGTGGTAGGAAGACTCCTTGACATCGTAGAGATCGAAGAATTGACTCATGTTGCTGGGGGTGCCGGTGGGGGCGGGCGGGGTCCCTGTCCACAGGTTATGGAGGCCGGGCGATGGAGGAGCGGTCTAAAACACAGAAGGGGGAAGGGTCAAAGGTCCGAACTACCGAGAGACGACGGGACGAAATAAAGATAGCTCTTTGTGTAATTATGTCATTTCTCTTGCATAATGAATACGAGAGAGATATATACTTTGAATGTTGGGTACGCCTGTTTAAAAAAGAAGCTGAAGGACATAATGAAAGCCTAAAAGGCAGCAGAAATGAGACAATATCTAATATAGAAAATAATGCCTTCTACTTGGAGGAGGATGATGATCGTTTGAAATGGATGCAGAAATAACAATTCATGAGACGTGACCTCAGATGAATACGTGTTTTAAGGTCACCAAGCCTTTACCTTTCCATTAGAACATGGGACGTCTGTAGTTAAACTTAAACGATTCCTATGATTATTACTTAGCATCGATGCTATTATTAGTCTACCCATTCAGCAGCAGACCTGAAGGGATTCGGCAGTCCTGCTCTTCCTCTGCTGGGCCGACTTCTCCATGGCCTCGCTGAGAGATTTGGCGTAGTGGATGATGGCTTTGAGCTGGGAGTCCGTCAGCACCCACAACAGGTCGTCCAGGATGAAGAGCAGCTTGGACGCCAGCACGTGGCAGTCCTTTATCTGGATAGAACAACGGGGGAGTTAAACCACACGAGGTCAGGTTTGTGGTTTTTAAAAAGGGGATCCCCCTGGCAGTCTCACCCTGCGCTTCAGAGCGATGCGAATGCGTCCCTGGTTGGTGATGAGACGTAGCGGCGTGCTGCCGAGGTCCTGGTCGCTGCTCTCGATGGCGTCCGCCTCGATTCGCAGACTCTGCCAGTTTATCTCTTTGAACGTCAACACCTGGTTTGAAACGAGAAGCATTCAGCTCCGATCAAGCGCGTCACGTTCCGGAGAAGAAGAAACGGGGTGGAGGTCGGGGATGTGGGGGCGGGGTAAGAGGTGGGGCACTGTACCTCTCCTCGCTTCGGGTCGGTGACGCGGGTGAAGCGGAGGTCACTTTGCTGCCACTTGGGGTTGAGGCTGTTGCCCTGCAGCTGCCAGAGCTCGAAGGAGGCGTGGAAGGCCCGAGCCTGCACCTTGATGGTGATGGTGTTGATCCTCACAGACATGCCCTCCACCACCTTCTCTGCGAAGCCGTACTCGCTGCGGAGAGAGACAGGCGATGGAGGGAAGGATGGGCGGAGGCGTTCGTGGGATGCCTCGTCCCTCGGGGCGGGATTGGGGCGGGCTTACCTCTGGCCCGCTGTTATAGCGATAGGAGACGGGCCGTTAGGTGGACGCGGCTCCTCGCACGTCCTCATTTCTACCTCCACCTTATCCAGGAACTGACACAAAAGGAGAAAACTGTAGTACCGCAATTGAGCAACGATAGATAGAGAATGTAATATTTTCAGATGATAACAAGAAAGAAAGGCGCCATCTATGGAGCAGCGGGTAATAGTTGTGACATGGACACACATGGCCAAGACTTTTGGAGAAGGACCGAAACAACTTAATTCTTACCAGACAGATGGGGCTTGTTTTCAACTTTGTCCATTGTATCTAAAAAAGACACAGTCAGCCACAGACACTGTTTATCATTCACGGCGTGCACAGAGGACATCAAGCTCCTGACACACAGTATCTGCCACGCAGTTTTATTGCTCTAGATGTCAAATATCCACTTCAGCTATCAACTGGGAAATGTCTCTGATCAGTGTGCAATCCTGATTAGACACAGAGCAACAAGAAAGAAAGAAAATAGCCTCAACGATGCTATTCAAAAGTATTCTCAATGATTAGCTATAATTTATTCTAAAAGGTTTCTTAATAAAATAAATGATCAACGTCTGAGTAAAGACTAAGAGTAAAAACAAATGTCGTGGCCTTCGTAATGGAGCGAGGTTATCCTGAGGCATTTCTAAAAATAGGACCACGACCAACGGAACAAGTGGATTCCAGTAGCAGTTGCAAAGGAAGTGTTTTTTTCTCAGCAGTCACTCTGTTGCAACCACAGAACCTCCCTGTAGGATGAATGCTACGAATGCTACAAAACAAGAAATGACAGCATGACAGATATTCAGCCACTAGCTGCCCAACATGAATACACACGGATAACACTAAACAATCCCGTCCTACTCAGGAATCAGGAATCAGGAAACATTTATTGGCCAAAATATGTCAAACATACAAGGAATTTGTCTTTGCGGTTAGTGCGCGACAGTAGACAGACAAGACAACAGTGCACAAGTAATAAAATCAACACCAACTATGTGGTGAAAAAGGGGCGGAACACGATACGGAGTTGGGATCTTAAACGCACGGCAGCCAGAGCGCCTCGGGATCACTTTAGTGTCCCTCCGAATCTCTCTGTGGAGAAAAGGGCGACGATCCGGTCCGACCGGTCCGCTGGAGACGTACCCTGATGGCGGCTTTGTTGCAGTAAACCCGTGTGACAGCGAGCCAGGTGGGCAGGTCCAGCATGTTCTGCAGAACCTCCTCATCGAGCTCCAGGTTGGACAGCTGCCCCTCCCCCTTCAGCGTGCTGAGGTTGATCTTGTCCGGGGACAGGTTCTTGGTGAACCTGAGGAAGAGGAGACAAGTTGGGTTAAGAGTGAATACGTACAGCCTGAATCTAGCTTCAACTAAGGGAATACACTCGTTTTTGGAGCACGCTGGAAACGTCTTATAGTGATGCAATAACAGTCAGACGTTTGGACACATTTTCACATTCAAGTGAATGAGAAAGTGTGTGTAAGCTTAGAAGAGATTACTGCTACTAGTCCCTTCTCGCATTGTGTGTTCTTATACCTGAAGGTGCTACAGCCGCTCCCTTACAAAGCATCCACTTCTTCATCATAACGTTGCATTTTTAAAGTTTGGGTCAGAATTGCCAGAAAAGTTTTCATACTACAAAATGCGACAGGATGCATCGAGACATCCTGGTATTTTGTGCATTCTGCATTTGCAACACTATTTATGTGGACATACTAAATATTTCTATGGCATATAAAGTATCACAAGAGTGAGGGATTAATAATATTCCTTTGCAATCCATGTTAGCAGCGGATCACCATAAACAGTGATAACTATAAGCCGATTCCCCTGTAGTGCAAATGAACGAGTCACCCTGAGGAACCGTAGGTCGGGAGGGTGCCAACCCCCCAACGAGCGACCAGCAAGAGGCTGCAAGCCCCCGCAGGGAGAGTCCAGCAGCAAACGGGGGAAACACACAGTTGGGCATTTTCATTTTACATTCACCACATGAGTGAACGCTGAACGGACACATCCGCGACATTTCAGAGCAGCGACCAAGTGGCACCGTAGCTCTTCTCTGACTTTATTACAACAGAGTTTGGTTAATACTGGTAATAGTAATAATACGAATGAAACGAGTGAGACGTGGGAAAGTGGTCAAGTCATAACATTGGACTTTGTAATCCGGTCAAAGACTGAAGCTTCCCTTTTGTCACTGAGAAACAAGAGAACAGCTCAACACTTTCACCAGGAGCATTGCTTTCATTTCACATCAGCTCACACTCCTCAAGGCCCTTTAATGAGACACGCGTGAGGGTTGAAGCTAGTTCACATGTCCAGAAATACCCAACTGCTACTTTCTAACTGCTACTGAGCAACGTTGTGCATTTCGTCACATTGGTATTTCGGAGTGTCAGAACCCAAAAAGGAGCAATTTGCAGGTATTTATAAATAAGGACTGCATTACGGCAACTAACTGCTGAATAGTGGTTCCATTATTGAAAGAGAAAGATTAGCGTGGCTCAGACGGCAGAGAAATACCAGAGCGTTCCAAAGGCAAGAAAGAAGTCATTGTGCAAACTGTTCAACCAAAAAACAACAACATCAAGATCTTACTAAGACGATCTAGACACAGTTTGTATGAGGATAAGATCTCGTCTTCATCTCGCCGGGCTTAAAATTAACAATACAATCCTGCAACACGGAGTCAGACCCTTAACCCTGAGAGATGCTCGGAGGTTAAAGCTAATTTCCCACCAGCTACACCCACAGCAACATCAATGTGCTCGCAGGTCTACGCGTCCACGTCGCCTGCAAAAACAGGTGTGTTAATTATCCAGTGTCAGAGACAGCAGAGGGGAGGAGAACAGGGGACGGATGTGGGGAGGATGCTGATGCTGACCGGAACACAACCTTTGTCTTTGACAGCCAGGTGTCTGATGGGTGAATGTTGCTGGAAAACGAACAAGACTCGTGATGAGACATAAACTCTTAAATCGTAGCGCGGCTGAGTATTTTGAGGTGGGATTAAAGAAAGAATTTTCTTTCTTTTCCCTGATGCATTTTTTTTAATAAAAGGTGTAGATGCTAAAAACGTATTCAAATCAACAATCTTCGGCATCGGTTTGGAGCTGTGCTGAACATAAATGACTGAGAATGAAGACTAGATGGATGGAAGGAGACACAGCTGTGGCTTGAGTAGGAGTAAATAAGAAAAGATGCAATCAAGGATCATGTAAAAGCCTTTTCACCTTCCGAATATGATATTTATTTAGGGCCCCAGACCCCGAAGTGACACAAAGTAAGCAATGATGAACGGTGCTATGAATCAGACATGTCAGCTGTTTAAAGCCAGCATTTAAGACGGTCCGTAGCTCACAGCAGCATTAAAGTGATGTGTTTGAGGTGTTACGGTTGAACTCGTTACCACCGCGTTAGTGACCAGAGTGGAAGTGGAAGTCCATGTAGCTGCTAGCTTACATGTCACGTTACGGTAACAGTGGACGCGAGCGTCAGCGAGCGGGTCCATCATCCAGCCGGGCTAAGAGCAGCTAACACAACCCCCCCCCCAAACCAAAACCACACTTACCGTGATAAATGTTTCAAAATTTGCTTTTTAATAATTCCGGCCATTTTTATTCAGCGTCGCGGGAACCCGAAGCCCCCCCTCTGCTGAACTGAACCAGCGGTCTTTGCTAGCTTCCAGGTACCTCTCCGTCGCATGCTGCCCGGGCTGTGTGCATCTTACAGCCGCCGCAGCCACAGCCTAGCTGCTACTTCCACGAGCTCCGGGCGGCCAACTGACTCCAGCGGACCACGGCGACACCGCAGCGCCGCCTGCCGGAGGCCGAGGGCGGAGCAGGCGAGCGGAAAGTGCGCCCGAAGATTCCCACCAACGAGCCCAGTGTATTTACAAACAAAATTATACTTCACAAATGGCACGTTGTGTAGAATACGCGGTTACTAACTTCATGTAATACGGTAGTCGTTATGCACTGAAAATAAAATAACGTTAAGTAATAACTTAAGTTTCGAGATGTTTTTGTGACGTAATATGTCTGTGTGTGTGTGTGTATATATATATATATATATATATATATATATATATATATATATATATATATATATATATATATATATATATATATATTAGATATAAGGGTTGAGTTGAGGAACTATTTTTAACAATTATGACATCAAAGACTAACTATCAGAATAACTGCATGTGGTGAAGCAAATTAATGTGCAAATATTAAGTAGTTACTTCTCTTTAGACAGTTTCACTATCAACATTTTTCTGAAATTGTGCAATTTAAAACAGGTTTACTATATTTAACATACTATTTTACCATAAACAATTCAGTTTATTAAATTAGGTATTAGTACAATAACACAGCAAACAGGTATTTTGTCAACAAATCTCTGCTAAATAACTCAATTTATAAAACTAATTTTAGTTGACAGTGCCTTAACGAAATAATGCAGAATTTTGTACAACACAACCCTGCACCAACATTCATCATGATGCAAATCATGGTGCGTAACCTAACATACCCTATAAACATGTTATTTTAATGAAACCATATATTAAACAAAACATTTTATAATTCTAACCCACGTGATACATTACTTAATGGTAATATTGATTTATTATGACATATCATCTTCCCTGTAATAACACGCCTAGTATAAAAGTAGTGTTTTCTCTTCTCCTCTAGGCCTCATAGGCACAACACACAATCATGTGACATGCGCACTCGGCCCTGTTGTTGAGTTTGTTATGACAAGTCGAGGCCTCGGACTAAATTAGGAGCGAAGCCCCCGTCTCTGTCCGGGCGAATCCGTGATGGAAGGCATGGACCTGGACCTGGACCAGGACCTGGTGCAGAAATTCAGCTGCATGGGCACAACTGACAAAGATATCCTGATATCGGAATTTCAGAGGCTTCTCGGCTTCCAGCTAAACCCCGCCGGATGCGCCTTCTTTCTGGACATGACCAACTGGTGAGCCCGGGGATTCGTCGGGCCTGCTGTGGGGTTATTGTTAGACGGTTGACACCGTGCGGTTCACTAGCTAGCTTTCGCCCCGGTAAGTCGTCGCTAATAACGGAGGAGGACATCGTAAGGATCGCTATCCTTCATTGTGACGATGGAGTTTACGTTTTTTTTGTGATGTTTACGTGGGTTCGGTGACAGCTAACGACGCTGTAGTAACGTAACTAGCGTTAGCGTTAGCTGAGCCACCGCGTCTGCGACTTCTGATCGCCTCCGAGGGACTCGGTGGAAAGCAGCTCGGCGCTGGCTGTGACATAAAATATAACACGATAAACACACTGTCAACAAACGTCGTGTTCACGTCGATGCTTGTGTCTGGTTTACAGAGACAGGACGTGATTTATTTGTGTTTAAAATAACGTTTGTTTCAGAGTTGCAACGATAGTCGCTCCAAAGCTAACTTCGGTGCCACCGTGTTAGCCGCGGTACGTAACTCACAATTAAAAGTTTTTAAACGGTTTCCTTGTGGTGTGTTGACTGCTTATTGTGTCAGACGCTCGTCACTTTCACATTATCGACGGCGTTATCGTCTCACTTCTGACGACATCGGCAGTGGTGATGGCCGCTGTTTATTACGCAACATCGGTCAACGCAGTAACGTGACGTTACGTTACTGGCGAAGACGTGGTTCATTTTTTTTTTTAAACCAAACTGGGCCTTGGAACAAAGTGCATTGTGGATCTTTTACGCAGTTTTTTCGGCTTTCGGCGTTAGTCAATTAAAGGTCAGATTGAACTCTTAATGTCTCCGCGCATGTGCAGTCCCGAGTCGATGCAGGTCTGTGGCAGATGACGGAGGGCCGTGGAGGCCGTAGTAGTAACACGTGATGTCGTGCCATTCAGCCACGGGGTTCCTAAAAATAAAAACTGCTGATTTATGGACGACTAGCGGGAAGCAACCATTAGTAATCTCTCTGGGTCTGCAGGGGGAATATAGGTATTCTGATGCAGTCCCAAAATGCTGCAGAAATAAACATTGTAAATAAACGCTACCGTCTCTTTTAGATTTAGTGTCAGCCACCGAGATTCAGTGTAAAATGTGTGCCCGCTTATAGCGATTATCATTTCACCAAAGCTGTACATTATATCTCTGTACCAATAACCTGGATTTCTGCCTTTTTTTTGTCCCAGGAATTTACAAGCAGCGATTGGAGCCTACTACGACTTTGAGAGTCCCAACATCAGCGCACCGTGCATGTCCTTCGTGAGTGACGTGACGATCGGGGAGGGAGAATCGGTTCCACCGGACACACATTTCACAAAGACCTGGAGAGTACAGAACACGGGTAAGTCCGCGTGACTACTAGGACCGATCACAGAGCCGACAGCGGACCCTGAGAGGTGGATATAATCGTGCTCGCATGTAGAGTTCAGCATAGTTTTCTGTGTGTCTTCCAGGTTCAGAGTCGTGGCCTCCGGGGGTTTGTCTGAAGTATGTTGGCGGAGATCAGTTTGGTCACGTAAACATGGTGATGGTACGGTCTCTGGACCCCCAGGAGATTGCTGATGTCAGCGTGCAGATGCAGAGCCCCGCATCTCCTGGCATGTACCAGGGCCAGTGGAGAATGGCCACAGCCACCGGACTTTACTATGGAGGTTCGGACGGAGAACCTGCACGCTACAAGCTGTGACTTGTGGCTTGTTAGTACATATGCTCAAGAACAGACCGAAACTGACAGAAAAATTACCAGCAGCTATATATCTATATTTTCACAGTAGTTTCCCCGCAAAAATTTCAGGTTTCAAATGTGAGAATTTGCTGCTTTTTTCTCAATTCTTTTTTAGGATCGGCTTTAAAAAAAAAACACATTGTAGACTACAAGAATAATCAGCAGTTAAATGATAATCATCTGTTTTTAGAATGAACATGTAAATAAAAAGCAGCCGCATGCTTAAGTCATTACTGATGAAGTACTACATCATTTTACTATTGATTGGACGGCCATTCGATCGACCCACATGTTAACTTAAGAGTAATTCATTGAATTGATTTACAGCCTCTTGCAAGTTAAACGTGTATTACAGATCCCAACAGGAAGTCCCTCAAGACTTGCCTACCTACAAACCCAACAGCAGTGAGACACTCAGTTCTTACTGACTTGGCCTTCTTTTAGGCGTCCGTGGTAATATTTCCTCACTTAACACATTGGTCTCCTTGAGCGAGAAGACTTGCAGATTTGGAGGGATGTTGTGGGGGTGTTTGTGCTCCATCCTCCTTTTTACCTGGATCACATAACCCTGTGTTTTGTCGCACAGCGGCGTCCTCTATTTTAACACGCTGTTCATTTCTTTGTGCAGACGTCATTTGGGTGATCCTGAGTGTGGAGGTCGGAGGCCTCCTCGGCGTCACGCAGCAGCTGTCCTCTTTTCAAGCGGAGTTCAACACCCAGCCTCACCGCCGCCTGGAAGGAGACTACAACCCGTTCGCCTCGCCGGAGAAGAGCAAGTGCCCCAACGGCAACAACAACAGCCTCCACGATGCCAGCGTTCACAGGGTCGCAGAGGAACATTGGCAGGGGAGCCCCGACCAGCTGCAACAAGATCAGAATGGACTTTCACAAAACTCTGTGGATTTAGTAGCAAATAGTCTACAAAGCAATCTATCAGTAGTCTCTTATAACCAGGTAAGACACGTCAAAGGGCAGGGGGATGTCACAAATCAGTGAGTCGTGGTTGAGGTTATTGTCTTCCACCATCATTGGAAGGACAACTGGAAAGTCTGAAAGCTTTTTATAAGTAACAAGAAGAAGAAAATCTATAAATGCAAAGTTGATGGTAATGATATTTCTCAAATGTGTTGTAGATACATTTAAAGTGGTGTGAGTTTAAAATAAACCCTATCGTGAGAACGGGAATATGTAAGTCACTTTTTAGGACTGCAGTATTCGATGAATTTGGTTGCTCATATTTCCTTATATTAACTTTCCGCATATTAACTCAAAAGCTGCAGTGACATTCGTTTCTTCCATTTTCTATTTTAACCTCATCCTTTTAACAAACCGTTTCCAGCCACACAACTGGATTAGTGAGGCTGTGATTGGGCACGGTGGAGATTTGCGACTCTAAGATGCTGATATTCACCAGGTTTCTCATTCCAGCGTCGTCTTTTAGCATGGCAACCTTTGTAAATGACTACTAAACACAAAGCATAGCTTGGGTTGATGACAACGTCGCTCATTTATCAGGTATTTCATCACAAAACAAACCCGCCATCACGGCCTAAAACACCTAATAATGTACAAAAATAGTTAAAGATCACCAATGGTTGAGTGAACAAGGCAACAGGATTGAGGATGCCAATGCAGACACCGAGGCAGGACAAGGCAAAGATGGAGAACTTTGGTAAACCAGCGTGTATTAAATGATCAGGCTTACAGTCGGTCACCAGAGGGCGGAGGCGCGCCGCGGCTCACAACCGGTGCACCGCGTGAGAAACTGCCAGAGGCAAAGCGCCGGTGGGCTCTGGGGCCGTTAGAGCCAGAGGTGTCAGGTGGGGAAGGTTTGGACCTGTGGGGGGCATCTGGTGGAAAGCTCGTCAGAAAGGCACAAGCCAACTGAAACCCAACAGAGGCCACCGCCCGAGCGCCACTTCAGCATTGCAAAGTCTTTCGACGCTGATTTTACAGGCGGTGAATTTGTCCTCTTAGGACTTTGTTCTCATTTTGGCTGTTAACGATTTCTCTTCGTTACAGGGTATGCAGGAGCCCTATCCTTTCGGGCACTCTTAAATCACGGGACTTGTCACAGCGAGGCAGCACTAAACCTCTGGAGTCTGTCGCACCGATGAGAGAAAGAAGCTGTGCCCAGATTGTGGCGATTTTGAAAAAACAGTTTATGCAAAGCCCGGCTACCCTTTGAGAAACCAGAGGCCGATGCTCTCGACGTGCAGCTCAACCAACATCCCGCCACCCGCTGTATGCACGAGTGAATGCTAAGTTAAAAATGAGTGCTATGAATCTTTTTGAGTGGTGACTTTCCTTTTGTCAAATTTCTTTTTTTTTTTTTTTTTTGTTGTCAAAGTGAAAATGGGAAAAAACGTTAAGGGGTGTGTGTTTGTGAAATGGTGTTTGTGAAATGGTGTGTGTGTGCGCGCGCATCGTGCAACCCGAAGGAGAGACTTTGGAGGAAAAGCCATTTATTTTGCCATCTGATTCTCCAGTTTCCCGTCTGGCTCTTGGTATATTAACTGGGTTTCTGCACCTGTTCCCTGTAACTAAATGTAACCACCACCAACCACTGAACATCATGGCTTTCTTTCTGTATTCGTTATTTTTAATATACCCTTTTTAACAGAAAGGGGGGGGGGGGGGCAGCCACGTCCTTCACAACTATATCTTTAGCTCATTTGACGTGGCGGGCGCATGGCGTGCTGTCATTTCGATGCTGCCTGCGTACCAGCGATGCACAGCGAGTCAGCCATTGCTCACAAGATGAGAGCTGAACTATTTTATTATTTTTTTAACACATGAAATAAGAGTCGTTGCTTTGCATACATACATACGTAGATACATATCTTTGACATATTACAAGAGTATTCATTACCAGTAATAAAGCCGTTTTAGAGATCGCCCCAATTATTGTCTGAAGCTATGAGTTAGTTGCGTTGCACATGCACCCTGACACAAGACACTGAATTCAAGCCATATGAACAGCGGTTAAAACAACCGTGCTCTATGAAAACATCAATGTTCCTTTTAATTTGAAAGCGGTCTTGGAGTTGCTTTTATCATATTAGGTTGAATGTATTTGATGAATGTAGAATGGATAATGTTTATTAATTCACCCAAAGATTCAACATTGTATGTTTGCATTAAACTGGCGGTTTTATTATTGTAATTATTGTTCTGAATATCCCCTCTATTGTTAAAATGATGCTCCGAATGTTCCACATCGCAGTCTCCAAAATGTCTCACTAATCATCGCTGAGCTTTCAGTAAAAATGCAATGAATTGTGTTCTCTTGAAGAATTGTGGCTGCGTATCTACTCACACCAACTGGCTCTTCTATGCACTGAGCGATCCCCCCCCCCCCCCTCCCGTGCCCCCATGACAGCCCCGTACATTTAAGTCCGGAGGGGTTTATCTCGTCATCTACAGTTCGATCTGACGGGTAAATTTCCCTTTTGATTTATTTGGGTAGTTTGGGTATTTGCGGATCTCTGTGCATCACCTGTGCAAAATAAAGAAATAAATATATTTCCCACAGCCGCCGAAGGCATTTTCTGTGTCTACGCCAGTTCGTCCTCCGGTTCTTTGTTGCGACATCTCTCCCGAGGTTTCCACTGGCCGGATGGCAGAACGAATCGGTCGGCATTAGACTCACGCAGCAGCACGTTAAGATGAAAGCTTGTTTCCTGTATGTTTGATGAATGTTTGTATGATTAAATTATCACTGAAAACAACAGGCGTTGTCCTGATTTCTGTTTGTGTATTTTCCTTGTTTTCTTTTGCACACACATCGTTTTTAACCTCTACTTCAACACGTGCACTCTTCTCTCAGCTTTCTTTTTGACTTGTACAGTTCACACATTGCTGTATGTTTCATGGCATTTCGAGTGGAAATGATTCTGTGCTCATTCTGACAAGCAGTGCATCTAAACTGCTGTGAATGCTTTTACGCGTGTACTACTTGATCAGATTCCTTAAGCCTTTTATGACGCAGCCCTTTTATCAATTACTGGATGTCAAACAAGAAATGATTACACAGGTATATATTATCATTTTCTGGCTCACTAGTTGTTCGGCGTTACTTTCTGTTGAGTTTGTACTTAGGACTTGTTATTTGAGGAGAATAGGAAATGCAGTTCAAGCACTGATCTTGAGCGGTGGGATCGATGGCCGGGTGCGTGTTCGCCTGGGGGGTTAACTGCAACAGTTTGCATCTTTCATCATCTTGTGCCTGTCAAGCAGCAAAACCAAACCGCCTCGGGGAGCCTGTGTCACTAATTGAGTAATAAATTCCAGAGTAAGAATCCAACCGACTCGAAAGCTTCAGTACGTGTAGGTAGTTGTGGTTTTGTTTTATCAACTCGCACTTTGGGCAGCAAAAACGTCACTTTGACCTTTAACCTTCATCAACTGGAGCTCGAGGCCTGCAGCTTTACCCAGCGGGTCGAGAGGCTGCAGTTCTAAAGGTGATTTGTGAGGGTGGATACAAATATTTCAACCCCTCTGTTTGGCTCAAGCAAACATTTACACACTCGCTTTCCCTTTGGCCCTCGCTCCGTGTACCAGTTATTCCGCTTTTCAATCAGCTGATGGTTTTCAACTTTTGAAAACTACGAGCACTCGACATCTCATGGGCATTGTGGCGTCTGGTCCCCGTGTCTCTTTGCACGGCGGGCCTCTCTGGTTTCACGTGAGCTCAAGCTGAGATCAGGCCGATAAGGACACGCGGCGAGCGTTGGATTCTGTAGAAAGATACGTGTGTCAGGTGATTGACGGGACGGAGCCCCCATGAGCCCCTTGTCTCCCATTCATCTCTATCCCATAGACTGACAAAAAACATATTTTAGATTATTTTAAATTCATTTTCCTCAAGCGAAACAATGTGCTAATCAATTGGGAGTTTAACACTTTAAGTTTAAATTCCAAATAGAATTATTTCTCACCTCTCACACATAACGGGAACTTTTGAAGCAACTAGTGGAGCAAATGCAAATAAGATGCATGTATCTTCAACACCTTCATTTGGATATTATCTTTTTAATTCAGCCCCCCCCCCCCTCTTTTCATAGCTGGCAGTTAAAAGTCACGATGTTTGTTTATAGAAGGAACTTTCTGGGAACACTGCAATATGGCCCCAAGTCATTGTTGAGTAGGCACTCACAAGAACCTCCCTCATGTCAACACACCTTTTCTTTAGAATTGATACGTCCCAAAGGCACTGTGTCCATAATCAGTCAAACTCACTGCGCTCAGGCGGGACAGACGGGACCCAGCCGTGGTGTGCTGGCTAGGACGAGGGGATCACATGCAGCTCATCTTCACCTGAGGGCAGAAGAGACACATCTAAACCGAGATAGAGAAGCAGAGCAGACGAGAGGCCTCCGCATCGGAAAGCCGGCCGAAACCACACCGACCGGGTAAGACATTCGCCCCACTGGACGTCAAAACGGGAAAGAAGTCCAAACAGATTGGGGCCATTTTTGTACACATTGAGTAGAGAACTACTGAGACATCATTTAGTTTATGTTGTGGTTTTACTTTTTGATATTCAAAATATGTATTTTTTGGGGGCTGGAATGCTTGAGAATTGTTTTTATCTGGATCACTTCCTGCTATTGCGATTACTTGCATGATACAGTCGTAATGTATTTAAATTTATTTGTTCCCACAATCAGCTCTAAATTATAACGACAAAGATGGGTAACTATTTTGCCACCTGTGCTGGTATTATTGCCAATATCTCTATAATCCTACAGTTCACATAATCATTTATGAGTTTGCCCGTTTGTAATTACGTCTTGACCTGAACATGATTTAAGGTGATGAATTTCCACAGTTTCCCCCACAGTTGTTTTCAGACAATGCACTTATTTATAAATGGATAAATTGCAATAATGGGATTTTTGCAATTTATCCAAAGAAAAAGAAATCTTTTTTTTTTCTCGGGGTGCTGATATGGTCAATCGACATTTAGCATGAAGTGAGAAGCAAAATTGGGTGTATAAATACAACTGGTGTTGATCCGGCTCACGCTCTTCTTTTAGTTGCACCCTTCAGCCTGTAATGTAACAGACGCACACAGCGACATTCAGACATCACTTCACAGGCTTGTAAAAGCTGAAGGTGTTAAACACCTTTTGTTGTAAGAACAGTGAAATGCAGGCAGTGACTAATGACCATAGCTTTCCATATCAACAAAATGCCTCTGATATCAGCTTGATTGCTATCTGACGAGGTGTAAAACAGCTCCTAATACGACTCTACAAATAAGGGACTTCTCTTCATGATCGCGCTGCTTTCATTTGAACCCCCATTCAACCTGTCACTACTCAGGCACAGTCAATGTTTACAGAAAGAGAGCCTGTGAATTATATTCATGTGCTCAGTGATACTTTTCGCTCACATTTGTTGTGCGTGTTTGATTGCTTTGAAATGTCACATGTATTGTGGCCGAATGTAGGCAAAGATGATGGAAAAAAATAGAAACATATCAACTGAAATGGAAATGTTTTGTATCATTTTGACAAATCAAACACTGGCACGGAGCACCACTCCCAACCAGGTGAACTTACTCACACCACGAAGAATACACACCGGCTACTTATCTTTAAATGCGTCCCACCCTTCGTGCTCTTTTCTAGCAAGCTTCCATTTTAACATTAACTTTCGATCCATTGTGGTGACTCGTGTTTTTTAGGTGTTTCATCGTGATTGTGGCTAAATGTAATCTTGTGCATGTTGGTAATTGCTGTAAAACTGAGAAACATTCATTTCAACTCGGGGTCAGAGTTCAGAACACGGCTTTGATCTTCCTTTCGTTATCCGTATTTAAAGGTGGAGTAGATTGCTTTCTGATAGTGTTGAATGAGGTTGAAAATAATGGAAGGTAAGGCCTAGTTCAACTTGGACATTTCATTAGAGAAGCTGAGATGTATTCATGCATTGCGCCGCTGGATAGACAGATTCCATATTTAAGTAATTTAAGTAAATACCAGGGAGAAAATGTCATGCTTACTTTAGGTTGGCCACTGTTTAGACAGCACCGGTACGCTGTACATCGCTGATGACACGGCTGACATTTTGTGACAATGCTGCTTTCTTCTTACAGTGTTGAACAAACACGAGCATGGGGAGTCCGGGCGGCGCTGCACACTCACCTCGCTACATGAGTCCACCCCACGGGGGAGCCAGGACGGCCTGGCCGGACGGGGCCGAGGACATCAAACTGCCACGCGGCTTGTTGCCGCTGCCCGATCGCAGCTGGACGGGGGTCTACCTCCCCTACTACGACAGATTGGCCGTGGAGGAGAATCCCTGGATAATGAGGATGACAGAGGCCCCGGCTCACGTTCCTCCTCCCTGCAGGGCGCTTGAGCCGAGCCCGGCCAAGCCCGGCCCGCCCCAGGAGCCCCCCGAAGCGACGGGGGGGCAGGTGGAGGAGTGCTGTCTGGAGCAGGTGCAGACCATGGTGGTGGGAGAAGTGCTGAAGGACGTCGACACGGCTTGCAAACTGCTCAACATTGCTCCGGGTGGGACGCAACTCCTTTATGTTGTGTAATTGTTCTTATTATAATATGTTATATACATTTGAATGGACAAACCTGCTGTAGAAAGTGTTGGCAGAAGTTGCAGTCTAAAAAAAATAGGCTCTTCAGACGCCATCATTTGTTTGTTTGCTCTCACATTTGACCTTCGGAGTGTCACAGCTGGTGAGCCTCTGAGATCCGGTCCACCTTGTGCAAACGTTTCTGTTGGCAGACGATCATCTTCGCTTCTAATGAACTTCCCTCCCAACTCTTTGTGCTAAATACGGTTTTAACTCTTGAGACTTCATTTTCCACAGTGCTAACAGCATTTTTTTGAAAATTTTCAATACAGATTTGCAAAATTACGTAACTCAAGTAAAGAAACACATCTTCATTAGATGGCTTGTTTTTGTTCTTATTGTTCTTAGCCTTATTTTGAGCATTATTTGCACACATTGGTTTCTAAAAATTAACTTTACTTATTGTATGTATATGTAGTACAGACAATAAGTATATTTGTTATACGACTTACGTAGGTGACGTTAGTAAAGAATGGAAGTTATGATACCTACCTAGGGCAACGGTGGCGCATGGATTAGAGAGGGTGCACTGGGATCTGCAAAGTTGGCGGTTCAAGCCCCGGCTGCTCCATGTCCCATGTTGAAGTGTCTATGAGCAAGACACCTAACCCCTAATTGCTGCCCGGGCAAAAATGTAAAAATACAATGTAAGTCGCTTTGGATAAAAGCGGCAGCTAAATGACCAGTAATGTAATGTACCTGAGATAAAAGCCCCAGAGGGAGAATCTGACAAACTCTCTGTAAAACAGATTGAAGCCAAACACCCGTGTTTGTTGATCAATTGATGTTTTTCAACCAAATATTTGTTTTTTTCCATGGCGTTTTTGACCTAATATTTTTTGATTTTTTTCTTCATCTTATTTAATCGACATGACATATTTTGATTTCCAAACATATTTGACTTTTTTCAAGCTAAATCTTTTTTACTTTTTCCCCATGACATACCATTTTTTTCCCTAAATTTTTTCCAAACATTTATCAATGTTAATTTAATCAACATGACATATTTTGATTTTTTTCCAAAACATTTTCTGACCATGTTGACTTCCTTTTCAAAACATTTTTCAACCTAATATTTTTTTTACATTTTTTCACATGAAATTTCCGACCAAATAATAAAAAACATTTACCAGCCTAAAATGTATTTCCAAAACATTATCTGACCTAACATATTTTGACTTTCTTTTCAAAACATTTTCAAAACAAATATCTTTTTTACATTATTTCAACCAAATTCTTTTTAAACATTTTTCAAGCTAAATTTCTTTTCTGCATTTTTTCCAAACATTTATCAATCTGAAAAATGTTTAAACTTTTTTTCCATGACATGTGTAAAAAAACATACCTTAAGTCTGCGTTGTCCTCTTTAGACCCGCAGGACTGGAGCTGTGTGCACGTTCAGAAGTGGCTCCTCTGGACCGAGCACCTGTACAGGCTGCCGCAGGTCAGCGCCATGTTTCAGCAGGTGAGCGGCAGAGATCTGTGCTCCATGTCAGAGTCAGACTTCAGGCAACGCTCCTCGCAGTTTGGAGACATGATGTACGCTCATCTGGACATCTGGAGATCTGGTGAGAACACCTTGAACACAGGGGGAAATCAACCCACACAATCTCTGCTGAAAGGCTGATCGTGAAGCCAATGCAGTGTGACCAAGACCATATTTAGGACTTGGCTCTAAGTATTCTGCCCTTTTGACTGTTCTTTAAGCTGCAGCAATGAAGGAGTGCTGCCCACCACCCGAAGACAGCGGATCCGGTGAGTTTTTGTTTATTACTAAACTTTTCTGAATCAAATATTGATGTTAAACAAGCTGAAGTAACATCTGCTTTCTGAAAATCCCTCTTATGTCAGCCGCTGAGGATTTGTGGTCAGATGTGATACGTAACTACCCCAACCAGCCCATCCACCTGTGGCAGTTCCTCCGAGAGCTGCTCCTCAAGCCTCACAACTACAGCCGCTGCATCCGCTGGCTTAACAAAGAGAAAGGTAAACTGCATTAAATACCGCTGAAAGCCACTTATTTAATGTTCATGTATGATGATTGTAAATGCTAAATAGATGGCCTCAAAGTGCTATTACTAGAATAATAGCACAACATTTAGGGTAATGTCTCTTTTTTCCAAGAGAAGTTTAATTAAGGTTTCTCGTGCCTGTATGCTTCATATGAAGGGTTAGTTTTAGCTTAGCATGAAGAAAACAGCTATTCTGGCTCTATCTAAATGTAGTTTTTTTTAAAATAATTATAAATAGATAAAAATCACTTTTTTCACCAGACTGTGAACATGTTTTTCTGCTTTAATCTTCAATGGGGATTAACTCGCATTTGAAACCAGCCTCGAGTGGCCATTTAAGGAACTGCAGGTTTTGGCACAGAACCTTTCCTAACTTTCAGTTTTAATAGTATGTTCTCATAAGGAGCTTAAGAGCTGCTGGTAAGCAGATCTTCCTCCCTTTGGAAAGAGCCTGTTTGCTGTGTGCACTGTGCTTTCATTTCCTTATGCTAAGCTAAGCTAACACTCTCCTGTTTGTAGCCTCATATGCAGCATACAGACACGAGCGTGGTGACTCATCTAAATCTAAGTCTTAGTAAGCAAATACTTTGGCTTAGTCCCCCCCAAACAAACAACTAAGCACGTGTTGTTTCATCCGTTCAAAGGGATTTTCAAAATAGAAGACTCGGCTCTCGTAGCCAGGCTATGGGGCATCCGGAAGAACCGCCCAGCTATGAACTATGACAAGCTGAGCCGCTCAATACGCCAGTACTACAAGAAAGGCATCATCCGGAAGCCCGACGTATCACGCAGACTGGTCTATCAGTTCGTCAACCCGGTATGATGAAGAGGGTTTGCTGATCCAAAGACGACGAGCTGAAGAGGAAGATATGCTGGCCATACAGTCAGGAGTGGCATAAACTCTGAAGTTCTGCTTGTTCATTATACTAAATGTTTAATTTCGATTGTAAAGACTGCCTACTGAACCAAGCACTCCTGCCTATCATCACTCTACTTTGTTGTTAATAATGATTTTATTTTATTTGTCTTTTTCACTTTTTTAAGATATATTTTTGGAGTGTGATATATGAAAACATTTGAAAGAATTAATGCATAGTTACTTTCTTTTGGGGACCTGCGTGAGGGGCTTGATATCGCTCACAAGTATAATTATTCAGCAGCAAGCAGCTGGCTTGCGTAGCTCGACACTAAGATTGGGAACAGCAAGCCCCACTTTGTCCAAAGGTTTACAAATAATAACTAGATATGTTCCAACGAAGCCTCGTTAAAGAGTTTTAGAGTGCTGATGTATTTTTGATATATTGGGACAGAGTAAGGCCAGCTGTGTCCCCTGTTTCCGTCTTTGTGCTAAGCTAATCTCAGCTAGCTCCAGCTACATATCCAACATTGAGGAGTAGCAATCCTCTCATATAACTCAAGAAACGCAAGTAAGCAAACTGTCATAACTTCACACTTCCTTTAAATGCTATTTCTCATCAGTGACACTCGTTGATGTTCACTTTAAAGTTTCAGAGCTCCACAGCTGTAAGTGGATATCCTATCAAATCAGCCTTTTTACATTTATATCTTATGGCATTATGTTCAGAATCCAGAATAAATCAATATATATAACCACATGTCTTTTTTTCTAAGTAGAAAACGTAAAAAGTGTAAATCACATGACAAGTCCAAAAAAGAAACACACAGACACTAACTTTCTTTTTTTTTCTTTCAACAAACTTGTTTCCCCTTTCAAACCAATATCGCGATATCGACACCGTAGCAACAAATTTGAGTCAGGCTTTTCATCACTATCATCATTATTATATCTGTGATCATAATCATCTTTATGCATATTTAAATGAACGTCTTGTTACATCAAGATGAACAGGCACTACACCAGTTAGGAGATAAAAGTACATCACTAACTATGAACACACATCTTCTAGACCGCTAATAGAGGGTTTCCACAACGTGAGCTGCTGTCCCCTGTGTGCATAAGGAAGAGATCATCAACATAAAAAAGCATTTACATGTACACCTTTTTACTGCCTCAACGTGGTTAGGTCTCATTTTCCAACTCAACACAGTTGTACAGTTACAATAGAATATAATCTTTAAATTACATCATCATATACAAATCTGACAGCGTGGGAGAACGTCACGCTTTTATGATACACTGACGATTCCATTGCAATGAAATTCATACGATATGGTACCTATTTCTTAATATGTTTTCCATTGCTGTTATTTTAATGAATCACATTTACATTTATAACACTACATTTTGTCTTAATAGTCAATCACTTGCATTTTTTTAAAACTTTTTTTTCTATTACATTTACACAACTCATACACACTGGATGATGTTTTCGCCCAAAATATTAACCTGGTAACATGGATTATGGTTTTGTCATTTTTAGTCATTTTAAATGCATGTGTGTGTCTGTGTGTATATATATATATATATAGTTATAGTATATATCTGTGTGTTTGTGTGTATGTGAGTCTGTGTGTGCATACACACGTCAAGGAAGTGGGACAGTTTAATGATAGTAGTCCTTTTTGCTATGCTGGACAGCTTTACTCTAAGACACAACTTGTGAGCTGGTGATGTGTTTCTCCTCATGTGTGAGATCCAAACCTGTCAAATCCTGTTCCAGACACAGAGCTAAACACATCTGGCCGCTGTTGGTCCAGTGAGATTTAAAAACATCCGGACGATAAAAAGCATCTGTTCCATCTAATCAGAGATTTAGGTGCAACTCTTAGCAATGTGACTCACTAATCATGATGATGACTTTTAATTTAATTTCTATATATTAAGTTAAGGGTTTAAAAATGACCATTTAATACACTGTGTGCGGGTCATCTTACATGCAGTGCAGCACTGGAGACAAATGTGTTCCCCTGGTCACTGCTGTGTTTTAGCAGACAAATGGAGTTCGGGTGGACTGGGAGGCAGCTGCAACTTGATCCCCACTGAGGCTGTTTCACCTGTGATATGTGAAGTTTTTGCATGGACGGAAAACAGATAGTTGATGGTATTGGGTCATTCTTTGGCTCAGCAGGGAAACGGGCCACACACACACACCTAGTGCTCTTTGCTAGGTCGGGCGTCAAATGACGGTGGAGAAACCGCGCTTCGACAACGAGCCCAAACACTGGTACATTCGTGTCCGGTTGAAGAGGCTTCCATCTTCAGACAACGATCCTCCATTGGGCCCTCGCTCTGGAAGAAAAGTGCCCTGCAGCATTGTTCAGAACCCACCGCTCATACTGCAGCGGCGAGCTGGAGAAGGTGACTTGATCGCGCTTCGCTCTTCGGGGATGGATCACTCGTGTAAGCAGTGGTGGATTAAGATTAGAGAAGAATTACTGAACCAAGAATGAAAGCCTCTGATTATGTCAACAGGTTTGTGATGTCGAAAAAGAAGCGAGCAAACGGAAAACCAGTTCATCGACGAGCCTCCTTTCATAAAAACAGAAGCGTGTCCAGAAGAATGTGACGCAAATCACTGAATTCTGCATTTTGTAGTTGAAGTGTTGCATCGAGTTGAAGCCTAAACGAGGCTGCAGGATTCAGGGAATGCAGGTCTTTTTTTTTCTTTTGCATAGCACATGCTGCTATGCAAAGTTCAGAAAACAGCTAAAAACACATAGCACTGCACACACTGGAGGTTGGACCAAATCACAAATAAAAAATAAAAAAAACAAGAAAAAAACCCAAAAGAGGATATTGTTGGTGGTACATTTTAACACTACACAGCATTCCAGATGTAAGAATGACGACTGACCACACACAGCATTGGAAATGCTACACAGAAATGGCGTCAAACCGTATATACACAATGCAGGTTGGGGGCGTAACTGATTATATTATGTTCCCATTGTCACAAGAGAACGGGCTGCTGTATGCTGCAAGTTTAAATAAGCTGCATCACGTGTTAATCACAGCTACACAGAGAAGCAATGCGTTCCTGCACCGTCTTGATGTTATAGTTGAGTGTGTTTATACCGCAACAACCGCTGCTCCTGGTTTTAAATGTGTAAGTCCACCCACCCCAAATGCTGGATAAAATATATTATACGGATATACTGTCTTTTAGATTACTAAGTTTTGATTTAGGCGAGACTGCCTGGCGCGTCTGTTGGGCAGGGGATGTGTTGCTCTTAAGTCTCTGGCTATGTGCGATGCAATTGGACGGGACAGTTCAAGCTGCCTCCAACGGCGTGTCCTTGTCCCGTGACGCCCCTAGATCGGCTCAACGTAATTGGCCGGGTAGAGTCCCTCTCGGCCGCTGTCCAGGCGACCTCTACACCAGCCTTGCTCGTCCTCGTCCTCGGTCTTGGTCAGTTCCTCACCTGTGAAGGAGACGCCACTCCGTGATCAACACCTTTTGTCAGATGGTGGACGCGAGTCGAGTGAATGAAGATGTCTGCAGAATTACAGCTCTCTTTAATACTTTAATACTTATTGGTGTAATGTCTGTTTTTGTACTGTATCGCAGACAGAATTCTAGCAATGGGGGAATTCACAGAGATATCTTCACATGAAAAAAATGTCAACGTGTTTATTGACCTCAAAGACAGACAACGAGTTTGGGTGAGGGACACAATGTAAATAGTGACAAGATATCTGCTCGACCACCTTCCTTTTTTGTATGATATATATATATATATATACAGTAGTATATATATATATACGAGAACTTGTCTGTTAAAAGTAGGACGTGCATGTGCACAACGAGAGGAAGATGACGACGCAGAGCCGTGGCTTCATCGAGTGAAGCTCCTTTTTATGTCCCTGTGCCCCCTTTTTAACACCATTTCCCAAAGAGGTTACGTTAACTGGTGGTAAGTGGCTGTAATTTGTTTTCCATGTGGCAATTATTGACTAACCACAGCATTCAACAGAGGAAGGGAGCCTCACAAGGGAAACTGGGTCAGAGCTGGTTATTTTTGACCACCTGGTTGATGCCACAGCTCGTCATCTTATGATTAAAGTCCAGCGTTCCAGCCCCTTTATGAACATTAGCAAGTTCATGGATGAATGATTGACAAGCTGAACTGTATTATGATGGTAAATCAGTTGGCTGGCGGATGAATACCTGCTTTGAAGGTGAGCTCGTCCTGCTCCTGGCCTTCGTAGTCGTACAGAGCACGGACACGGACTGCTTTCCCGGTGCTGGAATCCTCTTCAAAAGAATTCCCGTTCCCGCCGTTTTCGTTGCCAGAGTGCGTGGCGGGCTGCTCGTCATCGGACCACTCGGTCGAGTACGCTTGGTTCTTTTCATAGCTGCTCACGCTAAAGGAATAGAAGAAACGCAGGTTGGGTAAATAAAAAAAAACATTTTCAAAGTTGTTCTAATTGTTAACACATCGCACAAAACACGCATCGTCAATTATTCCTCTGTGCTGCAAATTCAGATGGTTAAAAAACAATTAAAAAATATCTATATATATATCAATAGTCACACTGCTGCACTGTGAGATGTGTTCCTTCTTTATGAGAAACACGGGCACTGTAGTTTATTATGAAATGTTCGCCATCCTGCCGCTGTAAATACTCGCTCACATGCACAATCTGCAACGAAGACAAAGATTTGCTCTTCTTTAAGCCTGTTCAGTATCGACAGAAACACCAATATTATCCTTCAAAAAATTGGTATTTCACCAAAGGGAAATACAATTTAATGATGACATTCGTCACAAAATACAACGATAAATAATGCGCGTGCTTTGCAGATTGATTAGAAACAAACGATTGCTGACCTGCTGCGGTCACCAGGTGGCGCCACGTGGTCGGTGCTCGGAGTGGGCGGGGCTCCGTCTGGCTTCTTCTTCTTTGGCGGAGCGGCGGCCTGGTCCGGGTTGTATTCCTGGAGATCAGAGTGAAAGGAAACACGCGAAAGCGGAATAACGAAGAGTAGCAGATAAAGAGGAGGGTCGCGTGATGCACGCGACTGGAGATTTAACGTTGTACCTCGAACGCGGGCCAGTTCATATGCATCCCAGGCCCGTGGTTGTTGCTGAACCACTTCAGGTCCTCTTGTGTGTTTGAAGACAGGATGGTGCGCTCCAGTTCTCTGTATATTGTGCTGTAGCTGAGGAAAGGAGGGAAATGGAACAAATGGTGAGGAGGGAACGTGCCAGAAGAGAACCCGGGTCTGCTGCCAACTTGGCGCCAGAGCCCACAATGTGGTTCAAATTCTGTTATTGAGCGAGATCCAACGTTGGGTCACGACAAGACTGAAGTGTCTCCCTGAGTTTTCTGCTGAAGCTCTCAGCAGCCGAAGTATTTGGCCCGAATAATCCTGATAAATCCTTTACAGGAATATTATTCATCGTTTATGTTGCTGCGGTTTTTCCCGTTTCACGTGTAACAGATTAAAATCAGTTATTTGTATCATCTGTTGAACAGGATCAACCTGTGCAGATTTTAGACATTCAATGCAATCAGAACATATTCATGTCCATACGCTACGCACCATCATTTGTAAAGGGCGATAAACTGTCACCTGCCAGTGGAGCAAATGCCTCTTATTAATACATGTTGATTGTGTAATAAAGATCAATGGAAACGACAAATGCATATCACATTTGTTGTTGAGCATTATTGACAAACACAACAACAGTTAAAACCGATTGCATGTTCTCCTCTCCAAATACCAACGCCTAATGGCATCATCGGCGAGGTAAAGTACGTTGCAATCCTCTAACCGGCAGAGGGCCGGAATCACCCGTGGCAACCAAAGGCAGGTTTGATTAAAGACCCTGAAAACCACTTTGCTGTGGGGTCCCGGCTTCGTAGTTCCACACAGGTTGAATACAACCCAAATGATGACAAGCAGTCAACTTCAGTGCAAATTCAGTTTGGCAGAAACGTCATTGACTGGATAATCAATTAATTAGGGCAGCGAGTGTCCCCCGCTAATGAGAAGTGCATGCCTGGTTGAGAAGTGTGTTGCGATTAATCAGTTTGAAGCGAACTGGGCTGAATGTGACAAAACAAAATCTCGCTAATCTGTTATGAAATGTCTTTGCCCTTTGATCATTTCTGATTAAGATGCAACGGCGCAGTACGCAATCATGCTCAAAGAGTCCTTTGACCCCGTTGAATCAAGTCAAACTACCTGAATTATATTTAAGATAGAGGAGCTACACTGCAGGATGTGAATGCCGTAGCATGCAGAGATAAAACGGAACCATACACATATAGCCGACCACGTGTTTCACCTTTCACTGTGTTTTGCTCAATCACACTTCAGAGAAAACACAGACCATGATCTTAAAACTTCATCTCAAGGAAATCTTATGTGGAACCGCCTCCCTTCTGCCCGGCTAACCTTTGGTTCTCGGTGAGGTTAAGATGGCGTTTGATGTCCAGCAGGGCCTCCTTGAGGAAGGTCAGCCTCCTGATTTCATGCTGCTGGCACTGGTCAAAGACCTGCTCCATGCTCTCCATGTACTGCGGGGTGCACTTATTCAGCTCCTCCAGAGACTTCTCATACTTCTCTTTAGCCTGAGACGGAAAAACAGAACAAAAAAAACTCCGCTCATTCTCCTCGGACAAAAATAAATAAACTAAACACACTTTTCCTTCGGCTTCGCTCTCACCTTCTGCGCATCCTGTTTGCATTTGTCCACTTTCTCGTGCAGTTTCTTCTGCTGGTCTGCCGTGACGGAAGCCTCCGTCTTGCCGTTGGCCTCGCGGGCCGCAGCCAGCTTCTCCTCCTTGCAGGCCATGTGGTACGATTTCTTAGCTGCCTCCATCTGCGTGTCCAAACGCGGCAGGCATTAAGTCACACATGCGTTATCCAATGAGACCGCAGGAAGTCACATCCACTCATCTCAAATTAGAGAGTGACCTTGGCCAGAAAACGATAGCAGATCTTAATGTGATCGGTATCTACGAACGCGCAGACATTAGGATGTCCGTGCAGGCACGATCAGAGCCTTATCTTTCCATTTATGGTGAAAAAGAAAATGACAACGCAACACTGTAAGACGCACCGAGGACGAAGAAGATCCATCCCGCTCACCTCCTTGAGCTTTTTGGCCCACGGTTTCTGAGCCTTCTTGAAGCCTTCGTCTGCCTCCTTGGCCTCCTTGAAGCCTCCGATCATTTGCTTGTGGTAGGCTTCCTTCTGCCAGTTCTTTACTTTCTCCACGTCCTCGTTCATCAGGTTGTTCTTCACATCTTGGTGCAGCTCACTCACCTTCTCCGCCTCCGTCATCACGGCCAGCCACGCTCTTTCCACGGAGCCGTACTGTGGGCCTGCAGGTCAAATATTTAGCTCAAAAACAGGCGGCCGAATATTAGCAGAGAGCATACAGCAAACTGTGTAAGCGGAGCTGTGGCAGATTGAAAGACGGCGCGAAGCACAAATCACTCCTTTGCTATTCGTTTTATTGACCCCATCCCCACATGCTGACCTTTCTCGATGAGCTGTCTCCACCTCTTGGACCATGCAGTTAGCTGATCACCATAAGCCTTCTCTATCTTGGCACGTTCCTGCAGGCAGCCCATGAGGTCATTGCAGAGCCGATGGCCGTCATCTACTCTTTTGACAGCGCGTTTGTAGTTCCCCACCTGAGAACAAAGAAACAAACCGGTTAAGAGGAACTCTTCATATATATATATATATATATATATATATATATATATATATATATATATATCAAATGGGGAACGATTTGTGAACAGAGTCTATTTATATTTGCTCTGATTGGTTGCTGTTCTCTGCATGCAGTGGGATCTTGCAAATGTCGTTAAGAAACCTTAAAGAGGGCAGTTGGACTTAATTCTTAGCAAATATGACAGCAGATTTGTTGTAATCAAATATAATCAGGTAATAAAAGGGATTTCTGTCCAGAAAGCAGAGTATTTGTGTCATTGTTACAAAAATCAGGCAGCATAAAAAATTAATTGTAATTTTTACATTTATCAGGAATAATAAAAATCTATGTGCAACACCAAGGCACTGTATTCGTGTGCACTGGCGTCAACAAGAAACAGCATAAGCCACATATTTCTTCTCATTTCGTGCACCTCCTCAGCCAAACAACCAGTATTCAGAGTGACTGTCTGCCAAAATGATTTTACTGCCTTTGCTTTTAGATCCGGCCACCTTAAGCGATACCGCCTTAAAAGTGCATTGCCAGGCCGCGTGGCTCCGCCTCCTCCGTGCCTGCAGGGGGCGTGTGCTCATGCTGCATGGTGAAGGGAGGGGGAGGGGGAGGGGGAGATGCTCGTGCCTGTGCATGTGTAGTTATGCAATGACATGGGCTTGTGTTTGTGTGTACGTGAATGTGTGTGTGAGGGCTTTCATTTTTTTGAGTGGTGTAACGCAGGAAGTCATAATCTCAGAGGTGAACGTTGACGCGGAGACGTAAATACGCAGAAAGCACAAACCGCTTGTGTTCATACGCTGCGGATGCATACAGCCATGCACGCGCACATCATCAAAACGCACAACTCGTGGAGAGGCGCTGTGATTGGTCCTCAGAGCATGCATGTGTGCTGGTACGGTTTGGACACGAGAGCGCTGCAGGGAGGCGGTGAGACAGGTGTGCCACTGTGTGAGTTTTGGTGATGGATTGCCAAATCACGCTCACAACAACACACAGGTGGACTCATTCCACATGTGAAAGCATTTGTGTTCTGATCCTGTTAAGGATACAAGAGTCTGATCAGTACTTCACAGTCCAGTTATGTCGAATATGAACATTCAGTCGGATTTAAAAAGAAACCCGAGAATAAACTCATTTATGGGCATTTCTAAAGCACGAGCTAAGCCGCGCCGCGCTGCACGCCGAGGCCGCAGGCAGGTGCATGCGGTGAAAGGCGGCCTCAGAGCGGCTGATGACTGAGGCTCTTTGTCTCCGTGGCTAACAGCCATGACACAAAGAGGACTCTGTACTGAGGGAATTCATTAACGCCACTTTGGTGCGTGCAGACACACACAAAGTGAGGATGGACGGACCTTGAATGATGATCGCATTTGTTGTGTTTAATCATTTGTAGCGATGCACCCCGTGACGACACAATTTACTGCGGTACTCCTTGAAAAAAGATAAGGCCGCAAGTAAATGTCTGTTAAACGTGGCGGGAATAGTGGCACTAACCAGGCGGATCTCTGCCCATCAGCGTGAGGCCAACTTTCCTGTGAAATCTTTAAACTAATCTCCTTGGGACGATTTTAGCCGTGACCCTTCAGGGCAGAGGGGAGGCCACGGGCTCGGGTTTGGGGCTTGGGGAGGGGGACGGGGGTTAAAAACTGCTTCACAGCACCACGTGACAGTTTGGCCTTTACCTCCCAGAAGCTGTCCATGGTGTCGTCAGCGACGGCAAATTCATCGTAGGAGCCAGACATTTTCCTGGATGTGGCAAAGCACTCTGATGACTAAACCTGTCCTCTGCAGCCGAGCCGGGTTCCTGGGGCACTGAGAGGCAAAACAAGACAAATGTTGCGTTAAATCAAGCAAGGAGTGCAAAGAGGTGTGCGGACCACCGAGCCGCGTGACACGGAGGCACTGTGGGAACTTTCCATGACAACTGGAGGAAACCTGATTCCTGATTCCTGATTCCAGTGTGATGGTTTCTATTTGAGACGTTTATAATAATGAGATGAAAATAGCTTCCTCCGCCGTGCGTCCAGCGCCCCGAGGAACGGGGGGCGGGGGGGGGATCTTACGCCGCCGTGTCCTAGAAAATATACCAGAGAGAGTGAAGCATCACGGCAGCTCTGACCCTGAATCCTTCCATTGTGCCGCTCATACTTCTGACACATTACATGTGAGAGAAAGCGTGTATAAGGGCCCACAATGCACTTTGTTTGTAAACAACACAGTGTCATGGCCATTGTCACTGTTCTTATACTGCTATTTATATCCGGTCTGTTTTTACTACTTTGCATGGGTACTGTATATCTGAGCATTATGTTTGTCATTTGTCACTGAACTACATTTTTTTCAAGTAACCAAAAAAATAGATTTACAAAACAATTGACTTCTAAAATTCAGATCTTTCTGATTAAACCTTCGAGTTAAATTAAACTAGGACAACGGAAATCCTAAAATAGAACCAAACAATGTAATGCATACAAGATGAGCACAATAACGTGGTTTAATCCCCTTTTGCTTTGTAAATCATACACAACACAAGTTCCTTCTGGATTTCCTCCGCCATCAAAAGTGATTCATTTTTGTGTGTTTGACGTCTGGTCGATATCTTACCGCCAGCGTTAGAACAGCAGACACGACAAGACGCTTTATCCGTATTGAACTCTTTTTGAAGCCTAATCCATTCTGCTCCCATGACTTGACGGCTTAGCCTCGACAGCGAGCTCTTCATTGCACAGCAGCAACCAACGTGTAATACGTTGTACGCGTCGAATAAATGATGACAGACGTTCCGTTAATAATGTTGCTGCTCAGACTTCATTTTGGTTATTATCTACTCCTCCACACGGCCGCACAGTGCAGTACTTTAATACAGCATTTAAATTAAACAAAAACAAATATTGATGGCTGTAATTAGGTGCACAGTGCAATAATGAATTATTCCAATATGCGGCATGCAAAGGAAGAGTTAGCGTGCTACACAGAGGTCATTGAGCGAGGACGACTCGTGGCCGTCTGATTAGAAGCCGAGTCTGCTGCGGCAGAAGGAATCTTTCGTACAAATATGACCGGAGCCCTCCGTGCTTCATCTCTCATCTGTCTTCTGCAGCCAAGTGCATGCTAATTCCTTCACCGTCCCTGATGCCCGGAATGAGTCATGAGAAAAATGACTCTCTGCGTTAGGCTCAACGTGAAGCGGGGCCGACCTCGCTTCCCTCACACACATAATTGTCCTTGTGAGAAAAATAAAGGAGGTCCTTAAACCACAAGGTCGGCTTGTGGGGGGAAAGTGTGTCCAGCAGCAGCGCTTGCAAAACACACACACACTCTGTGTTTTCACAGGGGTCCACTCATCAAAAAAAGCTGTTCAGGGGGAAGGCGTCCACACCCGGTGTGATTGGATCTGGTTTCAGCTGCAGGAGAGGCAATCTATTCCCGCTCACTCAGGGTTCCTGTGACCGATTGAGCCCAGTGTGTATTCCATCAAAGGGCCTCGGCCGCCGTCACCCAAGCACGCCGGTCCGCGCTGCGAGTTCAAGACGGCACGAAATATCAAAGAACTACTTTACAATTTGGAAACTGTGCTGTGAGTGTCTGAAGCAGAGACACCTTGGGCCCTTCAGTTGAACCAGGATCAGCTGTGAGAAGAGGCCTGTTTTCTGTGTACTCTACTATTCTATTACACATACAGGGTTTGACACAGTTTCTTTCTCTTTATAAAACAACATTTGACTGGAAATAGAGGAATACTGAATGTTTTACTGATGCAGAGTTATAGATCCTTATTATGACGCTTTTCTGACCAGCCGAAGCCCTTCAACACTACATGTCATCATTCACCCATTCACACGCTGATGGCAACCGTGCAAGGTGCCACCTGCCCATCTGAGCTCTTAACGTTTACGACCATTTACAACCATTTACACGGCGCAGCCGCAGCTTGTGGAAGCTGATTCGGGATTAAGGGTCTTGCCCAAAGACACATCGGCGTGGACTAGTGGAGCTAAACCGCCGAACCTCCGATTGAAGGACGACCCTGAGTAACTAAGACTCGCCTGACATATTCAGGAACCCACATTTGGCCTCGATGTCAAGGCATAGTTTGACATTCTGATAACCTCCCCACAACTGCAAACCCTTAAGTGAAGTCCTTATGAATAGACATGATGGGCTCATTCCGGTGCAACAAAAACAACAATTCAGAAAATACACAAAAAATGCATATCAAGGCAGGACTTCCTGCAGCTAAGCGAGCAGATAGTGGTAGGTCTTAATCTCAGGTACAAACTCATCCTATTGGCATTGCTACCTGTCCATCAATCCGTTCCTCCAATTAGCTTCTACGTTCAACACCTGCTGACATTAAAGCCAGTTAAGCTCCGACGCGATGCCAGAATCCCAGCTCCTAATAAAAAACACAGGCTTAGTTTTACCAAAACTCACACAATATAATTCCCAGATAGCGGTCCACGTGCTTTCTTAATCGCAAAATAAAGCACGTTCTGCGGCATAGTTAACTTTACAGCTTTGAGTCTGTGCAGAGGCGGCGTGGACGTAGAAGCCGGGGCTCTTTGCTCACTACGCTGAACTGCACAGAGAGACTCACTAGACGCATTTATCCATTTGGATGCATCTTTCAGGGTGGAACAGTTTTCCTGCCACTAGCTGACCACAACACTTGCTGCTGTCAAAGTGATCCCGTTCGTACACTGAAAAGTCTTTGTGCGACTGCAGAGGCGGTATTGCTGAGAAAATACAAACTAATGTACATTTGTAAGTGACTAAACACTCTTCTGCACATCCACTTACCACAGTTGGGTCCATTATTGAAAAATAATATTACAAAAAAACTAGATATGTGAAATCAAAAGGAACTCCTTCAAAAAAAAATCCTTGTGAAAGTGTGGATTTGTCCAAATATCCTTTTTGACTGGTTCATGTGGCCAATTTTACTTTTGCAGCTTTGACCTCGGTGGACAAAGTGAACCCAGAGAGGACGATAAGTCCGACCCACCCAGCATGTCTCAGAGGCTGAGGGATAATCCTGCAGTGTGCCACTTGAATGGCTTTAGAGGGGGAGGGTGCTCGCTGGGAAGACGAGGGAAGAAGCGGATTGGACGAGTGAGACAAAAAGTCGAGGGAGGAATGTGATGTTGAGATGAACTTGGTAATTGTGCCACTATATGCTGGCAGGATGGCGCCACGCAGATGCCGTTCAGTTTGTTTTGTTCCTCCCGGGTGCTGTTGCGCACAAACAGCGCGGCGCCGCTGTGACATCACAGGAGTTCACAGCGACTCCATTCGAGTAAACACCACAAGTACCCGAACCACGAACACCATGAACACCAGTGGTTTGAGTTTTTAAAGTCAAAAGACAAATGTTTTGTTTACAAATGACACAGTCCCGGTGCTCCGGTGTTGACGAGGAACCACGAGAAACCTGTAAGCTTGTTACCGTAAGAAGATTTCAGAGAGATGAACTAACTTTACCCCAGCACATTACCAAGCGCTCACCACCTTACTGACGGACACTTCAGTGGTTCCATTCTCTCAAATCAATCACTTAAACACGGACGTGGCGCGTCGAACATTCAGAGCAGTCACCGATGAAAAGGCCTTCAGCTGACGTTTGCAGTGGGCTTAGTTGGTCTGTGGATTGTGTTTGATAAGCCCAGCGTGTCCTCCTCCTCTACTGACGGAGTAAAAAGAGGACACACCGGGAGAAGGACGGTGGGAGGTCTTTCGTTGAGATACGGAGCGTGGGGAGGGGGGACGGGAGAAGGTTAGAGAGGCGGGAGGCGAGATGAAGATGGAGATGGAGGCATTAGAAGGGACGTGACAGGACAGAGGCGAGGCAGATGAGCGGAGCCGCTCGGACAGCCGGGGCCGATCCCGGGTGGAGGCACAGGGCCGGAAAGGGCAGCTGAACGCATCGGGGCAGCGATGCGATTCACCTCTCGGTGCGGCGCGGCATGAGCAGGCTGCAGGATGTTGCCAGGAGACAGAGCTGCCTGGTGCAGACACACACACACACACACACGCCGGCCGCCATGAAGCGGGGCGCCATGTGACCGCTGTTTTAGACAGCAGCAAAAGCGCTGGATGGCTGACGCAGTGTCAGCTGTTAATCCCGCAGTCGACTCGTGGGACGTCCTCGAGTTGACGCAACACACACACACACGCGGTGTATATTGTCCATTACAATATACACTGAGGATTAGAGACTTGTTCAAAAAAATCTGAGCTAGATAATTAAAAAAAAAGACGCAGAGGAGAAGAGACGGCGCTGGGGGGGAATTAAAGGCCATTGACGGTGGTCTTGTGATGCATTTGGACCGGTGGTGCAGTGAGAGCGAGAGAGAAATCGAGTCTGATGTGTTGATAAAATGAAGGTGGTGAAACCACCCTCATCTTCTCTCTCTCCCCCATCAGCCTCCAGGCAACATTGGAAGGCCCCTGAAACTGAATTTAAAAACTGAAGATAAATGTGCTCCCCAATCCCACATGGTTGAGAAGGAAATGCAAAAATGTAAACGTAACGTTAAGCACACACTTAAGTACCGCAGTTCATCTAGTCACATATAATCACTGCACAAATTGATAGACAAGGGGATTCTGATCACCTGCAAGATGTGCCACCTTCAGTCTGTCCCCAATGTCAAACCCATCAGATATTTAACACATTTTGTTTTGATTTCAAATGACCTGTAATGAGCTGCTGGGTATTTTAATTGTACGATTTGGTCCAAAGAGTCTTTCCCCACGTTGGGTAGCAGGGTGGGTCAGGATGACTCAGCGGTCTGATTATGAAGGCCTCAAGAGGAGCTCTGCGTGGCTGAACAACAACCAGGTTTGTGCTTCATTATGTGTTCCTTCTGTGCGTGCGTGCGTGTGTGTGTGTGTGTGTATTTCCCTTTTCCAATGAATAGTAATATTGCTCAACTGTGCGAGTTAGCCGGGTGTGCTATTGCTCAGCTACCAGAACCAGACAACAAATTGATCAGCACTAAAAAGGACATTCGGTTCCCTGTCTCTTCCTCCATCCCGCATTGGGGTCAGAGGTCATGATCAGCTACAGGTCATATGGAGCCGATATGGATTGAGCGCGCTGCCTGTCAGAAATTCAAGAATCGATGTTTGTAAGATTTTGAAGTCAATGGTTGAATTGACTTATTACAATAAGTGATTTGCAGCATTTCCCTTTAGCGATACCATTGATCAAAACAACCATTGGTCCAATACTTTGCTTTATGACCAAATAGCTGCAAAGCTCCAATCTGCCTCAGCTGTATATTTTACAGCCTGAGATTTTTAAGTTTAGTGCTAATGAGCATATTTTAACATGCAGACCTGCAATAATAAGATGGTAAACATAGACAACATTGTACCTGGAAAAGCATCAACATCGTCATTGTGACACGAAACCAAAGAGCCACTCGCATGGCTGCACGGTTTGCAATAAACGCTATCATTATGCAACAATACCGTGTGTACGTTTTATTGTGTGAGGATGTAAACAGATAAACAGAGATCCGAGGTGGAGAGACGGAGACCAGAACAGGAAGAAACTATTGAATGGAGGCTGGCTGGATACATGTACACACATTTCACAGCCCCTGTGAAACACACACGCACACACAGCTGCCACTAAGCAGTGGTTTAACACAGCGGCCCGGACGCTGCAGCAGTGGTTATGTAACCACCGAGCCCCTCGCCACAAGCTTCCCGGTGACACAAGACAGGGTTAAAACACATCCGGGGGAGGGAGGGAGGCTGACATGTTGTGATGGGCGGTGATGAAGCGATGACCTGCGGACACGCAGCAGTGGCTCTTGTGAGGGGGAGCCGAGAGGAATGAGGCTCTGGTTCCGGTCCAGTTTTTCCTGACGTCCAGGCAGGGAGGGGCGGCAGAGGGAGGGAGGGGCTGCAGAGGGAGGGAGGGAGGAGGCAACGGTCAATCTGGGAATGCTGCTCTTCAAAACAGCTCTCCTCCCTCCTGCCGCTGAGCTGCTCGATGCCGCACTGAATACTGAACAGTGACTGGCGGCCTCCAAACGCACCGCCTGTTCACGTGCGTATGGAGGTTTATGAGGTTATGTTAACAGGATATGCATTGAAAATCAAAAAAATCGTTTTAAACTAAACCAGCTAATGTTTTCATTCAAAACAGTTTTTGGATGTTTACCGTTTCCTTCAACAGCAGAACAGCGATGGAGCTCATTAATAAGCATCCTTTGGTTTTCTTTACTAGGAGGACACATTAAACTGCTAAATGAAATGACTTTAGAAAGTAATATACTTCAGGTTTGTTTGTCAAACTGTCATAGTCAGCTGGATATTCTTTTTTTAAAGTTGAACAGAATTTTAAAATAAAAAAAGGCAGGTTTACCATGTTGTTTTGAGCATGTTAGCATTAGCTAATTAGCAGTCGTCTTTATTGTAGATATTTTATTTTGTTGTGGAAATCACAATGATAAGAAGATCCCCAAAGTTTTATCCAGAGTGGGCCATTAATCTTTGTACTCAATTTAATCCACCGTATAATAGTAATTTTGCTAAAAAAAAACGAATGCTGACCTAATGATTGGGCGCCACCAAAGTGACAGGAGAATACAGGCAACAAGTCCAGATTCTCCACAGATCCGACAACTGAAAACTCACACTTCCATCACCTTGTATCCCTATTCATACCCAGTCATTATACCCAGAGGCCCTTTAGGGGGAGTAACGGATCGCGTGCCAAGAGGCAGAAGACCTTCAATCAGATCGGATTTGCCAAAATCTAAATTGGACTCTGCAACTGGACCGAAACTTGGTTTACAGGCAGGAGTCAAATCTGACTGCACAAAAAACCTCAAGACCATATCAAACACATTTATTTAAAGCAGTCGGAACAACGGACACGGCCAATTTCTCTTGGAAGGTGATGGATGGATGCGTCAAATCAGGAGCCAAACTAGTGCCGCGGGTTGTTAAAAAAAGAAGGAAGAAAAATAAACAAGTCTGGTGTACATGTTTCCATGTAGGAATTGGCTAATCGGGCAGACAGCAGAAATGAGCCACCAAGCTACCAAGCTGGGGGTCGATGCTAAATGTGACTTCAGAATTTAGAACAACCTACTTTCCAAAGGTTTGTGGGCCACGCCGCCAAAGTGGGCCTGACTCATAACAAATAAATTAAATAAAATGGTGTTATTTAAATAGCAAGACATCGTATTACTGGCTGTGCTGCAACAGCAAATCTACATAGGTAATTCTTAACTTCCTCAGTTATTAGTTGCTTTGTTTTTTATTTTGTAAAATATACAATATTACAGACATAATTATTATAATAATTCTTGCTTTAAATGTAATCAGGGAAGGAGACTTCACGGCTTTACTAAACGTTGATATTTTTAAGTGATTATAGACATGCCATGTTAAAATCAAATTGGAACATATTGCCCTTAACATTTTTAAAATAACATCACGGAAAACAAAGAATAACCTGATTTGAGCCATTTTATTGCTTTAAAAACTGAAACATGATATTAACAGAGCATTTGTGGACAAAACACCCGGACACGAGTGAGGGGGTAAAACATTACTGGTTGGATTCGCTTCTTGTAGTTGCTGCTAAACCTTTTAGAACACCCAGTTTAACTACAGAATCACCTCAAGCCCGGCTTCATCTCCCGCTCCAAACTGCACAGGATCCCTGCAGCCTCACTGAACTGGACCATAAAGACCTGATGAGCCTTCTCCTACAAGAACAACACTCTGTGCTCATCAAACGGCTGCTTAACCTCCCTGCCGCAGCGCTAACGCACACAATACAAATTCATCAAACGAGCAAATCAATTGCCCCCCCCGGGGGTTACTACTCCCCCCGAGACAGAGACGTGCTCTTAGACAGAGAATGAAGATACTTTCTGAGAAGACCTCTAAAAAACAAACAAATTATTGAGAGTACAAATGTTAATGTGACCGCTCATGTGTGTTGTTAATCACATACAGAGTAAAGCAGATAAATTATTTGGCAACTTAAAATAAGCCTAAAATAAGAAACTAAAACGACCTCCAGTAATCTCCCTGACGGATGGGACCACCCTCATGAAATATTAACAGCACTGACAAAGAGCTATTAATTACCGCAAGTGGTGTATTCAGCGTTATGAATTATACAAAGAGTGCTTAGACTGGACTTGACGGGACGTCCGAGGTACCCGCACAACCAGAGCATCATGATAGCGAGACTTTGGGGAAGAGACAACACGAGCAGGTACAACTCACCTTCTTCAGCAATGATCGGTCAGGTTTCCATCCACTTTGGAGAGTTTAGCTGTTGGTCCCCTGCAGGAGGTCACCTGTGGGAAATAAAACATGAGACGTCGGGGTCGACCGTTTGAGAATAAAGTCAAAAGGGCTGCTAAATTGCTCTCAGCGGGAACATAAATGGAAATCAGTGGAACAACACTTGTCAAAACACCAATTATATGAAACGCCGTCGGAAGTGGCAATATGTGTAATATCAAAATACCAGCATGTTGATAGAATTAAAACCCAGTTAAAATTTTAAAAAAGGACGATGTTATGAACCAACACGTGCGCTTCCAAGACAGTGAAAGGTAAGTGAAGCTCTGAATGGAGTGATTTTGGTGTGAATTCTGTGTAAGCAGACAAAACATTCCCCGATTTAAGATGAGAAAATAATACATGATGTTTATCCTCAGTGTTCAATGTCCCCAACACGTACCACATCATAGCAGCACGCGGCCCACTCAGCGCACAAAATCCAACAGACTCCGCTCGCCCACACTACAAGACTTTAAATACCGATGTGGGTACTGTTGTATAGTTAGTATATAAGTATATTTGATATATTAAATACTAAACTTCAAAAAAGGTGCAATCCTGTTCATTGCACAACTGTTGTATCGGGTTGTGTTCTATTAGACTGATTGTTAAAAGGTTTCTTCTGTTCCGCATACACCATGTGATCTAAACTAACACGTTTAATCCCCACTCCTACATCCTGAGACCATGATTAAATTATGACCTACTTATGTGCACTTGTGATGAGATCATCCAGTGGATCATAATGCGTTTGGGTTTTTTTATATGAATAATTCCACTGCTGTTGCTGGTTTGAAATGTGCAATTTACATAAACTAAAAAGGGAAAAGTAACCCAAACTCTTAAAAACAACGAGTGGATGAATTGATTTAATACAGAGTACGACAACATCCAACAGATTCCGGCACAAATTCTTGTTGAAATGCTGAGTCACTTGCTGCTGTTTTTCACCTTACTGCTCCTGCTGAGAGACACAGAGATCAGCGACTCTCCTGATGACGGAATCATTCATCATTCATCAGCTATTGGTGGACAGATTTGAATAGAATATTTATATTTATCAAACGTACCAAATATCTGTTTCCAGTTTCTCAAATGGAAATATGCACCTCAGGTATGAATCACAAATGAAATGTCTTTGTGTTTTGGACTGTTAGTCGGATGAAATGTCACATTTGACTCATTCACGGGAACATGAACTGCTTACTATCCTGCGTAGAAGGAAACATTACATCATCTGCTCTGAACGTGTGTGTTTTCACCTGATTGTTGCAGTGTGGTTGGGTGAACTACACCATTATAAGTCATCATGCTTACATCTGTATTCTTAGATGTTGTCCTTAACGTAAAGCCCTTTGAGAACACATTTAATGAAATGTGCCATCTGCCTGAGCTGTATGAGGAAAAACACCCTCTAGTGTTCAAAGCAACGACGTTAAAAATGCACACATGCTTCACCAGTTATCACGCTGATGACCACGCTGACGTTTCACCCTCCACCCCGGCATCGGTCCAAACCGCAGCGCTCCGCTCACGGCCGCGTGCGCTGGGACTCCATTTTGAAATGGCCCAGAAGATCATGACACACACTGACTCAGGCCGGGCCGAGTCAGGCCGGGCCGGGCCACAGCGCCGCGGTCGAGACGGGTGACGCTGCATGAGAGCCAGCTGGCAACTTGGACCTCAGTTGATGGTGATCTCCATGAAGAGTGAAAACTGGGGAACATTGTGTACCGATGAGCGCTACTGTGGACTCGCGCGCGGTCGACGTTCATTATTGACGCTATGATTGACCTCCAATCCTGCTGGTAGTATTTCATGAAATAAATACAACATTTGCAGCATGGCAACTGATTCAATGTGGGTAGAAAAGCTAGACGAGAGGCTCTTTGTGGTGTGGAAGGTGTCGCGACATCTCCGATGTGATAAATCTCCCACCAGGGAGAAGGCCTCAGCTCGTGTGTGTTCCCTGAGAAATGAGACACTCCTGCTGCCCTTCAGACTCTCTGTTCTTACACTGCCGCTTTCGTTCCACACCTTGTCAGACACCACTGTCTCTTCTCTTAATGTAGGAACAGCAGCCTTTAACCCTCTCGACAACAAACACAATACAGCAGAGAATATATATATATACTTATATAATATAGATGCACACACACACGACCTCGCCATTTCACACATTGTCCCTTCTCCCTCACACATGGTGTCCAAGGACCACCTACAAGCACTCGATACTGAGAACGTAACATAGCAAAAGAAAGGTCACTCACACGAGGAAACACCCCATTCCTCCAAGCGAGATGTCTTGAGAGACACACGGGGAGATTCGGATCAGAAACCTATTTGGAATTACAGGGATGCAGGTTTGAACTCCAAATTTTCCTGAAGCATTGTTATAAAATATAACCGAGACGATTTAGAGAAGGGAAATATCAGCTGAAAAAAGAAGTGTTATGTGTTCTGTGAGATCCACTATCATTTCAACTGGCATGCGCGGCGTTAAGAACAAAGCCACCTTGTCACAAGAGCTGCCACTGTATTTATGACATCCCACATAAAAATCGAATAACCAAATGACAATAGCATGAACTGCACTGCTTCCCACCAATCCTACGCTCCTGTTGATCCTTTGTCATTATAGACATGTCCAAAAAGAAACCAAATTGCAGCAGAGTCAGATTAGGAACCAGCTAAAACCCGTTCAACAAAACTATTACATTCCCACTTCCCGGGTCACGCTTTCTTTCCACTAACACTGCGTTTAACAGCTGTGTTTTAATAAAGGTTAAAGAACCACAGATCAAGTCAGTAGTTGAGTGGGTGCAAACTGCAAATTAATTCTTAATTCAATCCTCCTGAGCACCAGAGTCAGAACACGAAAACAAGTCCTCCTAACCTGGAGGGGAGAGAGAGGAGAGTCATGACTTAACAGCTACGTGCACTGTACAAGCACAAACACACGAATAGAGACATGGAGTTGTGATAGATCTGTGAGATATACCATTAAGACCCTTTTACCATTAACAAACGTTGCCAAACTTAAGTAAAAAAAAGATTATGAATCTGCGTAGCTATTTGTCTCACGTCTTTACCGAACACTTGATCTGATGATACTGATACTTGAGTTCGATCCCCACTTTGCAGGCCCAAATAATCATCTAAAAAACAGTGTCTATGGATCTGATGATTTAAGTTATAAGATAGATAGATAGATAGATAGATAGATAGATAGATAGATAGATAGATAGATAGATAGATAGATAGATAGATAGATAGATAGATAGATAGATAGATAGATAGATAGATAGATAGATAGATAGTTCCTGGTGATGCACCTTTAACTTGTCTCCACATTGAAGAGTAAGGAGTCGGCTAATAAATAGCAAGTGCTCTTTGACTCCCCCCTTACCGCAATACAATTGGATTACTCCCCCCTGACAGTATCATCATCTCTCCCCTGCAGCCTGCCGTCGGGCTCTAATGGGGGGTAGGAGGGGTGCGGGGGGGCACCTTGGCCGCTGACAGACACGCACTCCAGCAAACAGAGAATTCAGCACCGCGGACAGCTCCACAACAAGCGCTCTCCTGCTACGTCATCATTCTGAATAAACCTCATCTGGACCCTGAGAACAACCTCTGTTGTGAACAGGGCTGGCGGGGGAGGGGGCGGGGGGGGGGGTCTTCGGAATGTGACGCCCCAGCTTCCGGATTCGACCAGAAAACACCAGCAAAATGGGACAAACTCCCGCTGCTAAACGGGATTTGGATGCATTTCAGCTCGGGGGGGCTGATTCGATGAATGATGAAACCACATGCACGTAATCCAGAGAAGAAACAATGACGGCTCCTCTCGCTTTCTGCTGTGACAGCCGGTTACGTAACGTCGCGTTAAGACACGCGCGTCCATTTCACCCCAAAATACAGAACGGGTGTGAATGCACTCATACAAACACAGTACATACACCAAGTGTGGAGGGGGGTGATTACGACACCGTGGATCCACGTGACTTGTTTACCCGTTTGACGCATGGACAGTCAACATAAAATGGCAATCCTCCCCACAGCATCGAGCACCATCTCCATCTGCCACGGTGCGCTTTAATAACATGGCATCGGCGTTTCATATCACGCTCCCGCCGTGCAGGTACATTTTGAGCGCGCGTCGATGATGCACTGAGGTCAAATCGCTCAGGAGGAAACACCAGCTTCACCAAACCACCGAAGCATGCAGTAGTAATCCAAGATGATACAAGGTGGTCCCTCTTCACCCTTGGCGCGCGCCAACGACGGAACAACCGTTTCAAATGACGCATGCACAACCGTACGCCGCCGTGGTGTCGGTTATTCATCTTTAGAAGGTTATTTGGTCGCTGCGGCAAACATCGTCCAACCGACCGGGGAAAAGAGGCGAGAGTCTGGATTTATTCCCCGCGTCGCCCGCCGCTGAAAGGATGCTCGGCTCTTCTTCTCCGGTGTGTCCGTCAACACGGAGCAGAGACTCACACGCACACACACACACACTCGGACCGACTCACCTGCTGCTGATGCTGCTCAGGTGAACTACTACCAGGTGGCCTGCGCTGGGGTGAATTCGGTATTTCCACCTCGCAATGACAGAAGGTGACCCTGCGTTCTCTCTGCAAGACTCTGCATCCACTAGATCACGATGCACGCAGCGAGGGGGGAGCTCCACGGCACAGGCGCGCTTCGGAGAGAAGGAGGGAGGAGGAGGAGGAGGGGGGGGGGGGATGAGAGGGGGCAGAAATTTCCTCTCGATGGACAACAAGGAATAGGCAGCAGGGAAAACTGGGGGGCGAATACGACTTGGAAAGAGGACTTTTGTAAATTCCCTTCCCGACGTGTTCCCACATGAGCTTGTGGGGAGCTCTGCCAGATGTTTCAGCATCTGCTGTGGGTTGGACGAGTGGATGTTTTGCATTTTTAGGGGGGTTTATGAGCACTTAAATGTGGATCACATTTGGGTCCGTGGAAAACGTGGAAAACGTTGTTTTCTTTAATAAATATTATTCTCAAATGATACGGCAGTTTCAACAATAGGGAGAGCCCCGAATTTGACTTCCACGTTCAAACCAATAAGGAGAGCGGATTGTAAGAGGGGGCGTTGCCTCTTTTTCTTGTTAATCACGCCCACTTGCTCTACACTGCAGGGGAGGGAAATAGTGTTTTTGTCCTTTAGCTGCGGATCAGGCCTCCTGAATCTCCATCCACTGTCTGATTTGGGCCTACTTTAGGAAGGTCTGCTAGCTGGTTGGTGTCCAATGACTTTTACTAAGCAGCAGTGCTGCATTTACACAGAAGGCCCCAACCATTGTAAGCAGAGAAGAAACGGAGAGCAGAGGAAATATAAGAATGGACATGTTACTGCAGCATTTGTATGCATAAATGTTTCTTCCCTTTTGGACAAACGTTTTTCGGCAGACAGATTTTCCATGTTTGTTGGCTTAATGAACACATCATCAATGGTGTTGGTTTGGAAAATATCACAAAACCCACAAAAGAATCCAACTAAATATGTTTTGGAAAGCTGGTCATTGTCATATCAATCAAGTGCACAAATTTTTCCAAATAAACTTAAAGAGGAAATAATGAATAATTGACCATTTCCTGTTTACACCTTCAGACACTCGCAGTGCAGGCTCTGTAGCGTATTAATGGAGAAAACATAAAATAAAACACCGCCCTCATCACGCTTTGTCAATTGGTCCGACAGGAATGAAGTGCTAATTATGTAGTTTAAAACACTGAAGCAAACATCTCTGCTCAATGGGGGGAACGAATATTTTCGTTGTGTTTTGCAGCACTGTTTTCTTGGACTCTGAGCGAAGCGAACTGCCAAAGCCACTCAACTTCCAACGCACGCAGGGTGGAGGGAGGGGAGGTGCTGGTTCCGTGAGCCCGCTGGAGGAGCGAAATGCCTTGAAGCCGACTAGCTGGATGCTGCTGTTGGTCCGACTCTTCGGAGCAATAACGTTATGCTTGTAATAGAACACGTCACAACCGGTCATTATCAGAGCCGTGCAGAAATGCTTGACGATGCGCACGTGGATGAGCTCTTTCTCCGGTTGCATCTAAATGTGCAAGTGCTCACGGACAGTCTACAACGCATCATACATGACCTATTCAATCCATACACAAAACCTTCAACAGTCACATGTGTGTTCATTCATTCAAATCCAAACGCAAATCACTAACAGCTCCTCCAGACGCGAAGACACCATCAAATATTGGGCAATTTCTCCTCCCGCTTTGAACAAACATTCCAAACTGAGATAGAAAGATAAAAGTTTAACGACTCCGAATCCAATGTTAGATAAACTATAAACATTTTGAGGTTACGGCCTTAGAGGAGGTTATCAGTTTGAGATCCACTGTGCCATTAGTTTATTTTGGCAAACTAATCGCCAACTTAAGCTGTTGGATAACATAAAGTCACATTCAAGCACCCGACTAAATACGTCGGTTTTGACTGAATATCCAACGCTCACGTGGTCAGGAGAGCTCTCAAATTCCACCTTCTACGACGCCTCATTCTTATCAATTCAGAGATCTTTAGGGGCATCTAGTGGAAACAGGGGGGCAGTGCATAAACAGTCTGTAAACAGTGAAAATATTAGTCAAACGTGTGATAAAAGTTATGTCTTGAGTGACATTGCATATATCCAAACATTTGACCGGTTTAATCATATTACCATTTTGTTGTGTCTGGTAATAATGGAGCTAATAGAGCTACTTACTTACAATAGAAAGTCATGAGTTTAAAGCACATCTGACCAACACACATTTTGTGTAATACATTTCTGTTGACCGCATATTTTAGATTAGCTGTAGTTCCAATGATAGCTAAGTCTCCACCAGACTTAGCTAGAAGTCACTGGGACCAGGAACAGCTACTTGTCAATGTCCTTAGGCTTTTAAGTAGTGTACTTGGCAAAATGTTTATCTTGAATCCAAAAGGGTTGGAGGGCAATGTAAAATCAAGCTGGCCGTTCGGCTCTTGCACTAACACTGGGAGATATGATTCAAATCATTATGTCTGGCTTTTAGACACAATTATGGATGCGGAAAAACGTTATTTTACGTCTACTTGGGTATTATTTCCAGAAATGGCAAATAAACTTCTGACGAGCTCAATCTCGAGAAACTATACGGTTCTGGGCGTTCTGGGAGTGGGGTGCTACGGAGATGTCCTTCAATGTTTGAAATGGGACAGCAACGAGATGGTGGCCGTGAAGGTCTTAAAACAAAAATGTCCACAGAACACAAATATACGGGAGGTGAGCAGCTTGATGATTAAAACTCAAGTCATTTTAAGTCCCATCGCAGAAAAGGTCGATGACTGTTTCATACCGTCATTCATCTCCGGGTGACGATACTGGAAAAGCTCAGATGTTTGGACCCCGATAAGTCCGATGTCATGAATGGTTCCACAGGCACAACCAGACCTTCATGGTCTTTGAAATGCTGGATATGAGCCTCTTTGGACACATGTGCCAGAGAGAATGGGAGCTTTTGCCTTTAAATGGCATACGGACCATCATCAGAGATGTGAAGACTCCACGCGGATTTGAAACTGGACAACATCTTGCTGGTGCATCATCAGACAAAGCCATTCAGGGTGAAGGTCATCGACTTCGGCTTAACCCTTGAGACATCCCAAGCTCAAACTGTTCAGGCTCTTGGTTATAGGTGAGACTCTTAGGCCTTTGGTTTAGAATTGCTTGTCGCTTTCTTGCTTAAGATGACACCAATGAACAGAGTCTCGGGTGAAACGCTTTCCGCACAGCACAAGCAGCGTGAAATGGTTGAAACCAAGCGTGCGCGTTACTGAGGCATCTTGGTACCCATTCTGGGCATTCTCAATTGGGGGTGATATATGTCATGTCACCAGGTGCATATTCCTGCTTTTAAAAACAGACCGTGTTGATTATTTCACATGTCGCTGTCCTTCCACAATCAGGTCTCCTGAAATCATTCTGGGCCTGACATTCAATTCGGCCATCGATATTTGGTCTCTTGGCATAATAATGGGAAAACCTGAATATGTCGTGGTCAGTACCATAACAAGTTTATTTCTCCACACACGCTAACGTATGAAATACTTCTCATGACGCGTCAGGCATCTTTAATACTGAAAGAGCAAAGTGGTAAAAACAAAAATCCGAATGTGCGACTTCGGCACAGTGGTTCAGTGCTAACATTCTGATGTTTAGCAGGGACAATGTTTACCACATTCACCATCAGAGCATGTTTGCGTAGCACTAAACCGACAGTGCAGCTTCACCAAGCACTAGGTTTTTTGTGGTGTTTTGATGTGGTGTTTTGTCTCCAGCTGCGCTTCATGGTGGACCTGCTGGGGGACCCTCCTAGGAGACTTCTGAATGGTGGACTACATACTGCTCTGTTCTATCGTGGAGATCACAAGTACCTTATCTTCAAGAGATGGACACTTTAATGGTACAGTACTTTTACTTCTTTTGACTTAAATTGACCGTGAATGATTCTCCATTAGATAGTTTGCCTTTATAGGAAAATGAAACCTTGTGAAGTTTTTTCTTCTTTAAGACGCCGGTGGAATCTCATGCTGAAACAAGAATCTGCCATAGAAAGCAGAAGATACATGTTGTCCTCTCTGGAGGAGCTGAAAATAGTAGGTTTAGAAGTAGATGCGCCCTACTGAACAGTAGAGCTTCATTAGCCAGGCACACATTACGGCCAATGTCTCTTTTTTTCTTTCTTAAAACTTTAGCTGAGCCGGAACCAAATAAAAAGGAGCAGACGCCGCTGACAGGAACGCTTGTGTCGACCTGTTGAAGGATATGCTTCGGATGGCTCCATGGAACAGGATCACCCCAAACAAGATCCTGGCCCATCCATTCCTAACAAGGAGCGACCGCCAACAGCTGTCCGTAAGTGTGTGCAGATATTTGACCTTAAGCTAGGGAGATACTTCTCTCCCCCTTTGTTGGCCAACGGGAAATATAAAATCTTCCAAAATTAGCGTTTCAGGTTCTTTTTTTTAGTTTAGGTTGCATGCAAGTTTCACTGTCCTCAAACAGCCTCCAGCAGCAGTTTTAAAAACTGAAAATAAGTTAAAAATGCTGCTCAGTGGTCAAACGTATGAAGAGGAAAAGGATTGGGGGCTGGAGTAGGGTAGCGTCAGACGTTAAAACTGTGAACAGTAGCATCAAAGAGACAATGGTTTCTCTCCGATGCAGAGAAGAAATATAGTCGCCAGGCCCCTCCGAAGGCCGAGTCGCCGAACCGGTCAACCACATCACCACCGACAGCGGCCTTGTGTTGGAGTCCATCGGCTACAGTGTCGAAGGTCCCGACTGCGCTTCGAACTGGGCCTCCGACAGCGTCGGCTCCTCGCAGGCGCATCCACCACTCCTCCCTCTCCCCGTTTACTGTAATTCCTCCCAAGCTGATCAACTCCCCGGTTTAATTTTGCAGAGGTCAATGAGCCAAAGAGGAAGAAAGGGTGAAAAGGAAAGAGAGGATTTCTTTCCAACTTGATGGGGGTTTTTCCCTCCTTTTCTGTGGATCTCTGGACGAAACGGAGTGAAAAGAGTCTGAGTGTTTGAGTCTGAGTCAGAGTCAAGCTTGGTTCAACCCCATCAGTGGATGTTCAAAGCTCCATCGAGTTCTCAGGACTTTTCCGCACAGCAACAACTAATACATTTCATTATTACTACAGTGTTTTGTTTCTCTTGAACCGGTCGTCCTCTGATCAACTAACGTTTTGGGGAATTCAATAGTGCGTCAAACTGCAAACTGCATTTAGTAAAAACAAGGATAAAAAATTGAAGTTTATATATTTTTCAGCTTTTAATCGTCCAACATGTGGTGCATTGAGGGGTCAAATTACCTTTGCCAACGTGGAATAACGTGTCTGATCCTTCGGACTCAAACTGACTTTTTATCCCTAGAAGTCTCACACCCACATTGTTCATCATTACTAAAATATTTAAAAACATAAATGCAGTTTTCTTTTACGTTTTTCTTAATGAGTTTGACCGATAACCTCAGTTCTCACTGGCCGTCGTGGATGCTGGCGAGTCCCTGACAGCGTTTGACACTATTGAGACAACAGGAGAGGGATTGATCTTACCTAGATGGATAGAGGTCACGTGGTTATTTGTGGTAGAATTTCTTCAGAAGCTCATGGTTCGTTTAGTGGCACCTCATCACAGGCCTGATACTCGCGCTCTCAGGTAAGGTGTGTGCCAACTATGAGCCAAGCCGATGACGATACGATGACGATCAGCCAATGAAATTGCAGAGGAGGGTCGGCGGTCAGTTGTGAGCATGCGCAGACGATTTTACCACAGAACGGGCACTCGTACGTTGCACCTGCTCGCAAGCCAATTAAACACCATAATAATTTACTAAATACTAATACTAAAATACATACAGCCATATATCTGAAATTCTAGCGATGATAAAAAATAATACTAAAAACATTTATTTTTTTAGATCTCCCCGCTGCACCTACGCTCCATACACGACATGAAATCGCTAAAAATAGTTTTCTTTGTAACTCATTTGGCATATCAGCAAACGAAGATGCTGTGTGAATAGTGGATTGTGTTATATGTGTGATCCCGGCTCCAGTTGGGGTTGACAAGACACCAACACAACCGCACACGAACTAAATGACAAATGCAACAGTTTTGTGTGACACACGATCGGCGCAGCGTCGCGATGCTTTTATTGTGACGGTCTCAGACCGGAAGCGCTGCCGTCGGTGCGACGCTGCTAACCTGCTAACGGAAGACGGCAGCCTGCGCACCGCAAACACAGCGTCCCTCCGGCAGAGTGACTGTTTACTCAGATCGACCGAGGACCATGGACCGGTGTCCCGTAGCCCGTCGGGCGTAAACCTCGTCTTGTTTTTGTTTTTCTTCCAGCGTTTGTTTGTGTGCGATGAAACAACTCGTCGGCGGCGCCGGTGTCATCTAACGGTCACGGAGGTGCTTAACGGCGCGGACGTTAGCCGCGATTATCACCTTTCTAACAGGTGTGTAGCGCGTGACAATGTCGCCGTTAGGTCGCTGCGGCGCTTTTAAATAAGACGACTTTATGAGTGACATTGTTTTTTTATTTCGTCTGCTTGAAAAGTGATGTCACGGTGCTCGCTAGCTAACCCCCCCCCCCCCCCCCCCCCCCATGAACGTGGTTTTATCGCGTTTAATCGGCCAGTTTGAACGCTCGTGTTTTATTCCCTCACTCGCGCTCATTCTGTGAGACGTTTCCTCACTCGACGTTACTTCCTGAATCGCACTCATCGAAATTCTCTTCGTTCCGCGCTCCCTCAGATTTGGTCGGCTGATTAGCGGAGGGCAGCAGACACCATGTGGGAGTCACATGCACGATGAGGCATCAACAACAAGGGGGCCCCTTCAGGAGAGAGCCGCCGCCGCTGCTGCTGCACGCTGACCGCCGCAGGGAGGGGGTTTGCTGCGTGTAGAGGCCCTGCACAAGCAGCCCCCACACACACACACACACACACACACACACACACACACACACACACACACACACACACACACGCTGAACATATGCAATGAACATCACTACAGAGTCCCCTGCCGTCATTGATGGCGATGTGGCAGTCGGCTACGTGCTGGTGCCGTTTTTCCTCCTCACCGTCATTGGGATCGCTGCAGCTGTGGTGAGTTTCAGGGATGTTCGTGTTGGCTGCAAGCAAAAAGCATCGTCATTCACATTTAGTCATTTATCATTTAGCTGATGCCCGCACCCAAAGCGACTGACAGTGTGAGACCCGCGTGTACACCGTAACACTTTGAACTGTTGTGCGTTTCAGGTCATGTATATCCGGAAGAAAAGGAGGTAGGCTTCTTCACTGGCACGACGCTTTTGTGGTCAGCCTGCTTGTCTCTTCCGTGAACCAGTGGAACTCATTGAGTCAATGACTTCTTTTGTTTCGGCCCTCAGGATTGACCGACTTCGTCATCAGCTGCTGCCCGTTTACACATACGATCCGTCAGAGGAGCTCAATGAAGCCGAGCAAGAAATGCTGTGGAAAGAGGAGGACACGAGGGTATGATGCTCCTTTTTGTTTTTAGAACTTCGGGGGTTCGGTCTCCTCTGAGACACTTTTTGACCGTTGGTGGGACAAAGTTGCGATACCACTGCAGCGGATGTAGCTTCATTTTTCAGCTCCTAATATAACTGATAGTTCCACAAAAAGACACTGTTGGTTGCGCCATAACGGCACAGCGGTTCCTCATTTGGTCGGTTGCTTCCTCCCCCACATAGAAACTTGGCTGCGAGAAGTTCCGTAGGAAGTACAGTGATACAAGTGTTTGTAGTAATGTAGCAGAAAAGATGCACCACTTTATTTCCAAGCATCAAATCCCTCACGATAGCTTTCGGTGGATAGTTTTAGTTCCTCTGAAGTGATCTAATTGGTTATAAACATAATTGACACTGACAAACATTTCATAGAATCAGTGTTTATGTTCAGTTACCGTCAGTTCTCAAACTCAACCCTGATACCTCTGCTGGTCTAAATGCTCTACTTTAGTACTAAATAGAAGGTTATAAATTAACACAACAGACTTTAAAAGATCCACCAGGTTAGTTTGTCAGACATGATGCACTGAGCCTTTAGGAACACTAGGTGGCAGTGTGTACATGACGTTTATATATATATTAGTTATGATTCATAAAAAAGGGAAAAACAACAAATTGAGTTAAATATTAGTCACACGGGCTGTCATTATCATTGTTATGATCTTAAAGGGTCTGTTCGCCATCAACCCAAAACAACATTTAGCCCCTAACGTAATCATCGTGGCTCGCGACCTCTCGAGGTCGGTCAGTCTTGTTTTTGTTTTTTTGTGATCCGGTGAAATGAACCTTTTTTTTTCACAATAACAACCGGTCACAAGTCCTTCGTTAGAAGGGATGTTGTGCTCGAGTTATGTCCTTTTTAAAAGTGGACGGGCTAAAACACTTTGCGCTTCTTGTCCACAGATCGTACAAGGTTGGGCCAGAGGTTATCAACAGCGACGCCCTCTTCTGACCAAAGATATCAATGCGTGATGGAGGTGAAGCATGGCATCGAACCTCTTTCGGCGTGGACGCCACCATCAGCCACCATCATCCACCTTCATCCACCATCATCCTTTGAAGTTGTGCACAAGACATGTTTGTTGGACTCATTTTTCCTCGGTATCCATCCTATTTTATGTACAGGTTCATTTCTGTGGTTCTGGTTCTCATCCTGTGTGCCGAATAGACACAGCACCATTAATTTATTTGAAAATATTTATTAACTTTTCTTTTACTATGGTATTCAGTCGTATGACTCAAGTTAAATACCGTGGGAACTTTCTGAAGATGAAGGCTCCTGTGGGTTCACGCTGTTTACGTGCATGATGTTGGAGTGGGCGGCGTGTGGCAGGCGGTTCTGTTCCTGTGGGTTGCAGTAGGCTTTTGCACTGTTCACCGTACGAATGTTCTGCACTAGTTTGAAATCCTCGCTGTGGCCTGGATACGTCGCTGTGCACAGGTTGTTTGCAGTGCATTAAAATCCAAATATGGCTTCTTTGGTGAAATGCTTTAAAGTTGCATTTGTAGACATGAAACAATATAGTGACAATTTCAAAGTTTCATATTAATATAAAAATCTAAATGATAGATTTGGAAGAGATTAGATCAAATATTTGAACTGCATTTTTTTGGTTTTTATTTCCTCTTGATTCCAGATTTTTTTTGCCAAAGGCTATGACTCGTCAATGGCACGTTTAAATAACACCAACCCCCTCACATCCACAAAATGAGCGGTGACTCGTGCCCTAAATATGTCCTGTCAAATGGCATTATACCAACAGAAATGTACCTCCAGCTGCGGATGAATAACAAAGGTCTGACCGTATCGAGCTCTCAGGAAACCTCGCTAGGTCTTTGAGGAAGTCTAACCTTTATTTGCCTTTGCTGCGGTGAATGTAGTCTCCATACAAATTGTTAAGGGGAACATCATAAATGTGTTGAGACAGATGGTTATGGTTATTATAGTTCTTGTGATATTGGACCTAAAACGATGGTAGAACATGCTCCTCGGTCATCTTTAAAGCTTAATTTAAGATGCATTCATTAAATGGGTAAGCAACAATTGAATTGTATTGTCGCTAGTAAAACTGCGTTGCACAAAAAATGTCAATGGACTACTGATGTAAATGTTAGGCAGCACTGTAGTGAGGCTTGCTGCTTTGAGAGGGAATTGATTGGCAGTTGATTTAAGCATGAATAAAGTGATATGACTCCTTTAAGCTCATTGAGTGCGATGCATGACGTCAAAAGAGCGACAGCAAAATTGTCAAAGAAGTTCTTTATTGACCATTTCTGATACAAATTGTTGTAGGGCACCATAGAAATATAGACATTGTACATTTATATACGGTGTACATTAAAAAGAATGATCGCATCCAATTGAGTTTACAGCGCGTAAAATGAATGAATGACATGACAGAAAAACAACGATACAGACGTCGTCCAGAGTACTCTGAGGATTTGGGGAGAGAGACATGAAGCGGCCGCTGCGTGAGAGCGGCCAAGTGGAAAAGAGCGCCCAGTCGATCAAACGTTTTGTCCATAAGTATCTGAACCAAACATTTCAGTGCACCAGAAGAATAAAAACACACCTGCTAAACTACCACAGTCAGCAAACAGTCGTCATGCCGACCGGTCTCCCTGGCTTGCTTCTCACATCTCATGACAGTCAGTTTAACACAAAAACCTTGTAATAAAATCTTTCCAACTCACACCAGAGGTTATATCTTTGAGAAAAAAAAGAAAAAAAACCCCCGTTAAATGCAATTACACAGTAAAGTAAGCCGTTGAGTGAGGTATGAATTCCAGGCCTTGAGTCGCCTGTTTGCAGTTTTCCGGGTCCGTAACTGAGGTCGTAGCAGCTTAAGGTGTGTGAAAAAACCCAGTTAAGTGGACTGTAACTGTGGGTTCCCTGACACTTAGAAATACACAACTTTCTATTGTTTCCTTGAAACGCACATCTTCAGAAGACTATTTAAGTAGATGACCGTTTTAGGCGATGACAGGAGGCCCGAGCGAGGCGGCGCAGCGAGAGCTCGCTGGAATGAACAACTGAACGTGGAGCCTGCAGGCCTGTTGGATGGCGAGCGCCTCCAACGACCCTCCCCTACAACCCGCAGCCGCCGTGGGACCGATTGCATTTTGCCGTACGAGCGATTGGAAACAGGACAAAGACGCCGAAGAAACGGCGTTTTTAAAAAGCTCCCTGAAGAAATGACGCTGATGCTCTGTGCCTGGACCCCTGCCAACTCTATCCTTAAAAACACATTATACCAAAAGAAAAAATAATGTTTTATTACATGAAAAGCAGCACATTCATGTTTTATGTGCGTTCTTTTTTTTTTTTTTTTTTTTAAAGGGTGGGTAACCCGAAGGAACAAAAACACTAGTAACCAGACTAACAAGACCAGTTACATCTCCCAGCTACTCGCACAGGTCCTTGAAGGAGTTTGGAGAGGTGTAACTACACCTCCCGGTGGGGTGGGGGCAAGAATGAGTTAATGCAGATTCATTTTAAAAGCAGAAAAACAAAAAAACACCCCTCTACCGCCTGTTATCTTAAACGCTGAAGCTCAACTCCATCTATAATACGAAGGATAGGTTAACCACTTCACACGGACACAAACAAACAGCAAGTATCGGTAAAATTCACCTTTGTCCAGTACAAAACAACAAAAAAAAAAAAAAGGTAATCTATATGCCCCGACATCTCAGATGCAGAGGCAACACATAAGGAACACTAAGCAGAGAGAATGTCCTACAAACCGGAAAAACTGAAATGGCCAGGCTCCTCGGAGCACACGTTCGTCCAGTAGAAAAGACTCGCGATGACGCATTGAGAAAAAGGGCCGTTACCGTTCTTGTAATTCTTAGATCAAAGGTCCATCGTTCTATCCAGTGCGGCTGCATGATATTGGTACTGTGTTAACCCTCCTCTTGGCAACGAGGGCTTTGTCGTGAACAGTGGTCATGTGGTGGCACCTGGTGTTGGAGATACAGCCCAGTTCTGGTTAACAGCAAGTCAGTATGTTGAGTGAGGTAGCGTGCGTTGTAATTACTGGTCTTCATCTTCCTCCTCCTCTTCCTCCTCCTCCTCAGATGATTCCTGGGATGCCTTTTCTTCCTTCTCCTGTGACAGGAGAGAAAAGAGGTTTTGGCTTGTAATAAAAAACACAAACTGGCGTTATTGATGTTGGATGAAGCACGATGGCGTGAAGAAGGCCCGGGGGAAGCGGGAGTGAGATGTGATTCATACGAGTGGTGAGTCACAATGAGGCATCCTGTTTTTGCTTCCTTGGATTTCCTGCTCACACTCACTGCTGCCCAAGATGTTCATTCATAAAAATGAGAGGTGGGAGGGTAACTTTGGGTCATTCCTCTCTGTGACTAATCCAATCCAGGCTTGTTGCAACAGTACGCCCAAACCACTCATGCACATGTCAGAATATACAACAAGAGTTTTCCTTGATTAAAAACATGCTTATTTGACCTCAAGTTTGCAACTTAAAAAAAACTTTCAAGACTCAACATTTGGACGAGGAACACTTAGCACTAAAAATAAAATAAAGAGAATGTCTGCTACCACACTTCAAAACACAAATAGCTGTGATGAGCAAAAATGAGTCATCGGAGAGGCAGGCTGGAGAAACGAAGGAAAAGCATTTTCACCCTGCAGCCGCTCAGAATGCAACCAACAGTGAGAGCTGATGAGCTGATGTAAAGTCACGCGACTCTTACCTCCTTCTTAGGTCTTCCCCTACGTTTTCCCACTGCAGCCGGGGCGGCTGCTGCTGCCGCCGGCGCCTTCTGTTGGTGGGGGGAGAAAAGGTTTACACGGTTAATGGAGCGCCATTTAGCGGGACAAATGGTTCGATTACATTTTTTGTTGTGGGCAATTTACAAAGCTTGTTGTTGTCTTTTTATCAACAGCTAAACAAAGTGAAACCGTCAATGACCTGTGATGGAGTCACATTAGGCTGGGACTGTTAGCTAGCCAGTGTTTGCGTTGGGAAACAAACTGAGGGGGCCAACCCTCTAAGGAGCAATGCAGCGGCATCAACTCTAAATCCATAATGACAGGCAAGCAGATTATTCATTTGAGCCATTACAGCTGTCATTGAGCATATTTACAGCCCAGTTTATTGCCTCACTGTGCTGCTTTTCTCTCATTTATTGTGAAAGGTGGTCCTGGGAAAAAAAAAGAGAAAAAAAACACATCAGCAGTGGGCCGTAAGTTACTAAAGGTTGAGAACCCCGGTACAAACAATCCCAATCTCCACACAGCTCTGCTTGCAGCGGCCTGCAGATGGCAGGAGTACCTCTGTAATGAGACAGATAGAAAGAGGGGCATCGGGTTCATTGGCTATTATCTGGAAGGCCGACGGGAACTGCACACAGGGCACTCCAGTTGGCCGGCCACCTGGTCCGAGGCTCAGAGACAGCTGGTGGAGCGGAGACACAAACCCTCTGCAGCCTCAACCTACATCATACATGTGCGAGTCCTTCCTCCGCTCTCCCTTTCCCATACATAGCAGAGAAGACTGAGCGCACGGAGGAGCTGGAGCGTCGGGGCGGGGGAGAGAAAAAAAAAAATCTGTTGTTGCTATGGAGACGGTTGGCAGAGAAGAACTAGGGCTGTGTGCTGGGTGGAGGCGGAGGGGCGCTTGGTGTCAGCTCGGCAACAGTCTTGCGGCCGCTGCACCTGCAACTTACTGTGTGAATGACAAGCTGCAGGAAGCTGGAGGACAGGAAGTACAGGGTGCACATTGCTTAAACAACAACAAAAAAAAGTAAGGCAGTAAACCAAGGTCCCTACAATGGGGAAACCCAAGCCAGGCTATTTATGTCCTTAGGAGAGGGGGGGGTCAGGGAACGGTTACATTGCAGCTGCCCATATATAACAAGTAACAGCAGGACGTCCTTTCTTTTATTTTGCAAGAGGATGGCGTTAGCTACTGTTAAAGCGGTCATCAACCAAAGGGAATGGTTGCAAAAAGAGGATTCACTGCGGGGGTGGGGGTGGGGGCTTTTCTATTTGGTGTGGACGATGTTCCGGTTCAGGATGCACGCTAGCCGTCCCTGAAACAACGTGGAGAAAAAAAAAACCCATGCCTGCAGACGGCATTGACTTACTTTGCCCTTTGTGGCCGTCTTGTTTTTGCTGCCCTTCGGCCGTCCTCTGGACCTCTTTGGAGCCGGGGACCCGCTTGGCTCCTGGACGAGTCGAGACAGAGGAACTAGTTAGCGTGCCGCAAAACACCAGGTTGCGCTTTACAGGTGATGCTTTCCGCCACTTTACATATTACTGGGAGGAGCCGGGCCCTGCACAAAACAACACGCGCACGACTGTCACGCGTAAAGTTCAAGGACAGCGGCGAATGACTCAGAGCCACGCGTTGCCATGGAAACTCAAATTCAGAGCCCCGATCCCCGTGATCCCCTGTGGTGGCGAGGCGTGTCATAGCAGACCTCGCTCCTGTTCTGGCGTGTTTACACCTGCAGCTCGTGGCAACGGAGCAATTCAATACCGAAACACTGCCCCCGTTGAGTGACAGCTTCGCGAGCCACTCTGCCGGTCCGCTCGGCCGTGTCATCCGTTACATGACGGTGGTTTCAAAAGGTGTTGGGTTACCTGGTGCTTACAAACTGCTCAGACACACCGGAAGTTTGGTGTGGAGGTCAGCGAGGGGGTGAGCGGTCAGAAGGGAGGGGGGCTCAATGGAAAAAGCAGGGCGCCGGTGTTATGGATATGCACAACGCTCACCTGCAATAACATCTACCTGAGCACTAAAGGGAACAGATGTGACCCTTGTTTTGGTTTCCTGGTTTACAAAAAAACAACACACACACCTCCAACATCCTCTCCCGTGAAAACGCGCAAGACCGGATGCGATGACCCACTTTAAGGAATAAATTGGCCCTACTTACGTCAGAGGTCTTTACTTGGGGCTGCTTGCGGGGTCTTCCACGCCCCCTCTTCTCGGCTGCCTCCTCTTTCGGCGAGACGGTCCCCTTGTCGCTCATATTTCCTCAGCTCTTCGGACCTACGGAACAAAAACCGCACGGCTCAGGGAAAATACACACGGGGCTTTGCAACTCACTGACCGCAACGACAACTACACGCGCACGCACACACACAAAAAGAGCGCAGTAACCGCACGTCGGTGACGCGTTCAACGCAGATTAATCCGCGCTTATTGCCAGGTCTATTTCTGTCTCCTTCACGCCGCCACTCAAACGCTCCATTGACACCGAATGATTGAATTCTGCAGAAATCAACGAAGCCAATGCCCCCCCCAAACTCCTCCAACCGGCCATATTAAGAGCGCCCCCCCCCTCCTCCACCATATAGATCTCACAGCGTGCCTGCACGCCGGAGACGCACACCGACCCGTACAATGGTGGCGTGTGTGTGTGTCTGTGTGTATGCGCGCTAGTGGTGAGACTTCCAGGTAAAAGAGGACCTACACGGAGACGTTTAAAATAATAATAATAATAATAAGTATTATTATTAATTAGAGTAATACTAATACGAGCGAGCGAGGTGCGTTGGGTTTGCGGCGGTGGAACGCCCGGACCTTTCAACAAAAGGCGGCTCCGCATTTAAAGCACGCAACCCCACCTCGAGCCCCGGCGCGGTTCGCTGCATTAAGCTCCGCTTTAGAGGACGCGGGACAAATAAACGAGGATCTCACCCGCGGTGCCGCTGCCGTTTCCTGCACTGACCTGCCGCTCGGCTGTAATCGCTGCTGTGAATTTAAGACCTAATGTTTCCTTTAAGCCTGGCTGGCTGTGCCCGGTTAAAAAGCCCTCTATAGGCTGCAGCTTTTATTCGTCAGGCGACACACGTCCCGCCCCCTCCAGACCGGCCGCGTGAAGCGAGGCCCGCGTCAAGCTCCCAATTAAACGACGGGACGGACTTTTAAGACGAAATAAGCTCGTAATATTCTTACCGGCGGGTTGAGAAGTTTGTTCCTACCGCGTCCTATAAATAGCACGTGTGTCTTGTCTCCGGTAGTTAACTGTGGTGGGGGGTTGGTGGGGGGGCAATTTAAAGAGCCGCCCTCGTGGGGAGGGCGGGGGCATGATAAATGGGCCACCAGAGGAGCAGAGGGACATCCCTTTTATTCCCGAAGTTTGATGACAAAATATCTATAAGCGTGTGTTTGAAGTCGGATAATACACTTTCTGCGATACAATCCAAATATATAATGGTTACTTTGTGTAGATATGTGCTAAAGAGTACAGAGCAGAGTCTGCACAGTGATGGTGAGTGAACTCTGACCCCCAATCCACATATGAAAACAAGCGCTTCTTATCATTTTATTTCTCTTAATGCAAGCGGTGGAATACACGTTGAGATCCTGGAGTAAAAGTGCAAACACCACAATCTAGAAAACTTTCTCCAATTCAAAACAGGCGTCACAAAAGTAAGTAAAGTAAGCAAGCAAACATTTGGTTACTTACATTTTTTTGGTATAAAAAGAGAAAAGAGAAAGTTAGGAGTAAGAAGTATATGCTACATATTCACCTCTGAGATGTAGTGGAATATAAGTTTAGACATCTCATGTATGTTTGTTGTTTTGAATGAACAGTTTTAAATGGTATTTTTGATCACTTAATGTTTGTGTTGTGATTTTTAAATTCTTTATTCTTTAAACATAAGCAAAAAGTAACCAAACTGACAGGTTTGCCGATCAACATTTTTTTTTGTTTTGAGGTTTTCAAAGTAAAACAAAAAACTGTTCTCAGTCAGTTACTGACTTAAAACAAGAATAAATCAATACTCTGTGAGAATGAGACGAGGAGATAGTGTCTTTTTGGAGGGAAAAATGAAAAGACCCTAAAGCAACCACTGGGTTACTCCTCTCTTCTTTGCTCACTGGTTAATTGATGAGTAAAATAAACCACCTCACGCTGCCTCTTTCATTCAGACACAGGTAAACCCTTCCTGTGATTCCCACTCGTTCCATTCGGAACCGACCGGATGTCCGCTGCGCGGGGCTGTGGTGGACGCAGAGGACACGGGGTGACGGTACAGACACACTAAACTCTTTTACTACCTTTCACACCACAGTTTCTCATGTAAATGAACTGCCCATCTGGAGCCGACGGCTCCTCTACTATGCAACTAAAAACAGATACCGAGAATGTGTAGTGAGCTGAAAGCGGTCGAGAAAATGAGTATTTCACTTCCCCCTTGTCTGAGCCGGGACTTTTTTTTTTTTTACAAATAACTTGTAAACAAACACGTTCAATCACTTCGTCATCTGCAGGGAGACATCAACATACTGTACGCACATGACGGGGGGAGGTTGCTGTAAAGGGGATTGCATTGGGCATGAATGGAGAGCGCGCTTTTCTCAATGAGTCCAATGTTCTGCTCAGCATGTGCTCGCCTTGCATGCCACACACCCCCCACCCCCGCCCTCCCCATTTCTCACTCTATTCACTTCCTTCATCTCTATCTTCCCCAACTACTTTGGCCCCATCCCCCACACCCTCACACATCTCTGCCATACCGGCCCCTCGGAGTGGGGATGGGGACAGGAAAACAGGTCCACTCTGTGTGAGCGTGTGTTTGTGTGAGGAATGCGGCCCGTCTCGGCCGTTGGCACCACCTGGAGACCGATGAGGGGACTCGACAGTATGACTGATAATAGCATTTTGTTTGTTTGTTGTGAAGCGAAAAAGTTGTGCAGACACCAGAAACTTGTTACGAGCGGAATTTCTCCTCATGTCACAGATTTGCTCCATTCTCATGATCGCTAATGGAGATTTCAGCAGTTTGAGTGGAACACACTCTTGTCCGTCAACCTCTGGGACGTAATTCATTCATCACCTTATCATGTAATCAGGTCAAAATCTTGAAATGAGCCACGTGTCCACTAGTTACTTTGGCTCTTGATTGTCAAGATTTTTTCAGAGATGATTTTACATCAGATCACCAAATGCTTTTCACGCCAGTTGGTAGATTTGAACTGAGGCTACGAACGCTAAATCAGTGAGCGGCCTCTTATCACTGCCTGACCGACTGATGCATGTTTTCTCTTAAGGAATGACCAGATTGCAACCCCCCCCCCCTCCCCGCCCCCCCCACGGTGCACAAGAACACCGCAAAACCACCACGTTGATTTAAATGCTAATCCAAACTTCCAGGGAAGACAAACACTTCCCCATCAGACGGCGTCTTCGGCGTCGTCTCCGCGTCAACTCGGGGCAGACAGAATCCTATTAACCATCAGGGGGGTCTCGGCCCACTCGGCAATGCTTCCCCCCCTCGTGTCCTTCTGCCCTTTTCCGCCCCCACCCCCACCTCATGCGATATGCTCATCCGTCTCCCCCTGCGGCACGCTCTCCAGCTCTCACTACCAGTCCATTTTTAGGCGCGGCGTAAAACCGCAAGAGTGCCGCAGCCAAACCGACTAACAGATGTGGACAGAACATCCCATGAGAGCCCGTCCTTTTGGGTTTCCCCTCGATTGTGCTGCTGTTGGCCCTGGATGAGCTTGAACATGACTAACACACACACACACACACACACACACACTGGGCGGGGACGGGAATAGTTGCGTGGGTGTCTTTTATATTTCTGCGAGGGGGCGGATGGAGGTTAGTGGGCGGGGGGATGGGGCTGATTCAGTCCATGAGTAGTATCTGACTCACGCAAACAGGAAGTAGCACGTGCTGCTTGTTTAGGGGCCACGCCGCTGTATTTACGTGACACACGGAGGGATAATAGGAGCTCTCTCACTACCTACTTCCTTCTCCTTGGGTCGGTCGCTGACTCAACGCTCCGCTCTTCCTTTTTGAATAGTTTTATATCCACATCTTGACATTTGTGGACTGGGATCTGGCGGGTGAATCAGTCACTCTGTGACTCAAGCTTGAGATATTTGAAAACAGCGGCGTATTTCAAAGTTTTGTTTGGCGGCCCTGACATGCCCATATCTCTCTCGATTGGTTTAAAATATGTATTTCTATTTGATGTTCCGTATGACTGGTATGCTCACTGCCCCCTTCCAACTAATTAAATAATTTTATTGGAATGCCCTCCGACCGCTCAGAATCACGCATACAGCGCGGCTTTTCCATGAAGAAATATTCAAGGTGTCCACCACCCACCTCTTTTAGCTTTGTTGCGGTAAAATCCATTAATCCCATGAGGCTTAGCACCTCCTCATGCAGGTCAGAGGTCAGGGTCAGCCTCAGTGCAGCCTCTTTCAAGCCGACCTCCATTATGCAAAGACAGAATTTTACCGCAGCAGCTTTTTAAAAAAAGGTGTAATAAATAACATTACAAATGCAATGTGGAGCTATTTAGGCCCTTTAAAATGTAAAGTTAATCCCTGTGATCGTGGTCACTAAAAGGCAGTCTGCTGCTTCCACCAATAGGTGGCACACTCAGATTACATTTACTAAATGACACCGGCACCGCGCGACATCTCGGCTCAACGGCTCCATCTCGTGGTGATACTTGTACACCAACGGCACTTGTGTGCTGAGCGAGAAAATATCTCCTCCTTCGCTGAGAATACATGTCCATCCACCATGGACGGATTTCCTCTGAACACACCCATTTGCGTTGAGGCGTTGCTGTGCTCCGGTTGGCGCCGCTCCACATGCCTCCTCTCGGGCTCTCGAGCACGCAGTGATCCCGTCCAGCAGAGGGTGGTCTTACCCTGAGAAACCCTCAGCTCCAGTTTTCTCACCTGAATCGGAGGTGTTGCAGGTTTGCTGTCGCAGAGACAAAAAGACGATGAGGTGAACGCGGGTCAATGGCGGAGATGTCTGGCAATCGCAAAGCATACAATTAAGGGTGTTCATCAGTTTTTTTAAAGGTACGCAGCGTGATTTAAAACCTGTCCTCCATACATGACTATCAGAGGCAGCTGCATTAAGTTACTACCCAACGGACCGGCCTCGGGTCTAAATCCAGCCCAAGCGGAGAAGGACAGCAGCTCTGCCCCCCCCCCGGCTGCATTGAGAGCGGTCACCTTGGTGACGGCGCATCTGGGGATTTAGAATTCACGCTCTCCCTTCTCTGTCTTACCTGATTGATCAAAAGGGAAAAGGGGCCCGCTTGCCCGTCGCCGGCCTGTCAAACCCCGGCGTGGTAGCCGCAGTCCCCGGGGAGCGCGGCGAGCGCGGCCCGCATCTGTGCCGGTTACTCACAGAGGCGAACTGGGCTCAGTTTTATCACTTTTTTATTTCCATTGGGAACGGAGAGCAGATTTCCTCCGCGGAGCGCTGATGTGACGACCACAACAAATAGGAGGCCGGTCTCATGTTTGGGGATAAAATGTTCACAAACTCCTCTTCAGAACAGGATCCAGGTCCCGCTGCTTGTTTTGTCTCTTCAACATTGGTCTCATTGACTATGGTTTGAGTGCCCCCCCCCCACAGTCAGGCACATTGGAAACAGAAAATAGAGAGTCACTGTAAACCTAAAGGAAAGGGGTGTGTTGCCTTGTTTTTCTGCACAACCTACACACAAAAAATTAGAGAAGCGAACCGCATCGATCAAACTGGACGATCCAGGTTGAAGCCTCAGTAACTTGAAGGCCGGGTTGGAGATTTGGGTGTGTTTCGCTGCACCTACAGATTATTTTCAGATTTAACGTCCCCAAGATGAGTAAAGTGGGGTTAAATATACAATATACCTTCTGCACAAATGTAAATAAATACTCATACATAGAGGAGGGACTCCCAAGAGCTGCTAATAGACATTTAAAATCTGTAGGTTCCCTTTTAAATAACACAATGCAGTCATCTTATAAGCGGCACATGCGCGTCTTTGTTCGCTGCCCGAGTCTAGACAGGTTAGAAAAGCAGAGGGGGAAGGTTTCAGATGAGCGGA